CCTTATATTAAGGTTGATTATAAAAAGAGTTTTGTTGTACAAAGCTTGTTCTGTAATTAAACTTTGCAGTAAGTCCTACCCCCCTTGTTTTGACCAAAAATCGGTATAAAAACTTTGAAGAATGTGGTTTCTGACTTGGTATTCATCACGATGACGTATCGCGATCTTCTTCCTCGTATATCTTGCTATTTAAAGTTATATATCGGCGGATAATCTTGATATAACTCATCATGTACATCTAGTGTAATAGTTTTTTGGTTTTACTGTAAATTTTCGGCAACAAAAATGGGTGTGGTTGGAGTGAGTTGTAGGTATTTGATTACTTTTGTGTAACGGTGACTTTAGGTTGGTCTTTGCGGGCTATTTTGGTCAAGAAATTTGTAGAAGTTTGAGTAATATTGTGGTCAATAAGTTTGTAGAGCCTCGGGTAATGTCACGGTCGATAGGTTTGTGGAATCTTGAGTAAACATCGGTCAAAATTTATAGAACCTTGTGTACTATAACGGTCAATAAGTTTATGGAAAGTTGTGTAAAAGTAATTTTTATAAAATTCCAAAGTTTCTATTTACTTTTTGACCAATTTGTGATATGTTGTGATCGTAAGACCTGAAGTTTGATCATCGGAAGTTGGTGTTTAGGCTTGGCAGACACTAGGCTTGTTTGTATATTGATAACGGCCTTCTTCCTCCGGCTACCTTTTGCTTCATATTATACTACATTTCTGGTAGTTTAATATTGATTATTTTCTTGTTTGTTAAGGAAGTTTTTAAAGGTTTTTGGGGACTAGTTTTAAGTCTTTTTTAAAAAGGAGGGGGAGCGTGTTTTCTTACGTCTATTTTTTTGGACTTGGTTTTTGGGTCTGACTAGTGTTGAAGCTAGACCTGTTTTAGTTTTTGGACGGTCAGGCTTTAGCTTGGCTTCGGTTGAGAATTGAATTAGACTTGGACTGGGTACTGTTGTTGTTTTGGCCGGGTTGTGTTAATGAATATATAATGTGTTTCTTATCTGTAGAGCTAGATATATTTTTTGTTGATATTAGAGAAAATTTTTGATTGGACTAGTCAAGGCGCCGGCTCGTGTGTTTTGTTGTGATACCTAAGCTGGGCTTCTGACGCCTTTCTGGCTTACATGTGTCGGCAGGGCTTCTTTTAAGTTTTCTTAGGGTACATTTCAGGTCTAGTTATGACAAGAGTTATAGAATAGAAAATTTAAATTTTGGTATAAAGAAAGCTCTTTATGTACACTTTCTTGTTATCTGTATTGGACATGCTTGGCGCTCTCTAGTTAAATTTTTTAAATTGATTTGAACTTTGAACCTGACAAAACGAGGTAAACTTCTTAAATTTTCAACTCAATTTTTTTGTATATTTACCGAATTCATAGACGTATATTATGTTTGTAATAGCGGCGATGATCTTCTTCCATTTGAATGGTGGTGGTTTTGAGTTGTCATACCTTGTATTCATCAATGTCCATCTTCTCTCTTCTTCCCCATCTTCTTTCGTCGTGTACAGTCGAATAGGGTTGAGATTCAGCAGGCGTGGTTAATTAATCGAATTCCCGATTTTTGGGTATCAATTAACACTGTCATGCCTAATTGATTTCGGGTTGTAGCGCGATTTGATTACTGTAGGACTTTTGGTGATTTATTGGTTTGCTGTAAAGCTTTATTTTTTGAAATTTAAATTTTGAGGATATAGCTGTATAGTGTTAGGCGACTAGGTTTGTGTACTCATTGGCTGGCGCTTGGTACTGTAATTTGCTATCATGATATTTGTTTTGATACTGTAAGTATTAGCTGGGAATAAGTTTGATACAGTAGGTATAATATGGATTTCAGCCTGTATACTGTAAATTTGTGATACGACCTTAGCTTTAGTACTGAAGGTTGTAGTACAATGACAGATTTGGTAATATAAATTGCTATCAGGGTTTTCGTTTTGATGCTGTAAATATAAGTTGGATTTTGACTTTAGCCTTCCTTCTGTTCTTTGTGATACGAAAAGAAAAGGCTTTTTTAAACTTTGCTACTAAGGGTAAAACTTTAGTACTGAAAGTAAAGCTTTGATACTGAATTTTACAGTACGAATACAGCTTTCATAATACAGTTTGCTCTTTGACTTGTAGGTTTAATACTGTAGAGACTTTTGTTCTTGTAAGGACTTTGGTTTCTGTAATGAATTTTACTACTGTAACGGCTTTAGTGGTACTAGAACATTGCAATAACTATTCTTATTACCGTTTTATTAAAGTAATAGCTAAAAACTTTTGGACCAACCTAGATTTTTCATATTTTAATAAAGTCATTTAGCGCGCATTGCTCATTAATCAAGCCCAAATTAGTCGTAAATCTATCAAAATGTTTATTTTACGGTTATCAACCACTCGCAAGGTCAGATCCGAATCTCCGTTCGATCGTACATTAGGTTACTACGCTTCGTATGTTAATGTGTGGGTAAGGTAGAGCGTAGTACTATGCCAGAGAGCAGGGTAAATCGTGGCAAAGTCGTAGTATTTTGTTTGGGTTTACTATGGTAAAGAAATGGCATTTGGTGTACTTTACTATAGTAAAGTCATGGTAATTTGGGATTGTTTACTATGGTAGAACCACGGTATTTTGCTATGATTTACTATGGTAAAGCCATGGTATTTTGAAGTGGTTTACTTTGGTAACGTTTTTGTATCTTGATATTAATCTGTACTATAGTAATTGCATTACTTCTGATGTTAACCACCTTACCTTGGTGTCTTGCCATTATTTATTAGTATGTATTGAATTTAGACTCTACTCTATTTGTAATAGTTAAAGCACATTGTATTTTTCAAAAAGTAGTATTAAAGCTGCCGTATTTTACTACAAAAACCACTTATATTTCATCATCATACACTACCTACTACAATATCCAACATTGAGTTCGTTTATCGCTTTGGTGATTTGGCTTTATGAGTGATGTTCGTATCTGCGTCATAAAGCTAGATTATCAAAGCTATACACAATCTCAAGGCAAAAAAGTACTAATATATGGGAATTTAACTTATCTACTACAATATAATTATATTTGATGCCTACTACAATATAAAGCTACGAAACATTGAATTGAATATATTTAAGAGCAGTGCTACATAAGCTTGTGAAAACTTTTTCCACAACATAAGGTGGTCAATAATACCAGTTTGAACATGTTCTGTTGAGGGCAACGTGATTATTGGAAATGCAAGCTGCGCCCAGGTTTACGCAGTCTGCAAGAAAAGAAACAGTAAGTAAATGGGTAAAAATTAAAGATAAGGAACAGTTTTAACAAAAGTAAGCCGTTTTAGTAATTTTGTTACGACTGATACTCAGTTGTAACAAGTGTCAAAAGAGCACAGAATAACATTTTATTATACAATAATACAAAAAGGCAATAATAATAAATAAATAAATAAACTATACAATAATAAACGGTAAAATGATATTATTAAGTATCCGACGGAAACCCGGATCAATTGATCGTGCAATTGATTGACTTCCTGATTGACTGACTCTCCTTGTGCTTCGGGTTTTTATAGCTTTATCTAACCACTAAAGTTCGATGTTTCGAGAATATTGATTTTAATTTATAATCAATTTGAAATGTTCTCATTAGTTATTGTGGTTTCTTTATAATTTCCAATAAGTTTGCTGTAGTTTGAAACTTTATTATCATGTTTATTGATTCCCTAAATGAGTGGTATTAATATGTTGAGTATAATGAGTGATTACAGGAAATAGTAATATGTAAATTAAATAATAAAGCCGATCCGAAAAAAATTCCAAGACCATGAATAACATTATCAGACAGAGAATCAATTAGAGGAAGAGCGTAGGGGATTGAAACGAACAGTGTAATAAAGTGCCTGATGCAAGCCCATTTGACAGAGTACCAAACACTGAGGACACAAGTAGGGATGTTGGAGGAGAAGATCAGAATATTAGAGGCCACTGCACAATATCCTCATCCTTATCGTAATAAAAAGAAATGTAGATTTTGTTCTAGTAGACATCTACCTCAAACATGCCCCGAATTTTGGTCGTTAGACCATCGACTTGGGGCAAGTAGGGTACCTTCCTTATTAGAGTAGTCATAAAACTATATTTTAGAAATCAACCTGAAGCGTGCACAGAAGCATGATCCCCCCTCCCCTTCCCCCTTATCGTTCACACCTAGCGAGGAAATGGTGCTATAATTTTTTAAAGGAAAGAAAATTCTCTCTATTGTAATTGTTGGCCATATTCCCCCCCCCCTCTCCCTCTAATCCCATTATTGTTGTCATCACTTCGAGGCCCGCGGAGTGCAGCGACCCCAATCGCGAGTCCTATGTCTTCCATTAACATATTGAAAAGACGTGATCGTGGGGACAGCGGTGTCCATATTAATATGGAATTTAAACGTTTTGCCTGATCGGTCCATATTGACGAGGCCAAGTTGGCTCATTATCGTGGACCGATCAAGGCCCACGCACCTATGTCCTCATTAATATGGGCATGTGTTCTTGCTCCTTGTAAACACTCAGTTATTTTTCCCATTTGATACTTGAGCTGGATCTGCCTTATTTTAGTAACGGTGAAGTGGGAATTTCAACTTTATGCAAATTTTTTTTTAATTTTGAAAAGAAGTTTTAAACTTTTAGGTAATAAAATCAAAACAGGAAAAAAATATAATCAACTTAAAGTTTAATAATATGTAGTAAATTTTGATATTTTAATAATCTTATAAGCCTAGTTTACCATGACGAAAGTTCACATCTTACTCTTCGAATGGTCCCGCCACGAAAACAATTCTTGGCATTTAAATGCATTTCGTCGTAAACTTGCCGTGAGAAGTCATTTCAATTGTGAAACTTTGAAAATTCGTTCATAAAACTTTTTTTTCCTCTAAATTTTTGACTTTTCATGCATAAAATGCAGATTTATTTTAATTTTATGTTTATTATTTTGTTCTACACGGTTGTGGGAACGTCGGATCAGAAGAACGAGTGAAATGGGACGCGGAGACGACCGTGAAACACATGAAGTTCAAAAGACACTCGATCAAACGCTGGCCGAAGCCATTTTGGGCGTTAGTAAGGTAATCATTTTGGTTTTTGTCTTTGTTTTTAGGCTTTTTAGAGAAGAAAGGAGGAATTGCCGATGTTATAATTGATGTTGAGGTTGCGGTTTGCGTTTTTAATGTTGTGTAAGGTCAGATCAAATTGAATTTTAACTTATTATAAGGTTAAAGGTCTTTGTGACGTAAAAGGGAGCTTTTTGTTTATGTTTATTGCATTTTTGAAGAAAAATTAAGGATATTTGATATTACTCTAGATATAAAATCTACTTTTACTCTTTTTGGTATGAAATTGGGTGCTAACTTTGTTGATTTATTAGTATTAGAAGCTTTTGTGTCTGTGTAAGGTATAACGAAAGGTTTGATTTAAACTTTGTTGGCAGTTTTTGTGATATGAACACTTGTATATTATAATAGGCATCAATTGAACAAGTTAGTCTTTTTGATTCCACAGCTATACCTGGACGTTTTTTAATGGTTGTGACTTCTATAAGAACTTCAAAGTTTTTTTTCATTTGTAATAAATGGTTTTTGAGAAATAAGTTAACAAATTTTTATGATTATTACACTTGATATTAGAATGTTGCTTTGGTTTAGAGCTCACATGTGCTCGCAGTTTGTTTAATTTTGCTTTATAGTTGTATCAGATTCATTTTTAAATGTTATTTGTTGTTTGAAATTTGCAGGTATGCTGCTTTTTGAGATACCAGACTTTTCTTATATTACCCTTGACATCAGATGTTGTGGTGTTTTTAAAGTTTAATATCGGTAGTTTCTTGTTGATGTGACGTTTAGTAGCATAGGTAATATGTTTTTAAAGGAATGAATAAGTTGTTTGTTTGTCGCGGTTTCAAATACGGTTTTTTCGATATTACACTTGGCATTTGTTGATTTTTATTATTTTTTCTATTTTTTCGATTTTTTTTTGAGGAATTTGGCGTTTTGTGGTAATATTTATGTAGCGTTTGATGTAAAGAAGCTTATTTTGTCTTTTTTTTCAGGTAATTAATTTGTTTCCCAGTTTCCAAAACAAGGCCAAAGGGCACAAACCAAGAAATGCTGCTACAGCGAAGGATTCCGCATCTCCAGACCAATCAGCTTCTAACACATCGTCAACAAGAGAACAGTTATCGTATGTTGGGAATCCTGGTCCAAAAATTGAAGAAGTGAGTGAATTGAGCTTAGTTTTATATTGTTTTATAGACAATTTCATATTGTTATAGTAAATTGATGGCTATGTTAATATATTTGGTTTCAGGATCACGGCAAAGGTTTGGTGAACCGTGATCGGGTAGTAGAATGTCAAGAAATGATGTATGTGATTAGAGAAGCGATGCCTAACGACGCGAAAGATCGTTTGACACCGCACGAGATTAAGAGGTTGATCATGAACAAGGATAAGATCGGACTTGGGTAATGTTTTCGAAGGGTTTGATGGTATTTTTGATTTGAAATTTAAGTGATATGGCATGAAGATTGTAATGTTGTTATTAAATTGAGAGTGTGATCGAGGAGTTATAGGCAAAAATTGGCAGTTTATCGCTAATATTGTCCATCTTATAGTAGATGATGAATTTTTAAAAAACTAGGGAGAGATTAGATTTCAAATTTGTACAAAACAGTGATAAGAATATGGGAAACACTTTAAACTTTAAATTTAATGTTGTCAACAAACCTAATATAACTTATATTGTAGTAGATGCCCGTGTCCATACAATTTCATCCCAAAAACTCGAATTCAGCCGACAGCCTTCAGTTCAGGGGAATCAACCGACGAACCAGATCCAAATGTCAATTTGTGCAGATCGAATCGACCATCGAAGAAAAAGAAGCCGACATCAACGCTGGATGGAGATATCTTGATGTCCAAGATTGAAACTGAAGGAATACAACTGAAAATGCCAACGATTAAGGTGGGTTTTTGTTTTTTAAAGTTTCTTTGTTTATATAGGGTATGAGGGATGGCAATGGTGATTAGAAAGGGTTTTTAATTTTGGAAATTTGTTTTTTTTTGGAAAAATTTTTCGTTAAAATATGTTGGAATTGGAAGAAGAATTTAAAATTAATTATTTTTTTCAATTTTTTTTATTTTTAAACTTATAAACACCCTTTTTAACACGTTTTTACTCCTTCGAACCCACTAATCAGCCCCAAAAGGAAAGGGTTCGAAAAGGAAAGAGAGGGAGTCGTGTACGCCCATAGCCCGTTGAACGCACGCCATCCCGTCCGATCTGGCAAGTTAAGCAACGGTGCGCTTGATTAGTACTTGGATCGGAGACGTCCTTGGAATCTCGAGTGGCGTACGCATTTTTGCCATATAATGCTAGTTTTTGGTACTACTTTTGGGTTTAGGGGTAAAAAAGGGTTGTTTCATATTATTTTAGTGGGGTTTTTGAATAATATTTTTTTGGGTTTGATCTAAAAGGATGATTTTTTGGCATTTTGTTTGCACTTTTTGTTTTTGTACGCTTTTTGAAGCCATATTTTTGTTGTTTTTGATAATATCAATGAGCTAGGAAGTGTAGTAGGTGTTTTTATACTGTTTTAGGAGGTCTTTTTGGCGTTTTTTTTTAAATTATTTGGCGATTTTAATACCCTTTGCTTTTAGGTACCTGGTGATTTGGCCAAAACCTACTCGTTATCATTTGATTTGGAGCTGAAAAACGGCCGAAGGCCCTCGAGTATCGTGACAAACACATTTGAACTGAAGAATGACCAAGTCGAACGAATCTTTGTTGATGGAAAAGAGTTTGTGAAAGTCAGCCGTGTCTAATCTACAATTGAATATGTCTTATAAATCTTGGATAGGTCAATTTGAAATGCATTTAAATGTCATTTTTTGGGTTTTGAGGTGGAGGTTTTGATATTTTTGAAGGTTTTTATAGTTAAAGTAATATTTTTATTTGGTTTTTGAAGCGAAAGTTATGGCATTTTTTAATTGAAATATCAAATATTGTGTCATTTCTGACTTATTTTTTACGCTTATTTTATTATTTTCTATTTTTATTTCTTCTTATTCTATTTATCTTTCATTATTATTTGTTTTTATTCATTTTTGTTCTGCTTTTATTTTAACTTGTTCTTCTTTCATTTCATTATTTTCCACTTTTATATGCACTTTTTCTTCTTCTACTTGTTTCATTTCTACTTTTTTTGTATATTTCTTTGTATTGTGCGTGTTGTGTCATTATTTACCGCGTTTTGTTGGGGTGGGTCTCTGTACGAGCTCTCCTTTCTGATGGATTTAGGTCTTTACTATGTTAGGGGGAGGTCCAAGAGCAGGGATGGGATGACAGGTCTGATGAAGAGTTACAGATGGTCATTACTTTGGAGTTTTCAAAGTTTTGACCTGACTAAATTTGATTTTTAGGCCTGATACTTAATTTTCCGGAAAGTTTTGATAAAGTACCATTTTGAAATGAAAGAAATTGGTTTTTGGTTCTAAAATACGCTTTTTTGAGTTAAAATTGAAATGAATGAATTTTTGAAAGGAAAAAGGAAACTTTGAAGGGTGATTTGAATTCAGATCTTGTCATACCTCCTTGCACAGTGCCTGAATGTAGCTTTGACTGGCAATTTTGGCCGGAGACTGGTCTGGAAATGGATGAAAAGTTGATTTTGAGAGATTTTTGTTCATAACTTGTTTTTAAACCCAAAAAAGTAATCTTTTTTCCTCAAAACTGAAAATTTGATTTTTTTACCGTAAGGTTTGATTTTGTAAAAAATGCATTTTCCAGTTTGAAAAATAGTAAAATTTTAAATATTTTTTAATTAAAATTTGTTATTTGTCCTCATTTCCATCAAAACTTGCTAATTTTTTTTCTAAATTTTTGTCGTTTGAAAGCCATTTTGACCAAACTTCAAATTTCTGTCCATTTTTCGACCGGTCTTTGTTGGATTTGCTTGATCTCTGTCTCCTCAGGTATGCCTTGGATGTTGCTCTAACTGTTCGTAAAGTCCCGGAGAAATCAGAAGGCATCTCGGCAGAGACTTACCTCGGGGGGAGGAGGTACCCCCACCTCCTTCCCCACTTGGAGGGGGGGACTTCATCACCCCACCCTCCAAAAAAAATAAACGGGGTGGTTAATCGTATAAACAATACGCAGGCATATTCGGAATATATATTTATTCAAAGAAAAATTGGGCATGGCCCCGTGTTCTGGGGGTGGATACCGAGTTCCCCTACTTGGTGGGGACCAAGCAGAGTCTCAGCCCAGCACCCACAGTGAAGGGAATGAATCCCTTCCCCAAGGTGAGTCTCTGCCGAGATACCTTCTGACTTCTCGGACTTCGCGAACGGTTAGGACAAAATCGGCGTGCCTGACAGGGACAAAGATCAAGGAAATCCAACCAAGTACCAATCGAAAAGTGGACAGAAAGTTGATTTGCAGCGGAAAAAAGGCTTTCAAATGACAAAAATCAAAAGTTGGTACGAAAAAATGAAAATTTACAAGTTTTGACAGAAAATTTTTTTTTCCTTCTATTTCAAAATATCACTAATTTTTGAAAAAGTTTTCTTAATCAACTATGATAACAAAAACACATTTTTCAAGTTTCAGAAATACATTTTGGTCTAAATTTTCAAAATCAACTTCACATCCAATTTCCAATTAGTCTTCGGTCGAAAGTGCCAGTCAGAGTATATCAGGCACTGTGCAAGGAGGTAAAACAGATCTGATTCCAAGTCACTCTTCGAAGTTATCTTTTATTTACAAAAATTCATTTCCACTTCAATTTTAATCCAAAATCCGTATTTTAGAACCAAAACTTGATTTATCCCATTTCAAAGAGGTATTTTATCAAAGTTCAAAAAAAAATCAAGTTTCGGCCGAAAAGCCAAATTTAGTCAGGTCAAAACTTTCAAAATTCCAAAGTAATGACCATCTGTAACTTCTCATCAGACCTGTCTTTCCAACCTTGCTCTTGGACCTCCTCCTAACCTAGCTAGGAACCGAAGCCATCAGAAGGGAGAGCGGGTACAGAGACTCACCCCAACAACGCGATAATAATGACACAACACGCACAATACAAGAAAAAAATAACACAAAAAGTACGTAAGAAACAAGTAAAAGTAGAAAAAGTAAAAACAAAAGTAGAACAAATAGAAATAGAAGTAAAAAAATGGAATAAAAGAAGAAAAAATAGAAATAAAAGTTGAAAAAAATCATGAAAATGATCAGAGTAACACCTAAGGCACGTAAAATACAATACTATACTACAACACAGTACAGTACGATATGACACTAGACCATTCTAGTACAAACTCATGACAACAAGTACCTTGATGTAGTAAATACAAGTCTAACACAACACAATAGAAGTCTAAAACAATATGGCACAATCTGACAAATTTTCAAACATAAAGTGACAAAACCTACAGTATGTTACAGTAAAATTTTAAAGTACGAAGATATAACATTACAATAGTAAACTATAACATTACAGTAAGACAACTCAAAGAAATTACGGAACTACAGTAATAACACCAATGAAAAAATCAAATTACAGTAAGAACTATGACTATTGTTTACAGTAACGCAGTAAGACGATCTAGTATAAGATTCCTCGAGTACAGTAACGTACTACAGTCCCTTGTTGTAGTACACGACCTCGGGTGGGTTGGGCAGAGCTCGGATGTGATCTCGAACTTGTGGCTCCAGGTCGGCCACCTTGATCATGGCCTTTTGAGGGAAGATGGCACAGCAGAGGGGGGGGTCGAGAAGAGGAGGATCACTCCACACATGGCTGTCTGGAGGGGGCCTGACAGGTAGGGCCGCGCTCTGAACCAGGCCGATCGCTTCTCCAAGGCATTCACTACTACTGGTGTCATCACTATAAGTAGGTTACTGTATGGTTTGAAAAAAAGAATACTGTAGCTTTTGTTAGGAACCATGTTGTAACTTGAAATTTACTGTAGTTCTTAAAAAGGGTCTACAGTAACAAACAAAAAAAAAGATTACCATAGCTGGTAAAACGGGTTACTGTAGTTTCCAACATTAAAAAACACAGTAACTTTTGTAAAAGGATTACTGTAACATTTGAAAAAAGGAAGTACAGTAGATTTTGTAAAAAAGATTACTGTAACTTTTTTTAAAAAGGATTACTGTAATTTTTTTAGAAAAAGTACTGTAATTTTTGCAAAATGCTAGAAAACAAATCACAGTAGTTTTCAAAATCCCTTCCTAAAAATTCCTATAATCCCCCAACCCAACCTACCCATATAAGGAACGGCCATGAGGATTCGACTGATGACAACTTGGAAAATTGCGGTTTTGGCGACGGCTGTGGACGATCCAACCTTTCGTCCATCCGCATCCTCCAACGTGATGCCTTCCGTGAACTCTTTGATTCGCATCATCGGGTTATTAATGGCGTTGGCTATGGCAATCGAACAGAACGGCACCAGCCGGCCGTACAGTGGGGGCAGCTTCTGAAATTTGGCAAAATCAATATTATGCTAAAAAAATACACTTCATCCTAACAATTTCAACTTCATTTTATACCATTTTCAATTACAAAATGGTATCTTTGACCAAAATTATATTATCCATGACCTCATCTGGCGTTTTTAATCAAATCTTCACAACAAATTAAGATAAATACACCATCTTTACATCAAAAGTTTCACAAAACCCTGCCAAACATAATGTATTAACAGTTTTTACAAAAAGGCTTCATCTGATTTATTAATCGAAACTTTATATTATCCATGACACCTCTAATGCCAAGTGCAATATCACAGCTTTCAAAAGGCAAAAAACCACAAAATTTTAAGCTTAAAACATCGACAAAACGATAAGAAACACATTTTAATCTGCTTTTGTATCAAAATGCCCTATTTTCATTCCTATCAACAACTAGCTGGCATCCTTAATATCGAGTGCAATATCTCTCGAACCAAATCACTTCAACCTTAACTTTTCGCTCTAAAACCTTCTAAATAAAACACAAAGTGAATAATTATTATTTCAAATCTAAACATCCAAATTACAAACCAAAAAAAAATCGATATTATCCATGACACGACCTCCTCAAGGCTGTAACCACAAAAAATTGCCATTTTTAACCTTACATTCCTTGGCAAACTACTACAAAACCTTGTCAAAGCCCCACTTCATCAAAACTTCCACTTACTTTCGCCACAGAGTTCAATGTCAGTGCCGTAGCCATCGCTCCACCTGTAGCACAACAATAAGCTTTGAGAAGCTGATTGCCAGTGACAGCATTCTCTCCTGATCGATTCGTGTAGTTTACCGTAGCATTGAAGGTTTGATTTAGCCATTGCCAGAAGAGAACGCCAGCAGTTCCTCTGAAAAACGACAAAATCCATCAAAACTTATATTAACCATGGTTCTGATGGCCAAAACTTCAATTTCTCCTCTATATCTGCCTAAAAACAAAAACAAAAAGAAACGTAAGCTCACTTATAGAACGTCAGTAATCCTCCAGTAATGATGGTGTTACAAGGCACTTGCGCCGACATTCGTCCAACGATGGGCATTTTCTCTCCGGTCTCCGGGTGATAGGCCGAGTCGTAGATGTTCTTGGCAGTCCATAACTGGTCGACGGTTAAGTTTTCGGGCACTTTCCCTTCTCTAAAAAGTTCAGTATTTATTAATCTTGCTATTTTAATCAAAAATCAAGGTATAACACGCAAAATTAGGTCAAAAACCTTGTTATAGAGCACAAAACCATCAAAAAATAGTGAAAAAAGTCAATGAAAAGCAAGATAAACCATAATAAGCCCAGTTCCTTTCAAAAACTCGTAAAATACGCCTAAAGCTTTAATTTTAAAAATCATTTCAAAGAAATTTTCAAAGAACAAAGAGCCAAAGGTCACCGATAAGTAATCAAAACAAGATTGGCCGACAAAATCAGGGTTCGGCAATCTATCGCTGCGCCCGCAACACTGCAGACTGCAAAACAATTTTTATACGATGGAATATGTTCGCAAAGTTATTTCTTCAAAAGATTAAAAGTAAATATATCAATTTGACATCCTACTGGCTATTTTAAAACCAAAAACTACTGATTTTCAACCTTTCCCTTGCGTTCAAATCAACTTTTACCTACTATAACATCCAAAAATCAGTTAAAATCCATTTTTACCCAATTTTTCGCTAGTTTTGTCTCCAAAACAGCTATTAAATTATCAACTGAACCATTTTTAATATATCAAAAACACTCTTACTTATATTCCAAAACGATTTTCCGACATTCCTCGAGTTGGGCATTCGTTACGAACAAGTTGAGTGGATTCACGACGGAAAAGAAGTGTCTGGCACGCCCATCGTACGTGTTCTGATTCCAACGTGGCTTCGAGATGTCGGGCCGTTCGACTAGGGTTCGGACCAGTTCGGACATTCCGCTGAAAGCTTTGGTTTACTGAGATATGTCTACTATAATATTGGTCTTTGAAGCCATTTTTCATAAAATTTTTTGAAATTTTTTCTGCAAATGCCATTTTTAAATCTTATAATGTCATAAAATGCTATTTTAAATCTTTTTAGATAATAAAAACATAACATTATAATAGTAAATCAACTTTTATCAAGTTTTGTCTACTATAAGGTCCTTGAAGCCATTTTTCATAAAATTTTTTAAAATTTTTTCTGTAAATGCCATTTTTAAATCTTAGAATGTCATAAAATGCCATTTTAAATCTTTTTAGATAATAAGAACAGCATTTTTATAACTTTTTGAAGCAGTTTATCCCCACCGAGAAATACCTGGAACTTTTTGTTAAGAAATGCACTGACTGCACTCCGGCTATTTCCCGGTCCTTCAGTTTATCACCAATTTTTTCAAATTTTACAAAAAATATATCAAACAACCTTTAAAAATGCCAAACCTTTCATAAACTGTCATAATTTATCAAAAACTTTGATAATATAAAGGATGGCACACTTTTTCTCCCCGCCGCAAAATAGCTGGAGTGCAGTCAGTGCATTTCTTAACAAAAAGTTCCGGGTATTTTTTGGTGGGGATAAGCTGCTTTAAAAAACCGTTAAAAATGCCATTTTTTAGGATATAAAAAGAAAAGAAAATGACTTTTTATGATCCTACAAGGTATAAAAACGACATTTGCAAAAAAATTTTTTTTGAATTTTTGTGAAAAATAGCTTTAACAATCAATGTTACAGTAGTCGTTTGCCGAGTATGTAAAACGTAATCAAAACGCTTAAAAAACGCCATTTTTAATTAGAAAAACGTAGTAAAAACTAATTTTTATTTATTTTTTAATTTAAAGCTCATTTTAAAGCCTAAAACTATTCAAAACAAATAAAGGATAAACAACAGGTACAACAACCATCACAATAACAACATCGAAGCTCTTCGAAACCTTCAGCACAGTAAATATTTATTATGTTAACAACAGTATTAATAATATAGCTTAATATACCGGTAAAGCTAAGTAAAGCTAGTGGCAGACGATATGAAAGTGGATTGTGGCAATAACAACATTACTAAATACATTGGTTTAAGTCAAAATGGAACTTGTTTGTATTGGAAATGAGGATGTTCGAAAAATTTTATGAAATGTTGAAAAATCCATTAATTCTTACGCATTTTCTAAAAATAGCAACCCTTCGGGTTGCTTATATAGAGAGACCACTCACTGTACCTCAAAAAATGCCAGAATCCATTAATATTTCGCATTTTTCAAAATCCATAAAATTTTTTTCGTTTTTTTCAAAATTTCAAATCCTCACTACCAATGCAAACAAAACATGTCATTTTACATGGCCGATGACAAAAAGTAAAAACAAGTAAAAACTAGCCAAAACCCTGAGAAAACAAAAAAACAAAAGTAAATCTGAGAAAAACTCACCGAAAAGGTAAAAGACAATATACAAAATGAGCAAAACTTTAAAAAACTAATTTTAATTCAAATTTTAAAAAAAATTTGGTTTTTTGAAAATATTAACATGCTCTAGGGACGTCGCTACAGTTTTTTCTCTGGGGGGGAGGTCGAAAAAATTTTTTTTTCGTTTTTTCCACGTACAGGTACCTACCTACCTGTGGAATTTTTTTCGGATCGGCTCTGGAGGGGGGATACCCCCCCCCCAAACGACGTCCCTGACCCTGAGTATCCAAAACATAAGCCTAAAGGTTTTGCTTAGTCAATTAGGATGAGATCATCTTCTTCAACTTGGTCCTGACCTTCTTGTGCTTGATCTTGTGCCTCTTCAAGTTGGTCCTGGCCTCCTTGATCTTGATCCTGACCTTCAGCATGACCTTGTGCCTCTTCAAGATGGCCCTGACCTTCTTCATCTTGATGCTGTCCTTGCTGAGCTTGATCTTCAGCTTCTCCATGACCTTCTACTACAGTTTGATCAGCTTGAACTTGTACCTCTTCAAACTCATCCTGACCACCATAAGCTTGACCTTGTACTACCTCTTCAGCTTCGCCTTGACCTCCTTGAACTAGGCCTTCAACTCCGCCTTGACCTTGAGCTTCTTCAACTTGACCTTGACTATCTGGAGCTTGAGTTTCTTCTTTTTCTTGAACTTGACCTCCTTCAACTTGACCTTGATCTAGTACCTCTTCAAGCTCATCGTTTTGACTTTGAACTTGATCCTTTTCTTCTTCTACTTCACCCTGACCAGCTTGAGCTTGACCTGTGTTCTCTTCAAATTGGCCCTGACTATCTTCATCTTGTGTTGCTTCAATTACACCTTGATCAGCTTGCACTGGATCTTCTACCAACTCGATGTCATCTTGGCCTTCTTGAGCTGTATGTTCATCTCCTTTCTCATCTATTTCCAATCCAATCAATGCTTGACCGTCATCTTTCTGAGCTTCATCTTGTGCTTCTTCAACTAAGGTTTGATCTTCTTGAAATGAATCTTCAACTCCACTCTCTTGAGCCGGATCTTCAATTCCACCTTGATCTTGACCCTCTTCAAGTTCACCCTGAATGCCTTGATCTTGTGCCTCTTCAAGATTACCTTGCTGACCTTGAACTGGATCTTGTATTTGTCCAAATTGACCTTGGCTGTCTTGAGCTTCTTCCACTTCACCTTGACTAACCTGAGCTTGATCTTGAGTTTCTTCAACATCCACTGGACCAGCTTGATCTTCAGCTTCTTCAACTTCACCTTGACTAACCTGAACTTGAGCTTCTTCAACGTCCATTTGACCACCTTGAGCTTGTGCTTCTTCAGCTACACCTTGAGCCTCTTCAAACTCGTCTTGTTGGCCTCGAACTGAACCTTGTGCCTCTTCAGGGCCCTTCTGACCATCTTCACCTTGACTTTCATCTCCTTTTTCATCAATTTCTAGTTCAGTCAAGGTCTTGTCCGGATCTTCACCTTGATATATCTCTTTCTCTTGTTCATAAGACTCTGTAGCTTCATTTTCACCACCTCTTCTTTCTTTATATTCACCATAAGATGCTGCAGCTTCTTGAATACCAAAATATGTAGGTGTTCCTTCCTTGTTCTCGCCATACGAAGCCATGAAGGTCTGTGAATTCTCGTCCAAATCTCGGAAAATGTCCTCAAGGGTTTCTTCGACGTTCTTCGAGCGTGCTGGAGAGTTGAAGGCAGAGCTGGTTTCGTCAGCGAGGGTTAGTTCTTCGTAGTCCATTGGTTCAAGCTGATAATTTTGAGGTTGTTTTTCTTTGTTTTCTGCTCTTTTAGACCAAGGTTCATCATTATAATCTGACTTTCCTTCATTTTCAGGTACCTTCTTTTCTTTATCATCTATTTTCTGTGCTTTATCATCTACTTTATTTTCTTTTACATCTACTTTATCTTCATTTTTATCGCTCTTTCCTTCATTCTGACCCTCCTTTCCATCATCTTCACCTTTCTTTCCTTCATCTTGACCCTTCTTTTCCTTTGATTTATCGACCGGTCGCAAACCATGCTCATCAACCTCAAGTTCAACGTCCATCTTCTCCTCGCCATCATTACCTGTCATGGTTTCGTTCATTTCGTAGTACTTGTCGAACATTGCCGTGACTTCATCGTCCTTCTTTACCTCTTCCTTCTCGGCTTCCAGGTCCACCATCAGATTTCGTTCGTCTACTACAACATCAAAGCGTGGTCTTTTGGCATTCAGATCCTCGTTTCGTAATGTATTGTACCGTTTTAAGTAGGACTTCATGGCGGGGTTTTGGGCCACATCCAGTACCAGCTTTTCGCGTTGTTGATGGTTGAGGACGACGGTGCGGAGGTTGTTCACCAGGGTCAAAAAGTGTTGGCTGAAAGTAGAGGAATTAAACAATGATGGTGATAGGCAGTGTCGAAGGGGAATGTTTGTGATATATATAATGTGAGAAAAAAATGTCAAAAAAAAGTTTTTTTTAGATCAACTGAAGAGGGAAGAGCAAAATCAAAAAAAAGACCTCCCCCCCCCCAAAACAAAACCACCCCTCCCAAAAAAAATCTGTAGCGACTTCTTTATATTCAATGTCTAACAAGAAAAAAGCTAGACAGTCCTCTCCCCCCATCCCCGTTACTAGCGATGAAAAACATAGGCCGTGTAGGCCCGGCCCTACAATCTCACAACTGGCAGCACACCGGCCTTAAGCTAGAGTTGAAAAAGCCAGGGCTAAAAGCTGAGTTCGATCCAGGCTTGAAAAGTAAGCCCGAGCCTAGTAGACATGAAGAACAGTCCGGGGCTGAATGTTAAGACTGGCCAGATCTGAGTTTCTTTCAGGACGGGATTTTTCGAGATTTCCAGGCCCAATCCTACCCTAAATTTTGCTCAGGCCTGGCCCATTTCCCATGTCGACCCAAGAACACAAAGTTTAAAAAACGTTTTTAAAACGAGCCGGTCCAAGCTTACAATTTTTTTGGCCAGGCTAGACCAGTCTGGGCAAAAACGAAGAAGAGACGAGAATAAACTGCAACGGTCTAAGCCGGTCTGAGCAACGGTCTAAGCCGGTCCCAATTTTCAGGTCCAGTCCAATAAAAACTTTGCTCAGGCCCGGCCCGAATTGTTTTACGTGGAAACGGGCTGGGTCGGCCTAAGTTAACAATGAAAACAGACCGGGCCTCAAACGTGGGCCCGGCTCCTTTCTATCCACGCCCTCCCATACCCATTTAGACATGAGGGACGAACTGGTCCCAATTTTCAAACTCGGCCCGATAAAAACTTAGCCCAAGCCCGGCCCGAATTTTTTTAAACAGGCCGAGCCAGCATAAATTAGCAATGAAAACGAGCCAGGCCTAAAAAGTGGACCCGGCCTGCTTCTCACGCCCTAACCCTCAGCCCCGGCGCAATCTAAATTTTGCTTAGGACCGGCCCGGCCCGAATTTTTTTACGTGGAAAACGGACCGAGCCGACATAAGCCTTGATTTCAGGCCCGGCCTGACCTAAATTTGAACCATGCACGGCCCGTTCCTCATATCTACCCCATTACCTCCAAAACCCAATAAACAAGCCTTGTTATTACCTAGAATTCTGATTGCCAGCATGTTCGTCGAGCAGTTTCATAGCGGCGGGGTAGGATTCCAAATCGTTGGCGGTTTTCTCGACCAAACTGAAGACACATTTCAGGACGGCATCGTTCATTTCCGCATTCACGGCTCCATTTCGTACTGTGTTCTCGCGCTGAAGTTGGCGGATAACGGATTCTGGTGGCAGGAAACCAAATATCGATCGGTCTTGGCGTCGGGGGAAGTTCAGTTGGTCGGGCTGGGGCTTGGCTAAAGTTCTGAAATTATTTTACATTAATTTGGGTATTTTTGATGTTTTCTAAATTTTTAAATTGGTTTTGAATTTTTTAGAAAAAAATCATGACCAATAAAAGGTGTCATCATGAATAATAAAATATGTCATCATAAACAATAAAAAATGTCATGATGACCATAAAAAGAGTCATGATTAAACCTTTTACGGCATTTTTAAGTACTTTTTCGTTTAAAAAACAGTTATCCTAACAAACTTTTTAAAATTTTTTTCTCTTCATGACGATTTTGTAATGTCATCATGACATACTTTATAAATTAAAAAATTTTCAATATGCCATTCTCTGAGCCCTCTTATGAAATGTTTACTCATTTCCCAACTTCTCTGAAAAACTTTGTCATGACGTCTTTTTTAGAAGTTTCGAAAGATTCCTTTAAATATGACATTATTGGCCATTTTTATGAAATTATTAAATATTTAATAATTTTTTAGCAAAAACCTCGCATGACGACACATCTTCACATTTTAAAAAAACTTTTAATCTTTAAAAAATGTTTGTCATCATAACACATTTTTTAGAATTTCTCAAAAAATGCTGTCATTATGACATTTTTATAACAATTTATCCCAGATATGACATTTTGTAGCCCTTGCCACCATTTTAAAACTATATTTCTGCCATTTTCAATCATACATTTCCAGTTATCATCCTTAAATCACCATTCTTACCTACATTAATATCCAAAAAACCAAATTTTTTCCAAAAAATGACATAATATACAACAACTATCATACAATACGATCACTATACATTCCAATCTATACATAATATCCACTAAATGTTCCACTGAGCCGTTTGCGTCCATCAAAAATGAATTCTTTTCAGCATCAATGGAATGTTCGAGTACTTTATGATACTGTAAAATAAAAAATAGTCTTGATTTTAGGACATTCTTAGAAGGACAAACACACACACATACAAGAAAGTCCTATTTTTATATTATAAGCGGTCAAAAAGTCTACAGAAAAAATTTTATCAGCCAAAATCCATTTAAAAAAGTGTTTTACGGGTCAAAAAATTCAATAGAGCCACGTTTACCGGTCAAAAAGTGCATAGAAATACAGTCAAGGCGTTCAAACGAGGTCCTTACAAGCTCCACAGGGGGAACCACGTCCAACTTTTTTTCGAAATTTTTTTTTCTGGAGGTATTTCTGTCAAAAAGAGTCTGTAAAATCAGTTTTCCAAGCCTAAATTTCTATAAAGCCCCTTTCTTCGGTCAAAAAGTTCATAGAACCATTCATTTTATCAATAAACAAAATCTTAAAAGCGTTTTTATCAAACAAAAAGTTCGTAGAACCACTTTTATGGCTCAAAAATTTCACAAAATCTGCTGAATCGGTCAACAAGTTCGTAGAATCAGCTGTCGGTCAACAAGTTTTTTAAAACTCATCGACCAGTCAAAAAGCCTACGATATCAAGTTGAATGGTCAAAAAGTCTATAGAAACACATTTTATAGCCAAACAAAAGCTAAGAGAGTTTGTGTCGGTCAAAAACTCCATAGAATTTTTTTTATCGACCAAAACGTCTATAGAAACACTTGGATCGGTCAAAAAGTTTAAAGAATAGGTAACATTAAATACAAAAAGCTTATAAAATCACTTTTACCGATCAATAGGTCAATATAATACAGTTGACTAGTCGGAAAGTTGATAAAGAACACATTTTTATTGGTCAAAAAGTTTATAGAACCCGCCGAATCGGTCAAAAAGTTTAAAGAATCAGCTTAATCAGTCAAACAGACTACAAAATCTCTTACTATTAACAAAAAGCTAATAGGTCCCTCCTTTCCACTGGTCATAAAGTTCTTAGAATCCTAGTTTTCGGACAAGAGAATTTTTAATTCCAAAATTTCAAAAAAATTAAAAACTTACTCGACCTCGGCCTGTTCGGAGCTAGAGCTGTTCCTAGCGACAGGTTCATTTCCATCCAAATTGCCACTTTCCTTGGCTTCTTCGAGAACCTTCTCCTCTTCCGAAGTTAGCTTCAGATTCTCTCGAGGCGTTTCGGCTGGTGTTGGAATGTTGCAGATCTGGCAGGCTACGTTGTTTCGAAGGCCTGAAAATGAGCTCTACTCTTATATAATCCTCATTGAATCACATTACCGCTACAGTAATCCAGAAAATTTTAAATTTTGTTACAATAACTCAAATTAGTTTTTTATCTTGTTATAGTAACTAAAGTTACAGTATCTTACAGTAATCAAACTTTGATACAGATACAGTGAGTTAAGTGTTGTTACAGTAACCCAACTAAGTTTTTTACTTTACTACGGTAGCTCAAAGTGGCTCTCTACTATGTTACAGGACCAAAGATTAAGTCCATTTTTGTTACAGTATCCCATAGTAACTTCTATTTTTTTACAGTATCCCCTTACCCAAAATATTATCTATTTTGTTACAGTAGCCCAAGTAGCTTTCTTTTTTGTTACAGTAACCATGGCGTCCATTTTTGCTACAGTATCCCACAGTAATTTCAATATTGTTTTATACCCCCAAAATATTGTAAATTATGTTACAGTAACCCGTAATAATTATAAATTCGTTATAGTAACCCATAGAAGCTCGCTACTTTGTTACAGTAACCCACCTCCAATCCGACTAGAGCCTCTCCCAAATGGCATGACTTCAGTGATCGTTCCCATACTTAATGGCACGTTCTCGGTGTAGCAAATCTCAACGTGAACGGCGTTACTGACAAAGTAATAGTAGTCCGGGCCGGGTTCGCCTTCCTTTTTAGGTACGATTCTAAAGAATGGGTTTGTGGCCAGTTCCATAGGCTTTGTGTGCCTCTTGCAGAACCTAAAATATCGTACAAATTTTAAATCTTAAAAAAAATGTAGAAGATAGATATTTTTAATAAAAAATGATTATTTAGGTAATATTCGGCCATGTTTTCATAATTTCTTAATCGGTCAAAAAGTACGCAGAAAAACATTAAAAAACAAGCAAAAAACCGCCCAAAAAAGTTAATTCTACGTACTTTTGGACCAAAAAAAGCCCAACAACCTATGAAAAATTGTAATACAGTAGTCTCTCTATATAGTGAACCATCTGTATAAGCAACTCTCCTTATAGTAAACAACAAATTTGGCCCCGTCAGGTCAATTTTCACTAAAAAGCCTCTCTGTAAAGACAACACCCCTTATAGTAAACATATGTCGTTCCCTTCAGGTTGCTTATATAGAGGGAATACTGTATCGAATAGTAAATGACATATTTTATCGCATTCATCGATCAATTTTCTTTTTACAGTACTATCTCTATATAAGCAACCCGAAGGGACCGACATTCTATGTTTACTATAAGGGGTATTGCCTTTAAAAAGACGCTTTTTAGTGCAAATTGACTTGGCGGGGCTAAATTTCTTGTTCACTATAAGGAGAGTTGCTTATACAGATAGTTCACTATATAGAGAGACCACTGTAGTACCTGAACACCCACTTTCCAAAATTTTTTTCCAGTTAGCATCAACATTTCAAATTTTTTACCCCCTCCTCTCGCACCTCTAGCGACGTCCGTGCCTGAACCGTACGTTTAAAATAGAACAGCACACCGACAACGTGACTTTTGATCTCATCTTTCTTGAAAATTTCGAATCATTTATAAACTTGAGTTTAAAGTCACGTTGTTCCCACGTTTTTCTTCAACACGTCTGCTGTTTTTGAGACAAAGTGTTCAAGCATGGGTTTCTGTTTCAAGCAAAACAACTTTTAAATCTCCCTCGAACACTACCAAGTCCATTAGAAACACCTGTACACCAAAAATATTTCATAACGAACAAATTTTGAGCAATTCGTTATAGAGAAGTTACAACGTACAGTACTCTCTCTATATAAGCAACCCGAAGGGACCGACATTTTATGTTTACTATAAGAGGTGTTGCCTTTACAGAGAGGCTTTTTAGTGCAAATTGACTTGACGGGGCCAAATTTCTTGTTTACTATAAGGAGAGTTGCTTATACAGATGGTTCACTATATAGAAAGACTACTGTATTTCCTTTTCAAATTTTAAAACTAAAAATTTTCAAAAAATCAAGATTTCTATAATACAAATTTTAAAAAACCTACTCATCCGGATTAGATCCCTTCTGACACACCACCACCGTCACATAATGCGGCTTACTATTGCAGTAAAAGTCGACAAAGTAGAGGTTGACAAAGTGAGGTTTGATCAGCTGATCAGCCGGGATCGTGATCCTGACATCGCCGAACGGACTCGAGTTTGGCAGTTTTCCATCCACCTTCTCGGCACTGAAGAACAACCCTCTCAGTTTGCCATTAATGGGTGAGGCAGAGTGGCCGTTGTCATCCTTGATGTACTTCTCCATGATACGATTTCGATTCATGATGATCTCGTCAAAGTAATGGCGTGGCTTACATCGATACAGCTCGGTAAAGTTTTGGAGCGGGCTTTGGCCGATGAATCGTTTGGCCAACTCAAAAAGAGCGTCGATCTCTGATGGCTTGTAGACTAAAATATTGTTTTAGCCATTTAAATTTTTAAATTTCAGCCTTATAGGCTCACAAATGTCATTGTTTGGTTTTGAAAAACTTAAAAAAGTAAAATATTTATAAAAATTACAAAAATTTTTTTAAAAGATTTTTAGACATACAGTAGTCTCTCTATATAGTAAACCATCTGTATAAGTAACTCTACTTATAGTAAGCAAGAAATTTGGCCCCGTCAAGTCAATTTGCACTAAAAAGCCTCTCTGTAAAGATAACACCCCTTATAGTAAACACAAAATGTCGATCCCTTCGGGGTGATATAGAGAGATTACTGTAATTTCTCAAATTTTTCAAGATTTTTGAATTTTATAGCCTTATATGTTCAAAAATGACATTTTTTCGTGTTTTTGTAAAATTAAAAAATTTTGAAAAATTTTCAATTTTGTTAAAAAAATATTATTTTGAGACAAAACATCTCGTATTTTCCAAGATTTCCAATTTATAGCTTTATGTGCTCAAAAATGATATTTTTTCAAATTTCAAAAAAAATTGGCACAAAGATCGCTTGACCAACTCGAAAAGAGCGTCGATCTATAATGGTTTGTAGACTAAAATACTGTTTTTGATATAAAACTTTTAAAATTCGGCCTTATATGCTCAAAAATAGCATTTTTCGTGCATTTGCAAAACTTAAAAACCAAAAATTTTGAAATTTCAAAAAATTTTTTGGCACAAAAGTTCTCGGACTTTTTCAAAATTTTTTGAAAAAAAATATTTTAAAGTTCTCTATTTTGTAAAAACTACAAGCTTTTTAAGCTATTTTTACACTTTTCAAGTCAAATTTAGTTCTTTAAAAAAGTCCGAGAACTTTTGTGCCAAAACTTTTTTTCATTTTTTTTCACAAAAAATTTTAAAAGCAAATCTCATTTTTTTAATTTTATCCTCTTAAAGAGGCTCTTATCTTCCCGTAAACAAAGTTTTTGCCAAATTCATTCCCCGTTATTACCTAAAATAACAAAAAATCCCTTACCAGCTTTAAAGTCGATGGATCCATCCAATGCTGTTTTACCAGTCGATTTTTTGATCAAAAACAACATAAATTTGTATTCTCGTCCTGGTTCTGTCTTCAGCGTTACTGTGTTAATGTCTGAGGAGAATATCTCCGACTTTACTATATTTCCTTTGACATATACTTCGTATTTATACTGGTATTCTAGTAGGGCTGAAAGTAGGAGAATGTTATACAAAAATGCCATTTTACAGTAGTATAAAGCTATAAACTGGCACTTTACACGAAGATCATACACAAAAACATTATCTTTGTTATCAAACAACCTTGAACGATTTTGTGCCATTTTTAACCCATAACTCCACTCCAAAACTCACAAAGCTTAGAAATAGGCCACCACTTGACTGTACAGAATTCTGACGACACATCCACGTCCAATTTCAAGTAATCTTTGGCTGAAAAGTCCTCGAAACAGTCGTATCTTTTAAAGTCGTCTGGTCGATTCTCGCCAATACAAGATCGCTGATTCTCTAACATACTGGCTGATGGGGTCTCGAAACGGTCTAGAAATTTTAAAATAATGTTTGAAATATTGTTATCTTTCATTAACATTGATTTTCAAACCTTATTTTACAATAGAGCACCAAAAGCTAAGAAAAAAAGAAAATTATCCATGATATCAGATATTACTGCTCTTGATCATAACATGCCGAAGATGCAAAAAAAACAAAGACAGTGACTTTTGTGGCTTCAATAACTTCTTATACTCAAAATAAACCTCAAAAAAATGTTACAAAATTCAAAAATATTACTTTACTTGATAAACTTCAAAAAGCCAGCAATATCGACATAGGTGGCTTTTGTATGCCTATATTATACTCAATACGCATCAAAAGTATATAAACTTGTGTTTAAAACGTCCACAAGACTCTGTTCTTCCTTTTACTACACAAACTTACAAGAAATCTAACTAGAATACACCAAAACTTCAAAATGTTTAAAAATATTGATGTAGCTCAAGGTTGGTATGAATATCCGTCTGAATTCAGTCAGTACCCATAAATTTAACCTTAAAACCTGTGTAAAACCGTGCTCTTTCTTTCTTTTACCTAAACTTCAAAACATTCTAAAAGAAAATACCAAAATGTCAAAATGTTCAAAAATATTGGAAGCTCAAAGTTTATATCTATATCCGTCTGAATTCAGTCAGTACCCATAAACTTAAGCTTAAAACCTTTGCAAAATCCTACTCTTTCTTCTGTTGAACCTAAACTTCAAAAAAACTAATATAAAACATCAAAAACTCACTAAAACCATAATTTGGCATGTAACTGCGAAACATTGGTGCGTCGAAAGCTGGTGGATATTGTGGTCGAAACCCCATCATTGGCCCAGGATGATACATTCTCGGCCCTAACGGCCGTAACATAGGCATCGGCCTCGGCCCCATTGGACGTGGTGGACCTCTGAAAAGAGTTATATTGTTTTAGATGTAAAGACTGATCTTTTATTTAACAAGTTTTAATCTGAACCCTAAAAATTAAAACACAATATTAAGATATAACTTACTGCTGAACAAATCTTCGTCCATTGGTGTTGTTACCGTCATAATACATCTGAAAAACGGCTGTTTTAACGTCTTTTTTGTAAAATATCGTGAGTAACACGCAAAAATCATGAATAATTCAAGAAATTTAGCGAAAAATTAAAAAAACTGTAAGAAGGAGATGATGAAGATATAAAAGAAGCTTTTTCGATGACTGATAAAGACAAGTTTATTGTAATAATACAGTGAAAGCAAATCAACAAATTTCTCCGCAAAATTCGCCTTTTTGATAAAGACAAGCGCGCGCCCGAGTTCCCGCAGGCTGCAATTCCATTTTATACGCAAGATAAGTTAATGATAAAGATATGGCATAAAAACGATCAGTTAGGACAAAAATAGAAGGTAAATTCTAAAATAGATGTAAAATACGACGAATGCCTTTTGGTATGTTTGTAAATTTTAAATTTTGTTTGTTTCGTTTGAAATTTAAAATTTTTAAAATTTCGAAATTTTAAAATAAAAATCGAAATTGCCATTTGGAATCACTTGAATTTCTTGCCTACCAACCGGTCGGTCGACGAATGGCTACACCGGACAAAAATGCGCTGAAAGCCGATGAAATTGAAAAGCAAAAGTCGTTTCGGAAGGCGGCCGACAAGGTGGATCCGCCCACCGTCAACGTGCCCATGCCCGCGCCACAGAAGGATGTTAAGTCGTTGGACCCACGGACCGGCGTTTCGCAGATGAAGAAGGAAAAAGTGGGTTTTTTAAAGTTACAGTACCCTCTAGTAAAGATACTGTAATACCGTATCTTATACCAAAGTCATACTGTTCTTCAGTACCCTATAGTACAGATATACTGTAATATTGTATATTCTGCCAAAACAATACTGTACTACAGTACTCCTATCGAAATCCTACCGTACAACATCCGCTCCCCCTCACCCATCATAAACATACGGTACTACAGTACATTACAGTACCTTCCTTTTCAGAACCCGAATGTGAAAGTGAACTTGAAAGAGATGATAAAACAACATTTGCTAGCCGGTGCCAAGAAGATGGACTACTCGACGGACGAGATCCTATCCGTCCTGGAAGTAGCCAAAGCCTCGTTCGCAAAACAACCCTCCCTAATCGAAATGCCCGCGCCCATCAATATCTGCGGCGATATTCATGGACAGTACACCGATCTTATGAGGGTCTTTAACGTAAGTTCTTTTACCTTACCGAGTACTAGTCCCCCGGCAAATAATTTAATCTTCCCCAAAAGTCTATTTTTGCACCCCCTGGCACTACTCCGTCCCCGAAGAAAATTTTTACCCCCCCCCCGGTAAAAAACCTTCTAAACATTTAATTTTTACTCCTTCCGACTAACGAAAAATCTATTTTTGCCCCTCCTGGTAATAATCCACCCCCCCCCCCAAAACGTTTTTTTACCCCACCCGACGGATATACAAGCCAAAAATCATCTTTTACTGCGCCCAACCTTAAAATCAACTTTTTTAAGGTCTAGGTTCACCACGCTAAGATTTTCTTTAAACTTTTTACCCCCCCCCCATCAATAATCCTCCTCAAAAACCTTGTTTTACCCCGCCCGACCGATATCCAACTAAAAATTGTTTTTACCCGCCCAATTACGATTTTCTTGAAGTTTTTACCCTACCCACCAAAAAAATCCTAAAAAACGTCACTTTACCACGCCCATCCCTATAACCACCCTTTTTTAATGTTAGGAGCCTCCATTATGATTTTCTTGAAATTTTTTACCCCGCCCATCCATAATCATCCTCAAAAACCTTGTTTTACCTCGCCCGACCAATATCCAACTAAAAAACCTCGTTTTACCCTGCCCATAGATAATCATCCTCAAAACCCTAGTTTTACCCCTCCCATCAACAATCCTTCCTAAAAACCTCGTTTTACCCCGCCCATCAATGTTCCTCTCTAAAAACCTTGTTTTACCCCGCCCATCGATAATCATCCTGAAAAACCTCGTTTTACCCCGCCCATCAACAATCCTCCCCAAATTATCTTATTACCCCGCCCAAACCTAAAATCAACCAAATTTTAGTCGTGTGGCCTGCCATTCAAGAAGAACTTCCTCTTCCTGGGCGACTACGTGGACCGAGGCCATCACTCGCTGGAGGTGATAATGTTATTGATGGCTTGCAAAGTCAAGTTCCCGGACAATATCTGGCTGCTGCGAGGGAATCACGAGCTCAAGAACATTAATCGAGTCTACGGCTTTCGAGCCGAGCTCCGCCAACGATATCGACAGGATGGAGAGATGCTACACAACGAGTTCAACGATGTCTTTGCTCAGATGCCCTTTGCAGCACTAGTTCAGAGCAAAATACTGTGCATGCACGGGGGGTTGTCGCCGCTGATCAAGTCCATGGACGATATTCGAAAGATCACGAGAGGAAAGCACGTCCTGGACAAGGACAGCATCGAACAAGACTTGGTTTGGGCCGACCCCGAGTATGGAGTGAGAGGCTTCCAGAAGAACGAACTCAGAGGAGTCTCGTACTATTTTGGACCAGATGCGATTAAAGACATGTGTCAGAAGCTGAATATTGATATGATTGTAAGAGCACATCAGGTAAGACTATTGATTAGTTATAGAGATATTGAGCATATGGTTGAGCGGGTGAAAAAGGAATCAACTTCGATGTTACACTAGGTGACCGAAAAATACCTGGAGTGCACTCAATGAAATTGCTACCAAAAACCCCCAGGGTTTTTTCGGTGGCCCTAAATTTACTTTTAAACTGCCAAAGCCTAATATAATAGCTATTAAAACCACTTTCAGGTAGTTGAATTTGGCTACTCATTCTTCGCCAATCGTTCCCTTGTCACCGTGTTCACCGCAGCCCGATATCACCCCGACACCCCCAACTATGGTGGTATTGTGCAAGTCAGCAAGAACATGGAAATCAGCTTCCTCCAACTGAAACCGAAAGAAGGCCGTGAAGTTGGAGAAGTCGAAAAGAAAATCGTCCGAACCATGGACTGCGACGAGGAAGACGATCATAAAGATAAATAAACCTTGCCTTGGCTGTAGAATAGATTTTTTGACTACGTTGTGAGAGAATAGAGTAGCAAATTTACAAGAATAGGTTCTTTATATAAAGGTCTCTTTCCCCTACTTAAGGTGGGAATGTTTTATTCTAAAAAAACCATAATCCCGCTAAATTTTTATATTACCTACAAAAATTCTCAAGCCATTTAGAACAAACTTCTAACAAAAATATACTGCAAACCCATAATTTTTCAAAAAACAACACCAAAACCATTGAATAATTTTCACAAGCCCACGATAAAACGCAAAACCTTCTAAAAGAATCTTTCAATCATACTGTATTAAACGAATTTAAACCGAAACAACAACTTTTATAACAACCAGAAAATATCAACATAAAATTAGAAGACGAGTTGGTGGGGTCTATCGCCCTTCTGGATGCTGAAAGGTGTGGCGAGATATGACCTGAGGAATTTGGCGTCCTTGCTCTTCTTGATGGCGGCAATCAGAGCGGCGTCTACGGTCTTCTGGTCCTTCTTTCTTTGGTCGGTCACCGTGTATTGGGTCTTGGTTTCGGCGAAGATCTCACCCTCGGCCTTTGGCTTCTTCTCGGTGGTGCGCTTGAAGTACTCGTCGTTCAGGGTTTCTGGCACTTGCACGGAGGAAATATCGACCTTGGTTTGGGTGGCAATCACGAAAGCTTGGGCAATACGACGGAGTGGTGTTCCGTTGAAGCGGAGGGGTCCTGAAAATATCGGTTTTAACATAATTTAAGAGTAAAATATACGAATTGAGAGTGAAAACTAACTTGAAAGATAAAAAAAATAAGCTTTCTATACTAAAAAAACACCTTCTAGAGTCACTTCTAAGCTAATTGCAATCGTTATATACCGATTTTTTCTAAAATTAGATCAGAAATCAACTTTAAAACCAAATTAATAATCATCCTTCAAGCTCTTTACCTAAAACACAACAAAGAATGAAAAGAACTCACCAGACACCAACAAAAGACCGCTCTCGAGCTGCTTCAGGAAGACAACACGCTTTCCACGGTGACGTCCAGCCAAAACGATGAGAACGGTACCTGGAGTGATAGAGGCACGAAGTTTGGGGGTCTTGGCCTTGCGCTGGTTGTGTCTTGGCTTGGTGCCGACCTGTGGGAGAAGACGGCTGGTCTTTCTCTTTGGTACAACACGCTCACCACCGTTCTTGGCACCACCGACCTTCTTGGTCTCAGTGAAGGTGGACTTTGGTGCAACCTCGGCCTTCTTCAATGGCTTCTCCAACTTCTTCCACAAACCGCGCTTGTGGAAGATGCGGCCGGCCGAGAATCGGCTGATTCCTGGAGCGATCTCGCTGTTTCTTGGGAGTTTTGGAGTTTTCTTCGCACCCTTTTGAGCCATGTTAAACCTGCAAGTAATGCAATAACAATATGAAAAAAATTCAAAATATAGCGCGATATAAAGCCGAAACGCCTAAATTAAGCCTAATACCACAAAAAAAAGCTTCATTATCAGAATATAGCATCAAAACGTGGTAAAGAACGAACATAATATAAAATTATCTACTACATGATCAATATTACAATATATCTCACAATTAATAACAAAATACAACAGTAAAATAAATGACATACTAACGTAAACTATCAAATTTAAATTATAGTTTAATTCACTGCTAAAGACGGCCCTACAATATAAGAAACAATGAGTAAAGTAATATAGATCAGCCTAATTATTTCAATTTCAAATCATCTCATATCCCTAAAACTTATGCAAAGAAGAAAACTTTTAAAATCCCAAAATTCATTACAAAAAAAATAAATTTTGAAAAATCCACCCCTCCAAAAAACATGCCCAAAATTCCAATCCCCGCCAATACCAGCATCAATTCTCCAGCAATATTACCTAAAAATTAAAAACATCAAAAAAAGTTCAAATCTACCTGTAAATTCCTTGCAATTTTGTCCAAAAGGGTTTTTAATCGAAAAATGGGCAAGTGTATTTATTTTCCCTACAGTAAGTTCTACGTCGGAACGCCAACAAATATTTCGCGTCGGGACGGAACCGGGACGGCTGTGTTCGGTTGAAGCCAAATAATGGACAATAAAAGCCGTTTTTTGAGGGTTTCAACATAAACATAAAAATAGTCTTGCTTATATTTATTTTATAATTTTTTAAAATTTATATTTGCAACTTAACAAATAATTGGCCAAATGAGCTAATTTCGTTGAATTTTTCATATTTTTTCGCTTATTGGGCGCAGTTTGCATGTTAAATTTGCGGAAAATTGAGGGCGCACAGGTAGTTTGCCCGTTATTTTTTATATTGGTCAGTTTCTGAGCAAGCGTCTGATTTCGTTTGTTAACTTTTTGCGTTTTTATATAATACTAGAAGTGGGGGAGAGTTAACTAAAAACCTATATTATTCATGTTTTTTGTAATTTAAAGAAGGAATTTTGTTTTTAAGGGGTTACAAAATTGTACTTAAAGGATTTGCAATAATGCAGTACAGTCTTAACTATGTAATAAAGCTGTGACAATCGAAATATAATTAATTTTCTCGAGTTTGTAATAAAAAATGATGGATAATATAAAATTTGTTGGTTCAGGGATCGAATTTGGGATTTGTTTGTAGAGGACATCATAAATCAACAAAGATGAGTCCTGGATCGGTGGAAACGGTAACGGAGAAGGTGTAAGTTTATTTTTTGCTTTGTTTTTGTATTTAGAAAAAAAGGTATGATGAAAAACGCCTGAAATTTGATGATAATCTGGAAACATAGTCGAAAATGAAGAGTTTTTGATTAGTTTGTTAAATTTAAAGCTTCTGTAATATGACATAGGATGTTATCTATCTAAAGAAACTAATTTTATCTAGTTTTTGTTATCTAGAAAACTGTTAAATTCATTTATATCAGTAACATCATCAAGAAAAATTCCAAAATTTTTGGTTTTTTAAAGAAAAAGTTTAATTTTTTGCATTTTTGAATTAAATTTGCAATTTTTAAAGCTTCTCCAGTACGTAAAATGAATTAAACAAATCTTTCAGATCTCTTTTATCCAATGGAACACAACGTTCATTCACAGTCGGCCGGAACGTTGTTCTGCACGCTGCAGAAGACGAGAAACGCGACCGTGATTCGGATAAATCTCATTCCAAAGTCCTGTGCGAGTACAAATGGGACCCGAAGACCGTGTACGATGGTCGGATCCTGAGTGCACGCCAACGGCTAGTAGCCTACAGATTGTTCAACGAACAAACGGGTGAAGCGATTCGGGTGATGGAGCGAGAGTCGCGTGCCAGACACTTGATCAAAGACTTCAAACAGCCAATTGTGGATATTCAGTTCGCGGACGAGGGTGGGCAGCTGGCTGTGCTGGATAAGAATGCCAATTTGTATATCTATCATGTTTCGGAGGATGGCAGTGAATTGTAGGTTCATATTGTTATTGTTTTGGGGTTTTAGGTAGTTTTGGAGGTTCAAAAGGGGGCTTATGATCTACATGATGATGCTGAGACCTTAATTTATCGTATAGTAACTAAAACTTGACTTTTTTCAAAATTTATATTACTTTTGCGTTCAAAAACTTTCTTTTGTTACCTAAAATAATATTTTACGTTTCTTTTCTAAAATTGCCCTCACTAAAACAATATCCTTCCAGAACCAAGCATCTAAACATAATCCGCCCTAACAACTACGAAGCCCGCAACCCCAAGCTGGTCTGGTGCCCGTTCATGGAGGACGAGTCGGCCAACACCAGCATCCTGGCCGTCTACTACGACCGAACGGTGGAAATCTTCTTTCTCCACACCATAAAGAACGATTTTAACGTGCTGGAGGTGCAGCTGAGCGAGTTCAGCGTCAATTCCGAGCATTTCGTTCAAATTCAAACCGAAACCGACATATCAGCCGTCAAGATATCGCCGGACGCTACGGCGTGCGCGGTTACCACGGTATCTGGCGAGTTCATTTTTTACATTTTGGAGAATTTCCAAGGACGAGAAGCTCATAATCTACATCCTTTGAAGGTAAGGAGAGAGTTATGGATATCATTTCATATCAGGCCTTAAAAATAAATTTTAACCTACTACAACATGATTTTTAAACTAAAAACATCATTTTGCCCCTTTTTTGTCTAAAACAATATAATTTTTGTGGTAAAACAGCTCATTTCAAGCCCAAAGACGCGATTTAAAACCTATAACAATATCATTCTAACCTTAAAACTCAATTTCTCACCCAATACATCATGCTTCTAACCTAAAACAACATTCTTATTTCCCAAAACACAACTTTAAACCAAAAACATCATTTCCAACTTTCAAACGCCTCATTTTCAGAATCTCTACGTGAATGACATGCTGTTCCTGGATAACCTTAACAAAACCGAAGACAACTGTGACGGTCCCTACTGGAAATACGTGGTACTGATAAGTGATAACGGCCGCCGCTTGGGCATCTATTCATGTTACAATTGGGAATGTGTGGGAAAACTGAGATTCGAATCAGGGACATCGAAACTAGATGCCATATTGGATAAAACTGCCAGATTTGTATACTTGGCCGATTATGAAAATTCGGTAAGGGGGGTTTAAAAATCTCTTTTGTTCAAAAAAATCGGTTTAAAATGCCTAAAGTTATGTCTTTTTAACCTAAAACTTGAAAGAAAGTTTTCAAAATTTAAAATTGTGCCATTTCAGAACCTATTCGTCCTAGAACTAGCCCCAGCCTTCCCAGGAATCCAGCCTTACTTCGTGGCCTGCTCACAAATCTCATTCCATCAACAACTAATCTGCGTTGCGCCCTGTAGTCTAGAAGACGATATTAACACTGATACAGGTAAGGCTTGTCTCTCTCATTGGAGAATAAGAGTTGAAGTGAGGTCAGGGTTGGACACAGGGCAAGAATCAGACCTCAAATGCCCTGTAAGGGGCAAGGCAAGTCAATTGTCAATGGTTTGCCCTGTGTCCAAACATGACTGACTGAAGTTTCAATATGATTTTACATTAGTTTTTAAAAAATATTGCCTTAAGCTCGATTCTTAATTGAAAAAAATGACTTTCTAATGAGTCTCTACTTCGAAAATTGGAAAAGCCAAAAAAATATTTTCACGTCCCCGGTTAAAATTTAGATTAGAAAATTACCCCGCTCTGCCAATGCCTTCAGTTTTCATTTTTGCCATCACTTTTTTAGCTCAAATACATCCGGGTCCCCCATAGCTAATTCCATCAGGGACGTCGTTTGGGGGGGAGCTACCTGTGGACCAAAAAAATTTTTTTGGGCCTCCCCCCACAGAGAAAAAACCGTTGCGACGTCCCTGAATTCCATAATGCCGATTTCCTAAAAATTATTTGTATTTGAATCTCAACTACAGCTCCCTACCTTAATCTCCTTAATTTTATCCATACTTCCAAGTTTTTGCGGTAAAAATCCCAAATAATGAATATTATGTTACATAATCAAAAACCAGCGTCCGATCAAGGAAAAAACGCGCGGGAACCAAAGGCCAATATGAATAATGCTTTTACTATCAAAGTCAATGTTTTGCCAAAAAATTTGCGACAAATTTCTCCACCCAACTAACTGAGATCAATTGAACTGAACGGGAAATGATTTATCTGTCTTTGAAAGCGATTTTACAAAACAATTTCACGGTTTTTAATGGTTTGCGGGGGAAATTTTTTAAAATATTTTGGTTTTTTGAGGGTTTTTGGCTGATTTGCTGCTATTTTTGGCCTATTTTCTACCATTTTTAGCCGAGTTTTTAATACTTTTGACCGATTTTCTAATATTTTTGGCAAATTTATAGCTAAATTTAGCTTTTAAAACAGATTTCCAAAGGCTTTTCTTATCTCTAGGCGGCTTAAATCAATTCTAGTCATTTTTAGAGTTATTAAAGTTGATTTTTTGGCTTTTTGATCACTTTTTTTGCTTAATCCAAGCCTCATAATTACTTTTCTAAGACCTTACACTTGACATTCTTGATGTGAGAAGTGATTTATAAGATCATAACGACCCTCTTTTTGGCATATACGGCCTTATAAGGCAAAAACCTGACCTCTTTTTGCCTAATTTAAACCTAAAAAGTACTTTTTAAGACCTTATACTTGACTTTCTTAATGTGAAAATCGTTATAACATTATACCCTTGCTTTGCTAAAGACCATAAGCTTGTCTTTCTAAACCTGAACTACTTAAAACATCGTAACATTGACTTATACTACCATAACCTTACCTTTCTAAACCTAAAATACGACTTCAATCTAACACCCATTCATTTCCAGACGATCTTCTCCTGGACGACGAGAGTTTCAAAGCCTCGAAGGTGTGCGTTACCTTCGCCGCCATCACCAACCGCTCCCTGGTCGAGATCAAGGTAGAAGTGGAGAAGGCGCTCGACATTGCACTAGACGAAGACCCAGAAACCGGAGCCAAAATCATTGGGGAAAAGCTGGCGGAACAAACCAAACAACTCATGATCTCATCCCAACGCCTTCGCACCTCATCCGCCGCCTCGAACGAAATCCGAAGCCCCAAGGACGACATGCTACCCTCATTCAACAGCAGCTCTAGTACTGATCCCTCAGTACACACCGAACTCAGGCAATTAAGAAAGCTGCTACAGAATATCACAGAGAAGTCGACAGCGACGGAAAAGAGGCTGAATGAGATGAATATTCAATTGGAAAAGATCCACAAAGATAACACTGATTTGAGGAGGGAACAGACCGACAACTTGGCTGATGTTCTCGAGAAAATTTGTAAGTTTAATGGTGGTTTTGAAGGGTGAAGGATATATTAAGGGTTATCTACTACAATATAGAAGAAATATAATTTTTCACATCTACAGCTCCTCTCTTTACTATAAATTATACTATTAAGATTTAAAGTATTAGTAGCTATAAGATTTAGGATCCATACAGGATTCTGAATTTTTTTTCCTATAAGGGTCTGAATCGCTATACCTATGAGATTCAGAATACCAAGAGCTATAATATTCAGACTTCTTAGGCTTATAAGATTCAGAACTCCTATACCTATTTTTTAGATAAGATTCAGAATACGAATTCTTATAGGATTCTGTCTTCCTATGCCTATAAGATTCAGATTTCCATTACAAATTCGAAATCCCTGTAGCTATAAGATTTAGAATCCCTGTAAGATTGAGAATCCGTATGCTTATAGGATTTAAACTTCCTATAGCTATAAGATTTAGGACATCTATACCCACAAGGTTAAGAATTCCGATACTGACAAACACAGAACCTTCACATAATAACCCATTTTTTCAGCGAATGAAATGCGAAACCGCGACGAGCATATCGAACAAACCGTGAAACGCATGAACACCGACCTTCGAGTCGACGTTCAACGCATCGTCGAACAAACCCTCAACGACAACGCCGTTTCCCTTCAATCTACAATGGAAATGTCCAACTCGAGAGTGGTGGAGACGGTCAAATCCGTACTATCTCAACTACTAGTACCAGCAGTAGAGCAAATATGTAATCAACTACTACATCAACTGAACGAAAAGTTCCGTGATGGTCTACAAGAGTTCATAGAGCAAATGAAGGTGACACAATCACATTGTCCTACGCCGATGATACCTGACTACAATGTGTTGACGAGAATGATTGAACAGAATCAGGTTATCAAGGCTTTTGAGTTTGTAAGTTTTTAAATTGAAAATTAGGGTTAAGGTTAAAAAACGTAGGCTTAAATATAAAAAAATTAAGGCCAAGTTGAGAAACTAAGCGAAAAATTCTAAAATTAGGCCTAGCGGTTTGAAAAATAGGCCTAAAACACTTAAAATTAAGCCTAAATTATTATATGTTAGCCCTAAAGTAAAAAGTTAGACCTAAAGGGCTACAAAATAAGCCCAAAGGGATCAAAAAATTTTTTAAAGATTAAGGTCAGGCCTAAATTTTTAAAATATGCCCTAAGGTAATAATCTTAGCCTAAAGAATTTAAAATTAGTTTTAAAAAAAATCAAAAAACTAGGCTTAAAGGGCTAAAAATAGGCCTAAAGAACCAAAAAATAGACTTATATTATTATAAATTAGCCCTAAAGTCCATATATATTTGATTTCTATACCAACAAATCTTTTACCCCCAAAAACCTCAAAAATCGCTGTGATCTACCCTCAAAATCAACCCCACTCTTAACATTTAATATAACATTTCCAGGTAACCCAACACAACGACTACACCGGCATCATCTTCCTCTGCAACAAACTCAACCCCGAGACCGTCTTCAACGACTCGAAACTCATCTTCCCCCACAACGTCCTCCTCTCCCTCGTCCAACACCTGGGCCAACGCTTCGAAGAGGACACCGAACTCAAGCTCAACTACCTCGAGAATATTGCCCTCAGCCTGGAACGCAATCCAATCGCCCACTTTGACACGTTCAAACTGACATTGGAACAGTGCAGTGCCGACTTGTTGGAGTTTGTCTCAAAAGAAAAGTACCAAAAGTACAAACGACAAGGACGGGTGATAAGCCAGCTCATTGTTTACGCAATGAAGAAGTAAAACAAGGTGAAGACGAAGAGAGGAATAAAATAAAGAAGAAGAAAGGAATAACGTATAAGAGGAAGAAGGGAACAACGTATAAGAGGAAGAAAAGAATAACATGAAGACACTTCACAAGGTGAAGAGATGAATAACTTAAGGGAATATTTTGTCAAATCACAACCTATTGTATTTGTATATGTTATCAAATGTCATTTTTCACACTTCTCAAGTAATAACACTTTTTTTAACCCAATGTCTGTCGTCTTATTGTGAACGAACGTGGTGCTTTAGGATTGACTTTGAAATCGTTATTAGGTTGTTTAAATAATTCTGTGCCCCCTCTCTCAAAACAAATTTTTAGGGTTAGAGGGACAGAATCGGTTGAACAACCTAATTTTTTAAAGCTTAGGATAGAATAGGTAACAGTAATTTCGAAAAAAGGCGAATATAGAGTTCAATGTCTGATAGGATGATTCATGTTGACTCTGGCCAGTTTATACTAATAATAAATAAACCAAGAGGAAACAAGTCATTCTATCTTATATTACGACACCTTGAAAAGGTATACTTAAATCTAAACATAGCCAGGAGTGTCAAACTCTAAACTTATGTTATAATAGGCCCTTCAACATCCCTTTTGCTACAGTTGTCTCTGTAGAAAAGCTATGTTCAGATTTGAATATACTTTTTCAAGATGTCGTAGGATAAGATAGAATGACTTGTGTCCTCTTACTATTGGTTTAAGATGGTACTAGTAGTATAAACTACCCAGTATTATAAAATACCATTGAGCAGTTTATATCATATTAGCCTCTTTCGCTCAATAACAAGTTCTTACTAGGTTTTCTGGCCAAGTACTATGACTTATGTCTTGTGACCTACAACATTTTGAGGAGAATCACAACTCTAAGTTTTTGGTTAGTCATGAGCCTTATTGCTATCGCCCAAAGTCCCCAATTTCCACCACATTTTTGTTTACCATCCCCTTTATCATTACAAAAACAGACTTACAGTGTAAAACTTTCATTAAAAAACACTGTTACATTGTAAACCTTCATTACAAAACAGTCTTACAGTGTAAAACGATTCTATGCTCAAAAGAAAAAACATTAAAAAATACTCAAAATAATTGTTAAAAAAGCCTTTGTTTATCTATTTTGGCTGATATTTGTTGTCGTTCTGCTATCAGAAGGTCATTTGTTGTCATTATATACTCTACCAAAAGTTCTTGGACAATTTTTATCTAATTTTTTTAAATTCAAAAGAAAATATTGTTCGAGAACGTTTGAAGAGGGATATTATACTTTTTACTATTTTATTTTTCAATGCCCTATAATATTAGCTTGTTCAAATAAGTCTGAGCCCCCATATCCCCAAACATTTGCTTTGAGAGGGGGCACATAATTAAATGAACAACCTAATATTACGTTTTTTACAAATATTTTTCTATTTCTTATATTATTTTTTTTTATTTTCAATTTCCTCTATTTTACATTTAAAAAAATGCACTTTTAACGCATTTTTTGAATTTTTAAAATTTTTTAGTTTTTACTGTCTACCAACTTCTATAGCAACCTTATTGCTTCCTAAGAACCTTTACAATCTGCTACTTTTAAACATTGTCGCTATTTTTCTTTTTATCATCTCAATCCTACGTTTCTTTATCACTCGCCATGGTTAATATTACGTTGTATAAAAAGTAATGAGCTATGTCTCATATCTGAATCAATAGCTCATTACTTTTTATACAACTATACCATACTATTATTAGGTTGTTAAATTAATTCTGAGCCCCCTTACCCGCAAAACCAATTTTCGGAGAAGGGGCACACAATTATTTGAACAACCTAATATTATAGAGTCAAAAAAGTTTTGTCGTTTATTTCAAAACATTTGCATTTTAAAAAACGACAAAACTTTTTGACCCCCTAGTATTATCACCTTTTATAATATTTGTCATGCCATGGTAGCTATCATATTTTAAACCTATGCTTCGTTAGTCCCAATTAGAAGCCTAAACACAAAAAAAACAATAAAAAGTTGTATTATTTTTATCAATTTATATTTGTCCCCAGATCTCCTGCCTCATCGTTGTGCGTCTTATTAACTATTGAATTTCGAAAAAAAGAAAAAATAAAAAAAAATAAAAACCCTAAAGTATTCGGATTGATTTGGAAGTCGAGAAAGTAAAAGATAAAAAAGTGACTAACAAGGTCGATGATAACCAATCAAATCTCAAAAGCTTGAGGAAGGCATACACTGAAACTCCTGTATAAATTTCTCGTAAATTTTAAATTTGTTTGTTATAAAGAGATTTCGATATAGAGGAGTTTTAAAGGCACTGTAGCCGAAAATCCAAAAGTTTTTCAATTTTAAAAACACCATAAACCAATGAAAAACAACCTTTTCCAACCACCAAACCAAAAAACAACCCTCTCCTACTCCCAAACTCAAAAATAGTACCAAAAAGTACTATAGAATGCCAAAAATGCGTACGCCACTTGAGATTCCAAGGACGTCTCCGATCCATGTACTAATCAAGCGCACCGTTGCTTAACTTGCCAGATCGGACGGGATGGCGTGCGTTCAACGGGCTATGGGCGTACACAACTCCCTCTCTTCCCTTTTCGAACCCTTTTGGAGCTGATTAGTTTGTTGAAGGAGGTAAAATACGGTGCAGAAAGTGTAATATATGATTTGAAAAAAAGGGGTAATATAGGACTAGAAAAAGAGATTTTGAAGATAAAAATCACACCACTTTTAAAAATTTTAAATTTAAAATTTCTGTTAAATTCACTTTTAAGTATAAGAGTTTCACAGAATGTAGAAAAAAATAGGTAGCACAGTCTGTCTCTCTCTATCCACTAACGGCATTTTTTTAGTTTTTAGATCCTCTAACCAGGACTAACAATTATATTATGCATGTCCCACACATTTCGATCGTCATCAAATCCACACGTACAAAAAGGAAAAACGGACTGGACGAAAGCTACAGCAACTCTTGTGTAACGATCACCTTTATAATAAAAACCTTGCATGACGAATAACTTTTAACTCCCTAGCTAACTCTACTACAGTGAATTTAAAACTCCTTGATGACAGAATTCCTTCATAACGGACAATTTTAAAATCCCAAGGCATTTGCTATACAGAAGTTCCACTTTACTTAAATATTCACTCTAGATTACATTTCCAAAGGTAATACCGACAGATCCACACTCACGGTACCAGATTAAACAAAGTAAAATGTCGAGAACAACTCACAAAACTTCAAACTCCGTTGCTAGATCCTAAACCATTCAAACACAAGGCCACACAGAAACCAAATTTCTCAAAGAAGTCATGTCTAACCTATAATATTAAAACAACAACCAAATTCAAAGTACCTAACCAACAACATACTGAATATCAAGCAGCGAAGCCAAGCCTTACCAGTATTGAGTACGACAAAACATAACACTACTAAATCGATAATGAAAACCCATTATACAACCCGTATTTTACTTATTCTCAAAATCATTCAAAAACAAACTAATGCTTGAAGAATAAGAGTTGTTACCTAAAATTCAAAATTTGTTACCCGAAGTTTAAATTTGTTACCTAAAATTTAAAGTCGTCACTTAAAATCAAAATTTGTTACCTAAAGCTAAAAATTGTTACCCAAAATTGAAATATGTTAGCTAATATTCAAATTTGTTACCTAAAAACATTTTCCACCCATGCCATCTTATAAATCCTAAAAATAAAGCAGCTACCAACAAAACGTTTAAAAATACTACTCCAAATCATTCAAAAACCTCTAGACTTATAAACTTCTTCTTCCCAATATTATAGTAGACCATCAGAAAGCTCGCGCCACAAAAACAGAGAAAAAACATAAAAAATCAGTAAAATAACCCAAACCAAATACAAAAACTAGGTAAAATACACCTCCAGGTATTTAAAAAATGTAATTTCAAGTTGTGAAAACCCCAGGAAAATAAAGAAAAATCAAATGTTATCATGAACAAGAAAATTCCAAAATAAATTCTTTGGAAAAGCGCGGGATTTCAAGAAGCTCGCGCCCGCATTTTGCTCAACTGCAGCCTGAGGCGAGCGAAAAATCTTAGTTATTTAGATTTAACACTGTTTTTACTAGTCGATAAGACCAAAATAAAGAAAAAAAGTGATTTTACTAATCAAGACGACATCCAAAATCAAAAAACTGTATAGGTGTACAAGTAAAATACGTAGATAAATTAAATTTTTCATTTAAACTATCAAAAGTCATATTTTCAACGAGAAAAATCAAAATTTTTATTCCTCTACAACAATATAAAACACCTCTCTTTTACCTACAAACCCTAAAATAGTACCAAAAGTACCATAAAATGCCAAAAATGCGTACGCCACTTGAGATTCCAAGGACGTCTCCGATCCATGTACTAATCAAGCGCACCGTTGCTTAACTTGCCAGATCGGACGGGATGGCGTGCGTTCAACGGGCTATGGGCGTACACAACTCTCTCTCTTTCCTTTTCAAACCCTTTCCTTTTGGGGCTGATTAGTGGGTTGAAAAGGGGTAAAATAGGCAGAAAAGGAGTGTTTACGAAGGTGAAGTAGTATAACTTTTAAAAAATCATTAAACTTAAAATTTTTCTTAAATTCGTCTAATTTTCAACCCTATTTTCGAGTCCACCAAGGTAAAATAGACCGAAAACTGGTAAAATATGTTGAAAAGCCCAACTCTATTACATTCTATAATAGTTCATTACCTTATAGATATTAAAATAGTTGAAGAATGGTCATAATATCCCTTCTTAAACATCTCCCTCACAGCGTTCAGCCAAAAAAAACAAAAAAATCAAATTTTCTAAAATCCATTAATTCTTTCGCAATTGCCATTTTGACTAAAAACCTAAAAAATAAGATCAAAATGACAAAACCTTCAATAACAGTCTCATTTCAAAGCTTTTATTGTGTTTTTTATTAAGTGAAGGCGTACAACTAATGCTTATGAGATATAATAGAGCACATATATGAACTGATGTTAAATAGCACGTTTACCCAGTAAAATTCGAATATATAGCGGGGGGGGTGGGGGGGGATAGGGATGGGGCGGAAGAGGGAAGGGAAGATACAATGACAATCAATGGTAAATCTGGTATTACATTGTAGATTTGATATATACTGCACTAACGTATTTTACAAAAAAAAATTATACCTTGAAAATTGTACCGCATCACTTACAGAATACATCAGTATAATTTACAATATCCTTTTCAAAATTAAAAACTCTTTTCCGAAGCTACAGTACTTTAAGGCTCTAGAGTTTACAGTAACCTTTAAAAAACTACAGTAACTCTGAATTACCATGGCTTTCAAAAGAGTATACCTTTGAACGTTAAAAAGTTACTGTAGACTTCAATGATGCTATAGTTTACAAAGCTACAGTAACTTTCACAGCCTAAAGTATTTGAATAGCCTACAGTAACTATTAAAAAGCTACAGTAAATTTCAAGTACCATTGCTTTCAAAACAGTATACTACGTTTGAAATTTACAGTACACTTTAATAAAGCTACAGTGTATTTTCATAGCTTACAGTAATCTACAGTAACTTTTTTCATGAATCTACAGCAAAATCTAGGCCCCCAGGCATTAAATAATTCAAAATAAAGCCAAAAACCATAATTTTAAACATCAAAGTAAACACATATTACCATAGTAATATCTACGGTAATACTATAGAATTGACAGCATTACTATAGTAATGTTATCATCACATTACTATAGAAATGTCGTCAGCTTGTTAACATTTAAACATAAATTAGGATAGAAAAAGCACGGGACGATATAATATAGTTGGTTGGAACGGTAGAGTACATACTTCCACAAGATATTCCATATAGAATAGTGAACAAATATGGTGCCAAACTTTCCACAGTAAATTGCAGTACCATATATAAACAAGGTGAAGCTTGATCATAGTACCAACTTTATAACATTACTATACAGTACCATATATAGGAACGGTAGAGTGAGCACAGTATCAGCTTTACATAAGTACTATACAGTAACGTATGTGAGTGCTGCATAGCATTAATAGTATCAACTTTATAACAGTACTATACAGCAACAGATTCTAGTACGGTAAAATGCTTAAAGTACCAACTTTAACATCTTATAAGATACCAATTTTAATACGGTTGAATACAGTAAAATTTTTGAATACGGTACGTACAATTACAACTTCTGGCTACAGAACCATCCTTAAATACGGCAGCTACAGTTAAAGCTTCTGGCTACGGTAACATTCTTGAATACAGTATCCATACTTCATCACTTCTAACTACCATAACCACATAGGACCATAGACCACTTTAGGACCATAGACCATTTTAGTGAACATAGAATGACTACTGTAATATTTACAACTTTTCCTGTCGTAGAAGTCGGTCGACCTTCTCCTCGAGGCACTGTAGCCGAGCGAACACGTCTTGGCGGAACTGGTCGAATTCGACCGCTGTCACCGGTTCTTTGCTCAGTTTGGCTGTAATCACAATATTTTGACATTTTCATTTGAACTTTAATTAGAAATTTCGAAAAACTTAAACTTTAGGTACTTTTCATACCCAAACTTCCAATTTTCACCCATTTTTCTACTTAAAATACCAAAATTTTAAAATTTCAAAATCAAAAAAAAATTAACCCACCACTAGCATTGTCCGTAAAATTCTGTTGGAATGTTTCCATATCCTTTAGCAAGCCCTGAACTTCTTGTTTCTTATTGACCGGCGATGCTTGCCTGATTGGGCTGGGCTTTTCTGGTCCCGCAGGGAAGACAGTGGTGGCTGGCCCGCTGGAAAAGGCTGTTGATTCGACCGGAGTTGTCGGCAAATCTTTTGGCTCTTCCGATTCTGGTGGATTCGAATCGAAGGGGAGAGACTGAAAAGGAAAAAAAATATTATAAAAAATTTCAATTAAAATTTTCGAAACTCTATAATAATTGATGTTTTAAAAGCAAGGCAAGCAAGTAGGAAGAAGGGGAAGAAAGAAAGATAAGTGTTTCCATCAGGGTTGGACGCAGGGCAGGACATGGACCCGGTAACAGGGCATTTTTGAATTGTTTTTTGGCTCGCTTTTTTATTTTTTTTTGGCTACGCCTGAAAACGCAAAAAAATTCTAGAAATGGGTTTTAAACACTGTTAATCCATTTTAAGTCAAACAATTTTAAAATGAAAATGAATTTCCAACAATGGTGAACAATTTTACTTTTTTAATTATCCATAAAAACCGAAAAACAATTAAAAATGATTTATTATAGCGTAAGAAAAACTGTTTCTAAGTCATCTTCGCATTTGGCGACATGGTATCTGTAACCATAAATTTCTATTACTATTAACAGTTTTATCCTAAAACAACTTTAAAGAAACCATTAACTTACAACAGCTTGATCTTTACTATAAAAATTAATCAAGTTCTTCAGAGCAGGAGAATCTGCGACAGAGAATGGAATATCGTTTAGAACACACAAGTCTGCTATCAAAGACGTAGTTGTTTTATATCTCGGTTGACTGTAACGTCCAAGTTGAGTTGCTGGCCTTTTTCGGGTTGAGTATTCTTCGTACAAATCGGGATGTCGAGTTCGTAGATGGTATAATTTGGGACTTGTAGACCCGTTTTTCTTGTAAACGTAAGAATTGTTAGCACAGTGTTTACAAACGTACTTTTCCGTACCATTTAGGGTTACAACATCAAAATACCTCGACAAAGTAAACATCGGTAAAACACCGAGAAAACAATTTTTACAATAAAATGAATTTCAAACAATTTTGAACAAATCAAGCGAAGTAAAAAATTGTTTTGTCTCTTTGTTCAAATCATTTTGAACAAAAAATTGTTTAGTTTGGTTATTCAAATTTTTTTGTTTTTAACAGCACTGCACTCCACCCTAAACAAATGGAAAACGAACTATCCTTTTTTGACGTTTCGCCGCATCACGGTTGGTTTTAAAATTAAAAGCTGAAAATGTAAAAACACTTTTATGAAACAATTGCAATTGTGAAATAACAAAAATCATATATTTTTTAAATGTACGTCCTTAACCTGTTGAAATTTACCATTAGTTTCTGCTACATTTTGGCCAAAATAGTATAAAAAGTTTGAATATCAGGCGAAAAAAGCGACCGAAAAACGAAAAAAGAAATGAAACAAATTATCGGAAAAAATAATGGATTACGAAGCTCTACTTTGACTGATCTGTCGACTTGGAGTGCACTGTTAAAAACAGTCAAAAACCATCCTTTTAAAATCAGATTTTTTGTTTTGGTTTATTTCCTGTTCCCATCGGCTTTTTAAAACTTTTTCAAAAACTAACAGGATAGAACAGTTCAATATATGTAATATTGATAATCTTATCAAAAATCATTAACAAAAACAAAATTTGTAAATCAAAGCTTCGAAAAATTTTAAGAGGCCCTGCCAGATATATATTGCAACATACAGTGTAACCACTGTAAACCAGTTCCTCTATAACGCAAATTTCTTATAACGAGCAGCTTTTATTGGATTGAACCAAAAGTGGCGAGACAGTTTTTTGTTGAAAAAAATGAAGAATGTCCCGATACTTTTGATTCAACCTAATAAACATTATATTAAAAATCTACAAGTAATTCGTTATACAAGAGTTCCACTGTATTATAATTCTTTATCTTATAGGTAAAGATCCTGAATCTTATGAGTATGAGGACACAAATCCTGTAGAGAATCTGAATCTTATAGCTTTTGGAATTTTGGATCTGATAGGTTTAAAAAATTCAATTCTTTTCAAAATCCTCTCTTTTCCAAAAAATTGAAAAACCCCTAGATAGACACTGCAATATATAGTCAAAGAAAATCATGAACGATCAAATGCTCCAAAACTTTTCATTTGTCAAGCTATTAAAACCAAAAAAATCAAAATTCTTTCCAAACCCTTACCAACTTGGACTGCCTGAACTGATTCGAAGGTGGTCGTTTTCCGTTCATTTTAGGCCGTGCTTTCGTCAGTGCTTCCAATTGGCCGGCTTTGCTCTCATTCACACTGTCTTCCTCGTTCTTCTCCGGTGATATTCTAGTCGGATCCATGATGGAATGTCTTAGTCCGGGTATGGCTTCTCGTTCCTCCTTTAGGGGACCATGAACTGATGATGTCATCGCATTACTGTGGGAAGTGAAGGCCGGTCGATGTGGGGGTAGTTTGCCTTGGGGGAAAAGTTTTGATTGTAGGCCAGCGATGACTGACTTCCTCTCTTCTAGACTGGACTTGACTGTGGATGTTGAGGATGAGGTCGAGGTGGATTCGGGAGCTTTGTTTTCGGATTGGATTGTGGATTGGCGTTCTCTGATAAGGTCTGAGGGTTTTGTGGGTAAGCCGTTGCCATTTGATGCTGATGGCTGGACTGGGGATTTCTATAACAAGATTTTTCCTTATCTTTTGCTATAAAAAATTTTTAAAAAAATTCAATTTTTTTTTGAAATTAAAAAAAAAATTTCCTAAAAAAACTTTAAAATCCAATATTCCCCTACCTGTGGTGCATCTCCATTTGAAGGTTTCGCACTAACTACTGGTTTTGTAGGCTTAGCTGGTAGACTTGGTGGCGTTGTGTTGGTGGCTTCTGCGTACTTCTCCGAGCTTGACATTAACCTGACAAAGTTTTCTGGGAAAACACCTTTTCGGCCGTTCAATTCGCCTTCATACCAACCTTCATCAGCTGTTTTCTTGTTCAGAACGACAATGATTTCACCTTCTTTCAGCTCCAACTCATCTGGATGTTCGGCATTGTAGTCGTAGAGGACTTTACCGTATTCTAAAACAATATCCGTTACTTCGAAGTCTTTAGGCACTTTAAAAACTACAATACCTTCTCTTGCCGTAAAAAAAACCTTCAAAAAACCGTCAAAAACTCATAAATTCCAGAAAAAATCGCCTTTTTGGTCGAAAAATTTTCAAAAACCGCCATTTTCAATCAACTTCTCCTCTTCAAAACCTAAAAATCAAACACAAAAATCAAGTTAAAATACTTACCTTTAAGTCCAGGTGAGCTTGACCCAGAACTGTTGAGTTTTGTGGCTGAACTTGAGCTTCTAATCGTGTCTGTAGGCGGTTTTTGAATCGACTTTGGTCGAGATTTGTCCGATTCTTCACGTTTTATCTGTTGAGGTCGTTCGTTCAATGAGTTTTCGTTTATGGCATTCGTGTAGGTGGCTAAAGTAATGTCAGTATTGTATAACAAATTTGTGTTTTAGTTATGAAACAACTTTTAATAAGCAAAAAACATAAAATCTTAACAAAAAACCTTCAAAACCCCTGCCCGTACCTCTATTTCATTATACATACCTCTATTTTGAGAAGGTACAGCTGGGAATGTGACAAAATTCGTTGGGAACAACCCAATTTTTCCATTCAATTTGCCCCTTGCCCATCCATCTTCAACGTCCTCCAAGAATTCAATGATATCGTTCTCGCATAGTGTCAGTTCATCATCTTGGGCCGCGTCATAGCTGTACCTTACTTTAGCCAAAACTTTTCCGACGTCTGAAGGAGGCAATTAAAAATGGGATTTTGAAGTTTAAAAATCTATGCTTTACATTCGAAAGCCAAGGTTAACATGAAAAAGATGCTTTTAGCACTCAAAAGTTTTAAAACACTATGATTAAGATCCGAAAGCCAAGTTTAACTTTTAACATTCAAAAAGTATGTTATTCATCCAAAACTAACCATAAACGCTATTGTTATAGCCAAAAGCTATCCTAAATTATCAAAACAATAAAGAGAAATATTACTCACCTCTCTTCACTGGAACCGACATTGCTTGTTGTGAGTTTATGTCCTTACTTAAGCGGTTTATTAAACGAGCAACGTTTCCACCTGGCTGAAAAGACCTTTCTTATTTTGATATTACAAGAGAAAAACAACGTTTATATTATTCAAGTCTTTAAAACCAAGTTTTACAAAGAAAAACGAAAAGAATCATCAAAAAGTTAAGACAAACCAAAATTTAAAAAACTTAAAAAACCAAAAATTTTAAAGCCCTTCAAAGGACAAAATTATATAGATGTTTTAAATGCCTATACCTAACAAAAAACGCCTTTTCTAATAAAAACCACCATCTTTTTCAAAATAAATTAAAAGAACTTGCCCTACCAAAAACATGCTCTCCTATTACCCCTTACAAAATCTACTATTTTGACAAAATAAACCCAATTAATCGATTGAAATTGCATGTCATTCCGGTTATGCCTTGATAAGAATAAATTATTTTAAGCGCGAAGCAGAATGAATCATAATTCCTCCTTCTAACGGAGAAAAAACCATCTTTTTTATTGCTTTTTCAAACCAAAATTCGGATTGTTCTTTGTCAGAATAACATGAAATTTTGTTTTAAAAATGTGTAAAATAACAAAAATGGCAAGTTTTAGAAATGAGTAGTAGTTTAAGATAAGAATTTTAGCTAATTTAGAAGCAAGTTATAATAATGCCCTTTTTTAAACGACATAAAGGCAATAAAGAGTTTTGGTAAAATATACAGAGCCTTTAAATGAAAGTAAATACAAGTCCTTGAAACTTTTCTTTGAACAAGCAATCCAATTACAAACTCTAGTGGCAAATTCAACACAATTCAAAGCTTTTTTAACCAGCACTAATCATATTACGACCCTATCAACGTGCTTACTACTCTAAAGACCTCATATGTTGAAGATAACTCCACTTTTTCCTAAAGTAATACCATTTTTTGAAAATAGTAATACTTTTTTTAAAAAGTACTGCTTCTTTAATATATGGTACCATTGTTTTAACATAGTACCAATTTTTTAAAAATAGTACCATTTTTTGTAAAACAATACCATTTCTTGAAAAATAGTACCATTATTTTAAAATAATACCAAGTTAACCGACACAACGTTTCCTAACTTTCATAATGAAAAACACAAACCGTGAGAAAATCCATCATCGCCCACATTCCATTCAAATTAGCCAAACTTAACGTACAGTCCACCGAAACTTTTCGAGAATTGGAAAAAAAAAATAAAAAATGTTGATGATAATAAGTTTTTATATTTTAAAAATTATAAAACACTAAAATAAATTTAAAAAATGTCATCATCATCAACATTTTTGCAGATTTTTACATTCCTAAAAAGTTATTGTTTACTGTACGATAAGTTTGGCTAATTTGATTGGAATGTAAGCGATGATGGACTTTCTCACGGTTTGTTTTTTTCATTATGAAAATTAGGAAAAAGTTGTGTTATTTTTAGAAAAAAGTAGTACTATTTTTTACATAAACTGGTACTGTTAAAATAATAGTACTATTTATGAAAAAAGCGGTATTGGTTTAAAAGAAGGTGTACTTCCCTTTGAAAATGGTACTATTTTAGAAAAAACTGGTATTATTTTTATAAAAACTGGTACTATGTTAAAACAATGGTATCATTTATGAAAAAAGCAGTACTTCTAAAAAAGTGGGTACTATTTTAAAAAAATGGTATTATTTTAGCAAAATGTGGGTTTATTTTCAACATGAGATCGTTAGAGTAGTAAGCACGTCGATAGAGTACGTAATATGATTAGTGCTGGTAAAAAGCTTTAAATTGTGTTGGGAAGTTGAGTTTGCCACTAAAGTTTATAATTGGATTACCTGTTTAAAGAAAGGTTTCAAGGACTTGTATTTACTTTCATTTAAAGGCTCTGTATATTTTTACTAAAGCTCTTAACTGCCTTTATGTTGGCTGAGGACATTATTATACTTTGATTCTAAGTTAACTAAAAAGGCTTATCTAAAATGACTAATAATTTCTAAAACTTGCCATTTTTGTTATTTTACACATTTTTAAAACAAAATTTCATGTTATTCTGACAAAGAACAATCCGAATTTTGGTTTGAAAAAGCAATAAAAAGATGGTTTTTTCTCCGTTAGAAGGAGGAATTATGATTCATTCTGCTTCGCGCTTAAAATAATTTATTCTTATCAAGGCATAACCGGAATGACATGCAATTTCAATCGATTAATTGGGTTTATTTTGTCAATAGTAGATTTTGTAAGGGGAAATAGTAGGGCTTGTTTTTGTTAGGGGGTGTTTTTGGCTTTTTGAATTGAAAAAAGGGGCGTTTTTTGCGATTTTTTTGAAAAAAAGATAGCTATACTGATAAGAAAAGTTTCTTTTTGTAAAAAAAGAGCATTTTTAAATCGTCAGTACCTCAACTTTGCCATAATTATTGTCTTTAACCCAAAATTGAAAAAAAATCTGCGAAAAAAATTCGTTTTAAATTTTTTCAAAAATGCCACTTTTAGTAAGAATCACTTCTACAAACTAGTTCAAACCCATTTATATCCCGTAAACCTTTAAACAAAATATTCAAAATGGCATAAATCAAAGCTGAGCCCTTTCACACCCCCTGAAAAGCAACCCCTATCTTCCATCTAATAAATTTCCAAAAACAAACCTTAAAATTTCAAAAACAAGCCGACAAATTAAACCACCGCCCGAATTTTGGATTGGAAATCCTCGAATTGACCACAAAACTTGACCCCCATCCAGTATGAATCGTTCAAGAAGTGCGCGAAACTTTTTTCCCCGAATAATCCGCAAGAGTCTCTCGCTTCAAAGTTGGTATTCAAAAAAGCAATTGAACTCTTTAAAAACCGCAAAAAAACGAGGGGGAGACCAATGAGTAATCGGGTCTCAGAAAAAAAATTCAGGAAAAAATATTGGAAATTGGGTTTTTTGAGAAATATTTCAAATGTTTTGGAGGAACATTAAAAATAGTGTTTTTTGAAAAACAATGTTCAAATTTAGGTAAAATTTAAAAGCTCTTATCTATAATTAGACCTAGTTCACTATACTGTAAGCAGCGTTTTGCCTGGACCGGTCCGGCGATTTTTCCGGCCCAAACTTCAAATTTTTTGGGTCCGGTCCGCAAAAAATTTTTTAAAAAAAAGTAAGGAGCGCTAAAACTGCTTACTTTTTGCTTAAAACTCTTAAAAATATATTTTATTTGCAATTTAAAAAAAAAATTCTTCCGGTCCGGAGCTTTTTTTTAGGTCCGTGTCCGCAGGTTTTGGGGTCCGGTCAGCTAAAATTTTAGTTTCGGTCCGTCCGGCCCGGTCCGGACCCGTTTGTGAATCGGTCCGGCAAAACACTGACTGTAAGGTTATAACTTCTGGAACCCTGCTTTCGTTGCAAAACCTAAGCTGGACCTTGACGTAAGCCCAGACCGTAGGACTCATATCTGCCGTCTCGGCCCCTTTCAAGTTTGCTCCAACCGGGTCAGGCCTAATACGCTCCTTTTTCTAGTCTAACTGGTGGAGGAAGAGGGGAAGAAAAATGTAAAACTTTTTTTCAAAAATCAACAGGAGGACCACGTTAAAATTTTTAAAATACTTTTCTTCCCTGCCGATTTTTAAAAAAAAATCGAAAATAATTTTTTAAATTTCTAACCTCTATACAAATGAAAATCTCCCCCTTGGTGCTCCTCACTAGGAACGTCACTACACATTTTTTTAAATTCAAAATTCAACTTAAAAAGCCAACTAAAAGCCTATTGTAAGCTTAAAATCTCAATTAATGTCTCACAATAAAACCTGGACGAATAAAAAACAAAAACCAAATTTCTAGCTAACCGTAAATGTCTAATCACCCATAAACATGAAAAAAGGGCATTAAAATATAATAAATAATATAGTCCTTACCGTGCTTTTGTCCAGCGAATCGTGCGATGAAGCTGAGGACATATTGGCCACACAACCTTGTTTTAATGATATCAGAAATGCCCTTATTTGGCTTCTAAATATGTTATCAAAACAGGTGATATTATTGTATCTTTGGGTTTCTATCGACGATGGGTATTATATCTGAGCGTTGTATTTGTTGATATTGTAGTACCTGAAAGAAGATTGAATTTAAGATTGTGGTTTTGTGATAAATTAAAGATAAGGATGCTTCTACTTATGCTAATTTGAAGCAAAAAAAAGGTAGATCTGACTTAAAGTTAGAAACCGTAAAACAACTTTTTTTCAGCTTCAAAGTGAAAATGAGTCTTTGCATTAGAAACAAGGAGTTTGTTTTATAAATAAAGGTTGGTCATTCAAAACGCAGCTTTTGATTGACTTTGAGATAGAAATAAGAATTTTGTTGCCTCTTCTAATAAAAATTAAGTCTTTGCTTTAAAACCAAAAAAATTCTTAAACCGGAAGCTTTTTCATTAGAAACTAAAATTTGACTAAAAAAACTAAAATTTAGCATTAAACACCTAAAATTTAGCCCCAAAAACAGGAAGATTTCTTCAAAACCCATGTTTCTTCACCACAATCTCCATCTTCAGCTTAAGTACCTAAACACCAACAACAATATAACAAAACACTTACTATAGCCTCGGAAACTGTCCACAAATCAACCTCGGAACGGAGCGAATGAATCGCGACGAAACAGTGGAGATTGGCCGCGTTTTGGGCAGTGTATAATGTATTCCAATCCCTGAAAGAATGAAAGTCGGAATTCGTGGGTTCGGAAAAGCGCAAAAAACGAAAAAATGGACAATATATTTTTGATGAGGCGCAATGTTTATGGTGAATTTCTATGGCCCATATGACACTTAGGGACGGGTTTTTTATATGGGTATGGGCTTGAAATGTCTAAGTTAATCTTTGGGGATTAAAAAGTGGGTTTAAAACTTGATAAGTGATTTTAAAACATAAAAAGTTCAAAAAAACGTCTACTGAAACATAAAATCAAAATTTAAAATGTCTATACAATATTATTAAAAAGTTGTTTTAAACTTGAGAGCTCCACAAGTACCAAAAATCAAAAAAAAATCTTTCCTAGCCCTGCTTACTAAAATTAAAAGTACATATTCAAAAGTTCAAGGTTTTTCAAAATTTCAATTTTTAAACCCTAAATGTCAATTTTTATGAAATCCTTAAACAAGATCTAATCCAAAGACCCTTCCTTAACGTCTCTTCACACTATTATTATCTCTGACCAGGTGCTCAACAAAACTGTCAACCTCAATATGATCTCTTAGTCAAATTTTGACGTTATAAGCTTCATTAGACTGTAAAAACTTTTCTATTCATAATTCTTATCTTTAGTTTCAACTTCAGTGAAGATCCCTTTTTAAAATAGCCTTAAAATTTGAAAAACTTCCATTTCAGAGGTTCTTCACCTTATTTTATTCAAAAATAAAAAAAGCAGCTCTTGGGAAAAATGAAAATATGTAAAAAAAAACATCTAGATATCTTAAATGATCTTAATGACAACACAATTTTTAAAAAAATCCCTGAAAACTTCAAAAATACTAACTTAAAGTAACCTTAAGGTCCCTATACCTCCTTTCCAAAAAAAACCAAGCAAAATATCTTCTGAAATTTATAAAAACTTGTAAAAAGCTTGTACATACCTTAAACAAACATAAAAAGTACAAAAAAATTAAAACAGTGCCTTAAAATTCCAAAAACTTAAACTTACAAGTTAGGGTACCCTCAAAGTCCCTATACCTACATTAAATCAAAACCTTAAAAAGAACCTTTAAACTTGAAAAAAACATAATAAACCTCAAGAATCTTATTCACATCATAATCCGCAATGAAACTTTAGTTCCTTTTCGAATTCAAGCCCTCCAGCAGATAACTCATCTATGATAACATACTATCCCAAAAACTGATAAAGAACACCATCGATAGCGAAAGCAAAGTCAATTGATAAGCACTCGAGCGCAAGAATGACTCATTTTTGTTTTGCCTTTGACTTTACAGCTAACACAATATACGTTTTGAGCAAATTGAGTGGAAAAATCGTAAAAAAGTATATTATCCATGCTGAAATAGGCTTTAAAACCTCGAAATGGAAGTTAAAACTAGTGAAAATAAGATAAGATCAAGGATATGTTAGTAGAATAATATAAAAAGAGTTACGACGACAAAACCAAAGCAGAAAGTAAAAGGATTCCTGAAAATGCGAACTTATTGCTCATTTTTTGCTTCATTTCGCGAGAACAATAATTTTATTTCCGCACAGTGGCGGCCGGGTAATTGCAGGGTGCGTGCGACAGGTTATACGAAAGGAAAGAAATGACGGAAAAGAATGGCAAAAAATATAAAAATAAAAGTTAAAATTATAAAACATCATTTTAAATAACAAAAAAAATTTTTTTTCTTTGTCCTAGTCAATATACAATGTCATATTAAAAATGTCATTTTAATTTTTAGACTTGGGCTGCTTAAGGTAAAGCAAAACGCCAACAAGATAGAATAAAGTTAAATAGAGTACGGCACGGTAGAACGAGGCTAGTTTGAAACTAATAATGAAACTAATTTTAATCCAGTTTAAGTTAAGCTAGTCTAGTCTAAGCTAGAGCAAGGTTGAGTAGACTAGGAAAGGCTAGGACTAGAGCTAGGGCTGTGGGCTAGTGCTTTAGGCTAGGGTTTTGAACTAGGGCTCTTGGCTAGGCATCTGGACTAAAACAAAGCAAGACAAAGCTAGAGAAAGACAAGGCTAGAACAAAGCAAGGCCAGGGCAAGACAAGGCTAGAGCAAGACAAAGCTAGGGCAAGACAAGGCTAAGACAAGACAAGGCAAGGAGATGATAGGCTGAGCTGGGAGTTAGGTAGGGTAGGGTAGGGTAGGGTAGGGTAGGGTAGAGTAGGGTAGGGTAGGGCGGGGTAGAGTGGGGCAGATCCTTCTTGTCTGTTTTTTTTTATTGTTACAATGACTAGACTTGTTGATAACAAACTTTTGATTTATCGAATTTCAATTTTTACACTTGCCCTTTAGCAAGCCCTTCCCTACTTTTCTTGTCACTTCAACTCCACTTTTTTTTAAATTTTTTAAATTGAAAAAAGTCTTTTTTTCTCGAATCTCGGCTTTCGCCAACGATCTTTTGTTTGTTGTTTGTCTGCCGTTTTACGAGTTGTAAATAAATAAAGAGTAGTGATTAGCGATTCACACTATCATGGAACGACGTTTGTTTGGCATATAAATTGAACGAGAAATGGCAGTTGATGTTCATTTAGTAAGAACAAAGGTCGGTTTGGACGAGCGATGGTCGATTTCGTTGGATTGAAGGGGAAGAACGTGGTTATTACTGGTGAGTTAGTAATGTAAAACGTAATTTATAATAATAAAAATAGAATATTTCGACAAATTTTTATTTTTTGATTCAAAATATTACCTAAAATACCCTTAAAATAGCCTAAAGAAAGCCTTTTTTAATGGAATATACCATTTTAAAGGTATTTTAGGTAACATTTTTCAAAATAGAATAACATAAAATAACCTTTTTTCAATTTTAAAATTAAAAATAATACCTAAAAATCACAAATATAGTACAAAACAGCCTTTCTTTAACCTTAAAAACTGTAAAAATTACCTAAAACACCCCTAAAATAATAAAAACAACCCTTTTTCTAGCCTTGACTTCAAACTTACTACTCAAAAACCCCTCTAAAATAATATAAAACACCTCTCTTTTGCCATTAAACCCAAAAATAGTACCCAAAAAGTGCCAAAAATGTGTACGCCACTTGAGATTCCAAGGACGTCTCCGATCCAAGTACTAATCAAGCGCACCGTTGCTTAACTTGCCAGATCGGACGGGATGGCGTGCGTTCAACGGGCTATGGGCGTACACAACTCTCTCTCTTCCCTTTTCGAACCCTTTCCTTTTGGGGTAGATTAGAGGGTTTGACAGGGGTAAGGGTTTTAAAGGGTGGTTTTGGGGGTAAAAATAGAAAACTTTTTAAAAAATAATTAAAATTAAAATTTTTGTTAAATTTATTTCATTTTTAAGCCTATTTTTGGGTTCTGAAGAGAATAAGAAAAAATCTGAAGAGCATAAACAAAATAAGACAAAAAAGGCGTTTTTCATTTTAAAAACGTCAAATTTTTAAAACTTAATTTAAAAAAATTTAAATTCTTAAAATTTAAACAAAAAATTAAAATTATTATTGTTTTCAGGAGCAGCACAAGGCATTGGAGCGGCTACAGCCAAGAAGTTTGCTGAACTTGGAGCCAATGTTGTGTTAGTTGACATTAATGAACAAGCCCTCAATTCTACCGTCCAGACCATACAACAAGGTCAGATAAACCACAATTTTAATAAAAAACCAATTTTTTTTTCATTTTTTACACATCTCTTATCCTATACTAGTCTGATGCAAAAATAATGACGCATTTAAAGCTTAAAAATCATTTTTTAGAATTTCCATCAATAAAAGTAGTACCATCAGTACTAAATGTGAGCCAAAAAGCTAATGTTGATGAATTGGTCAAGAATATAGAAAAAATATTGCCAGAAGGTATGGATGTTGTTGTGAACAATGCTGGTACTATCAGCAAAGGTGTCTACATTGATGTGACTGAAGAAGACTTTGTTAGGGTCATGAACAACAACTTGATGTCTACTCATTTTGTAAGTTCAACTTAAAATTGACTTGGCCAAAATAAAGGTTACTACCATACCCTACTCTACCCTACCCTAATACTATACCGTATGCTTTTCGCACCCTACCATGTTTTCTTTGCTCGTACGGTATTTTTGATTTACCGTAGACTTATTCATTACCTATTTCTTCTTTGACCGTAATATACCGTACCTACCTCTCCTTACCCTACCGTAAGCATATCCGTACCTTACCGTGGGCATATCAGTATTACATACTGCTCCTCTATGTAAGCCTAACGCCACCCTACCCTATACTAGCCACATTACATCTGTACATCGCCCTGCCCTACGCTAGCTCACTCAATCCTGTCTTTGCATTTACCATACCATATGTACATCTAAACCTCTTGTACCTCTACGCCAACCCTACCCTAGACTAGCCACATTCCACCCCTACTTTACCCTGCCCTAATAAATCCTGTCATACCATATCCTCGCATTTACCATAACGTACCTCTAGTCTATCCCTCCTACCCTGTTTAGCTTTCTATGTTTCAATACAACCCATTTTAAGGTCAGTCAAGCCTTCTCCCGCCAAGCAATCCAACTGAACAAGCCCCTTTCAATCGTCAATATCTCTTCGCTAGCCACGACCTCCGGTCAGCCGAACATCGCCTCCTATATCGCATCAAAAAGTGCCATCGAAGGGCTGACAAAAGGTTTGGCCAAAGAGTTGGGGAAGCATAAGATTCGAGTGAATGCGGTAAAACCTGGAGTGATCGACACGCCCATCAACCAGCAGATCCCCGCCCAATATAAGCAAATGTTTTTGATGCAAACGCCGTTGGACAGGGTGGGAGAGGCGGAGGAGGTGGCCAACTGTGTAGCTTTTTTGGCTTCAGATGCCTCCAGTTTTGTGACTGGGGCTATGTTGGATATTAGCGGGGGATTGTCTTTTTAGGTCGATGTTAGGCCTGTAAAGGGACCGGGTTTAGTTGGTCGCCTTTCAAGTTTAGCTGACATAGATTTTGGCAAGGGCTTGGTAGGGACCTCGCTACAGATTTTTTGAGGGAGTGGGAATGAGAGGGGGCGGGCGAAGAGGAAGAGAGGGGGGGAGCGAAGAAGAGAGGGGAAGAGAGGGGGATGAAAAGAGGGGGGGGACGAAGAGGGGAGGGAGGGGAAATAAAAAAAATTGAAATCCAAAAACGGCTAGCGCTTAGCAGGGGCCTTGCTACTTGCTACAGATTTTAGGGGAGGGGGAGGGGATAGGGGGTAAAAACCAAGTTTTTTAAGTCCACAGGTATTAGTTACCTAGGATCCACTTTTTGCATTTTTTTATTGGACCTGTCAGAGGAGAGTGTGAGTCCACCCCATTCACCCTCCCTTCCCACTAGCTACGCCCTTAGGGCTTGAAGTCAAAAATTATGTTGAAAAATTACCCCGCCCTGCCTTTGCCTTAATTTGGCGCTAGAACAAATGCTGTTTTTAAACACTTGCGGATTTTTTAAAAGAGTTTTTTTTATTTTTTAGTTAATTTAGTTGTAGTATGGTACTAAAGTTTAAATTTTACAGTTTTAACATAACAGTACCATTTTGGGCTTTTAGTACCATTTAGTACCAAAAAAATATAAAACAGTACCAATTTAAAATTTAGTACTACTTAACACTAACGATTATTAAAACAGTACTAATTTAAACTTTAGTATCACTTAGTACCATACTACAACTGAATTAACTAAAAAATAAAAAAAAGCTTTTAAAATATCCGCCAATGTCCAAAAACCGCATTTTTCCAAGCGCCCTTAATTTTTCATTTTTACCATGACCTTTTTGAGCATGACCTAATAAAATCACTTTAAAATTTGTAAAATACGCATTGTGATTTGAAACTTCAAAAAAATTTTAAAATTTAAAAAAAAAATTTTTTTGACTAATATTTAATGTGACAATATAATTAAAATGTACAATTTCGGTAATTTACACTGAGCAAATTGAGGTCAAAAAGTAAGTAGAAAAAGGTTTGGGTTATATATTCGATTGTTCAAATAATTCTGTGTCCCTTCAAAGCAAATTTGCGGGATTGTGGGAGCTCAAAATTATCTGAACAACCAAATAACTACACTCTGATAATAATATGTTGATATTAAAAAAGTGATGGAGTAAAAGCTTAAACAAGATTATATACAACTTTGATAGCAATATACGATCCTTAACATATGGTACATGAATTTAAATTTTCTTGTGCAATCTCTTGCTTCAGTTCGTATTTTTGATGACATTTGATAAGGTTTTAGTAGAAAGTACAACACCTTGTATATTGAGTATATTAGGTTGTTCAACTAGTTCTGTGCCCCTCAAAAAGCAAATTTTCGGGTTAGATGGCACAGAATTATCTGAACAACCTAATAATACAATATGATACAATATTATCCTTAATATACAGCATATCTTTCTCGATATATCATCCTTACTATACAGTATATCATTCTCAAGATAAGATACCTCATTCTCCATATACAGTAAATTACCAAACTTTCCTTAAATTACCGTATACCTTAATATGCCATTTGCCCCAATACACCATAGCCTCCTCCTCAATTGACTATATATTGTTTTACATCGTGAACAAAGTCCGCGATGATAGGTATCTTGGCCGATAATGATGTGTATATGATGCGTGTAATCTCTTTGTACGCTTCTTCATCTGTCAATTGTAAATGGAATCGTTCCAAGATGGTTTGAACAGCTTTGTCCTTCTCTACCGCAACATCAGGGATACCTGCATCTAACATAAGAGAGAACAAGTTGATGATAAGGTTGGCGTGTCGGCGGATGATACAAAATGCTGTCGTACAGTAATCGATGAACCTTTTGAAGTGGACACTAAAAATATAATTCATATATAAGTCTGTAATCAATAAAATATATATAAAAATCAAAGTTAAGACTTAAAATGATCATAAAACTCTAGTTAAAGCCTACAACAAAACAATAAACAATCTTAAAAACCAAATATCTACCTAAAATCCTTTTTTTTTATTTTAAAAATAAAAATAATACTTAAAAGTTATAAATGTATTACGAAAAATACCCTTTTTAACCTTAAAAATTGTAAATATTTTCAAAAATACCCCTAAAACAACAAAAAACAAGCTTCTTTCTATCTATGACTTCAAAAATATTACTCGAAAAACCCCTAAAACAATATAAAAAGACGCTCGTCTACAGTCGACACCAAAAAAAGTAACATAGATTGGCAAAAATGCGTACGCCACTTGAGATTCCAAGGACGTCTCCGATCCAAGTACTAATCAAGCGCACCGTTGCTTAACTTGCCAGATCGGACGGGATGGCGTGCGTTCAACGGGCTATGGGCGTACACAACTCTCTCTCTTCCCTTTTCGAACCCTTTCCTTTTGGGGCTGATTAGTGGGGTTCAAAGGGGTAGAATTAAGGTAAAAAAAGTGTTTTTGTAGACAACAACAGCAAAATTTTTTAAAAGAAAAACAAAAAATTAAATTTCTGTTAAATTTACTGTATTTCAAGCCTATTTTTGAATTCAAAAGGATAAAATAAAGCAAAAAAACCCGTTTTCCACTTCAAAAGTCTCAAAAATATGTTCACCTCCTTTCCTTTTCATGCTGATTAGTGAATTAGAAAGACCAAAACAAGGTGAAAAAACGTGCCCAACTCATTCTACCAAAGTTAAAATCTCCCGTCCAGACCTAAAATTACCCCTCCACAAACAAAAATTACCCTATCCTACTATTCCCTGCCCTACTCTACCCTGCCCTCCCTGAACAATAAACCACATCTTAGGCCCCGAAAACCATCCAAAAGCTCTATCACCCACCTTTCTTGCCCACCCATACAATTGACCATTTCAGTTGTCAGTTTGATCAGAGGTGGCATTGGCTTCGGATCACGGCCCAAAATGTAGCCAAAATCAACGTGAAACATCCTGCCATTCTCTCGCAACAACAGATTGTGCATGTGACGATCTCCGATGCCCAACACATAGCAAATGATGGAGTAGCCGGCGCATGACCTGACATAGTTCTCCATTACGGCCGCTTCTATACCGTATGGGCCGGTAGCTGATGGTCGGTACTGCCGGAGTGTGTCCTAGAAAAGTTAAAAATAAATGCTCATAGCATTAAAAATGGCAAAAAAATATTGAAATCACTCATTCCCACCTGTATATTCCTCAGGTCAGCGATAGGTGTTGCCTTGACAAACTGTACAAATCCATCCGATACTGATGTTGCCAGGACAGCATATGGTGTTAGGCAAAGGTCCAGCTTCTCATCTTTCCACAAATTATCCATCAGCTTTATCATCTGTAACACTAGCTGATCTTGTCTTAAGTCATCACCTCTTTTGAATATTGTCATGTATGCTTCGCCACATTCGTATGGAGGTGAGAAGCCACGTACTGTCGAGAAGGTCAGCCTCATTGGCATTAACTTCGATGCGAATAGTACTGTCGTTTCTGGTTGAACGTTTTTTACCTGGAATTTCAATTTGAATTTTTAAAAGTTTTGATTTCAATTATATTGGAGTAGGCGTCTTTAGTAAAGAATAGTAGAATATTGTCGTCGGGCTATTGCTAGTAAACAAAACACAAATAAAGAGAACAAGACCCTACGTTATATAACAATAAAATAATCAGCCAAAAATGTCTAGAGAAAAAGTTACAGTTTTTCGAATTTTATATTGTAGTAGACGTCTTTAGTAAAGATTACTACATTATTGTCATATAGTTATTTCTAATAATCAAAACACAAATAACAAGCACAAAATTGTACATTATATAACAATAAAATAATCAGCCAAAAACGTCTAGAAAAAAAGCTACAGCTTTTCAAAGTTTATATTGTAGTAGACAAGCTTAATACAAATTGCTGTAACGTTTTTCAAGAAATTATTACTAGCTGATTTTGACGCCACATAATATACATTTTGCTGCTCTTCAATTCTATATTGACCAGCAGTCTCAACTTAGTTAGTGTTTTACATTAACTCATAGTACCATTGCCTACTACAACATAATCTATAAGTTACTGTAACTTTTCTTCCAAAAAATTTTTAAAAACTAATCTTACAACCATCATTGGTACAAGTTTTGGCTTTCTATTTCTTCATAAATCACTAACAGCTTCAGTGACATGTTGTACCGATCACTAGTGATGTTGCCTACTACAATATAAACTTTGATCCCTTCTATCACAATTTTCTCCACCAATACCCTATCCTATAACCTCATACCTGAATAGTCGGATCCAACGGGAGTGGAAGACCCTTTAGATCCATTAATTCTGGTGAATGTGCCAGCTTTCTTTTCAAAAAGTCCAGCTTCTTCTGTCGATTGCCACCCTCACTTTGGACTTCCTTTGAGATTTGTTTTAGCGCGTCCACCAACGTTCTTTGACTCATAATGTTCTGACGTGACATTTTGGCTAACGAAGAGCCATTTTGAAGTGATGTTAGGAGTCTTTCTAGCATTACTGTGTAGTAGTTTGACATGTATGGGTCTGTGGTTTCGTTGGCTTCAACTTCGACTTTTAGGTACCTAAAATGATGACAATTCAATTGTCTTAAGCTAAGACACTATATTGCTTCAAAATGTGTTAAAACTGTCTAAAAATACTTTTTTTCAAAATAAAAAATTTTTTTTAAATTCAAAAAAAAATTTCGAAATTTCAAAATTTTTTTCAAAATTTCAATTTTTTTAATTTTTCAAAATTCAACTTTTTCAAAATCCAACCTTACCAATACAAAAAGTTGGCAATGACCGCATGTTGACAAGCTTGGTTAATCAGGTATGTTACCATGTCCTCACTTCTGCCCAGATACAACTCCAAAGCACTGCTCTTTTGATCTGACAAGTTGGCATCGGACAGTTCAAGGGGGTCTTCTCCTCCATCGGCCTGAAAAAGTATTGTCATACTTCGAATTTTATACATACTCGCTTTAAATAGTCGTATTTTAGATTTTTTTTGAATTTTAAGACTCGCTAAAACAAAATTATCGCAGCACCTCCCCCCACCCAAAATTTTTTTTATTACCCCGCCCTAAAAATCAGTAACAATGCTTCCCCCCCCCCTAACTAATCCCTTCTATAAAAGCCCGTTTTCTTATCTACACAGCACCCACGCTCACGCAATTACCCTCCCCCCCTCCTCCGAAAACACGAAAACCCCCTCACACCCCAAAAAACTCCCTTACCCACCCCCAGTATCCTCCCCTACCCACCACCAGGATCCTCCCTTATCCGCCCGAAAATCTTCCCTTACACACCCAAACGTCCTTCCTTACCCACCCCAAAATCTTTCCCTGCCAGCCCACAAATAGACTACAAACCTACATTAACACATTCCATTGACTTCTTCATGTCCATATTCACATGAGCTTCGTATCGAATTGACTGCACCAATTGTGGTAGGTATAGTAACAGAATTGACGGTGGAGTGTTCTGAAGCCTCGATACGGCATATCGTCGCACAAATGGATGGGTAAAAGAAGGTCCCAGCAGTTCGAGAGCATCACATGCGTCTATTGGGGGCCCAGTCACTGAAAATTAGGTATAATTTAACAAGTAAGTTGAAATTTTTTAAAAATTGTTCAAAATAACAATTTTACTGTAGCTTAAAATCAAAAAAGTAAAAAACGCAAAAAAAATTCTGAAATTTACGCCTTTCTATGAAAAAATCGTATAAAAGTACATGTAAAGGGACCAAGCTCAACTTTTAGGAGGAATTCACTGAAATAATAACTAGAACAACTTGTGCCGTACTGCTTTTGTGCCCAAAATAACCACTAATTTAACAGTTTTCACTTTTAAAATTTTCGCAAGTCTTTCGGTGCGAGACCTAAACTGGCCTAGTGGGCTTTTGTTTTAAGCTGCGGCCTTCGGGTCTACATGTGCCGACACAGCTTGGCCTTTTTCAAATTTGTCTCGGCCGGGCCTAGTGAGCCCTCTTTCAGCTCTAGTTCCAACTCTTCCAAAACTTCATTATTTTTCACATTTTTGACTTTTCATTTTCCAAAATCCCATCTTCTTACCTCAACACCTCGATCGCTTGTTTCACTTCCAAACCTTCGTCCCAATTGACAGATCGTGCAAACTTTGTCAGAGCATGAGGGTTGTTTTTAAGCCAGAACCTAAACTTCCAAATTATATCTCTTTCTTCGATTGTGATCGGCTGGGAACTTGGCATCTAAAATATTTAAAAATTTTAAATTCTTCTTGTTAAACTTGATTATTTTACTTTGTAACCATAAGAAAATGCCGTTTTCTTAGTCAAAGCGCATTAAAATCGGCGTATTTTAACCAAAACTATTTTTAAAATGTTTAAAAATACACTACCAGTCCCTACCTTACAATAACTAACTGCTGTAGTCTAGCCTATACTACACTTCCCTACTCTACTATACCCTAACTTACATTACCCTACCATACCCTACCGTAAACTAATGTGTCCTACCCAGGGACGTCGCTACGGATTTTCTCTGGGGTAGGGGGAAGTCGAAAAAAAATCTGTAAACCGATTTTTCAAAAAAATTTTTTTTTAGTTTTTTCGCGTACAGGTACCTACCTGTGCAATTTTTTTCGGATCGGCTCTGGGGAGGGGTACCCCCCCCTCCCCCAAACGACGTCCCTGGTCCTACCTTATTTTTAATTTACCCTGCTCTACAATACCCTACCACGGTCTTTAATCTACCCCTGAAACCCCCACACTACCCCCAACTTCCTCCTACCCTAATAATGCTCTCCAACATGTCCTTGATCATGGCGTTTGGCTGTAGCCTCTTGTCAATATCACCAGCACGAGCATTCCTAGTCAACATGTGATGTTTGGTTTCGCAGAGATTCTCCATTCCCAGCTCTGGATCCACTTTTCCTCGGATTTTCTTCAGAATTCCTTCGTTTTGAGTGTCTGGCACGTAGTAAATGACTTGAAATGGGGTTATACCATCGTGACCATAAACTGTCGCCATTTCCAATGATATGTACAGAGCACGGTCTTCTACTCTGGCCTAGAATAAGAACGTTTATTATTTTGCCCTGAAGGTTTGGGAAATTCAATTTTTTCAAAAATATTTCAAAAAATTTCAAACTTTTCGAAATTTAATTTTTTTTTCAAATTTGAAAAATTTTAAAAATGCATTTTTATAACTCAACTTGCCCTAAAATCGCCTTTTTAAAACTTTTTGGCCGTTTTGAAGTCAACTTTTCACAAAAATACAAAATTTCAAATTTTTTTTTAAATTTTAAATTTTTTCAAAAATGCATTTTTATGACTAATCCTACCCTAAATACACATTTTCAAAACTTTTAAGCCCTTAAAAAATCCCACAAAGACTAAAATTTCACAAAAATTCAAAAATTTTCAAAAATTTTTCGATAATACTATACCTCTTCCTTGATCTGTTCCAACTTGCTGAAAGTGAACTGGTCCAGCCAGTCGACTCTATCAATATAATTTTGTTTGTACATCTTCTCTTTTTTAATATATTCGCGGATTCCGCTTGTCTTTGGCAACTTAGAGGCATCTGAAGACTCGTCAAACTTTGGCTCTGGCGTTTCCTTTGGTTGGGCTTCTGAAAATTAAAACTTATTTTCCTAAAATCTTTGCATCTTGCTATAAAATAGATAAATAAACAAATCTTTTGCTCGTCCTTCTACTCCATGAGCAACCTACCCATCGCTCAGCCCAATAACTAATACAATATAAAAAATAAACCATAAGCTCCCCTTTTCTCCTCAACGTGCTCTTTAACATTAACAGTAAACTTACTCTGCAACCGCACATCGAACTGACCATCCCTCAGTACTCCTCGTTTACTAAACAAATACTTGGAAGCTTGTGCTATGAAGAACGGCTCCACATCGTTTCCCACATCCCACAAAGTTAAATGAATTAAAGCGTCTCGAGGTAGTTCGGAGTAGGTTAAAGGCAGTTGAATCCATTCGTTCCAGCGCTGAAGCTCACGGTTGTTTGAGCCTTGAGCTGGGGCAGCTTTATAGGCCGTACATACTTCTCGGCCCACTTTTCGTTGATTGCAGTATAACTAAAGCAATACAACTCGAGGTACGAAAATATAAAACTACTATAACATTAAGTTATTCACATAATTCTGTGCCCCCTCTTAAAATTAATTTTCTGAATTAGAGCACATAACTATTTGAACAACCATATATATTCTCCAGTATCAAACTGTTACAAAAATAGTATCCGGTACCACCCAAAACTCCATTTTAAAAACTCTAACCCCACAGTAACATAGCTGAACTCACAGTCAATTTGAGGAACATTTCACCAGAATATGTGTCATGCTTTTGTACATGTCCAAACAAGGACACCACCCGAATCCTCAGTGCAACGTCCAGTTCCGAGCTGCACACATACAAAAAGTCTTTACCCATGTCAACTAAACGGTAAATGTTAATTTGGAAGTGTCATATGAAAAAATTTTCGTTTGGAAATGTCATATATTCCATTATATTAACAATAAATGACATTTTATACTGTTTTCTTGCAAAATCTTGAGAGATAACCACCTACTACAATATTATCACTCAAAACAATTTCCAAAAAATCAAATATCAAACTGTGCCAACAGCAATAACACAAGATAAAACAATGTAAAATATTGTTTATTTCCAAATACAACCTATTTACTGTGTGTGCATTTAACGATACAAATATTCGGCTTGAATGTTGGCTGCCAGCTCGGGTTCCCATCGGTCGCCGTTTAGTAGCAGCTTCTCCTTGTTGTACAACAACTCTTCGTGAGTTTCGGTCGAGTATTCAAAGTTAGGGCCCTGAAGATTTTTTAAAAATAATTTTGAAAAAGTTTGATTTTAAAATTTTCAGAAATTACCCCAAAAATGCCATTTTAAATCATAACCCAAGATGAAAGTGATAAAAAAAAGCTTATATTAAACTTTTGAATAATTTTCACTTTTAAAATCTGAAAAACTGCCGCTTTAAAACACTCAAAGAACATAAATAATGTCAAAACTTATTAGAAACCGTTATATTACTTACCTCAACAATAGCATCAACCGGACAAGCTTCTTGACACAAACCACAGTAAATACACTTTGTCATGTCGATATCGTATCTCGTGGTACGTCTACTGCCATCAGCACGAGTCTCAGTTTCAATGGTAATTGCCTGAAATTTGAAAAATATTGTTGTGGACCCATCATGATCAATATAGCTCGTATTTTAATCTAAACTTTAAAATAAACGTCCATTTTTTAATTTTAAAGTTAAATATAGATACAGAAGACCTTATACAATGATATACCTACTAACCTGAGCTGGACAAATAGCCTCACACAATTTGCAAGCAATACAACGCTCTTCACCTGATGGATAACGTCTCAGCGCGTGTTCGCCACGGAATCGAGCCGATAGTGGTCCTTTTTCGAATGGATAGTTAATCGTGGCTGGCTCCATGAAAACGTGACCAAACATAACGCCGAAACCTCGGATAAGCTCGGTAAACATGACGGAATGGTAAGCCGCTTCCATATCACCTTTCAGCGAGCCATCAGACATCGCCGGAGCTCCAACGTAGCCTAAATTTTTAAAATAAGTATGAACTTAAACTTTGTTTTTGGAGTGAACATAAGCAACAAGTTTATGTCACAGAAAACTATAATTTAAGCCAAATTTCAGACGTAGTTATCGATATTAACCTTAAATCCAATGCTTTCAAACCTAAACTTCAAAAGCAATATAAAGCTTAACAACTTACGATATTTGTTGCGAGTTTGACACAGTTGAGAAGTTGCTGAGGCCTTGTTCAAGAATTGGCCACGCCGCAAAGCCACCGACAAGGAGTTCATCCTGAAACACATAAACCTTTAGACCTTTCAATTTAATAACTAAAACAACATAAAATAAATAAAATTAACAGTCCAATACCCAAAGAAATGTATAATAAAAATCTATGTCAATTCTTATTAGATTTGTCACAAGAAGAACATAAAATTTGGCGCAAAAAAGCTATTAGCTTCAAGTAAAACAAGATAAACAAAATTAAGCCCTAAGTAAATTCTAATCAATATATTTTATATAAATCAAAAAGCACAAATAAAATGTGATCTGAAAAACATTATTTTGATCACTTTACACCTGTAAACAGCCAAATCAACAGATCTAAAACTTTTCCATCAAAAACCGAGAAAAATAAAAATATCGAGAAAAGCGGACTGCGTCCTAAAAGCTGCAGGCTGCGGAACCATGTTATACGAAGAAAATGTAAAATACGTTCATATTTCATGTTATTTTTTTTCTCGTATAAAATTCTCGTATAAAAATGTAAAAATCTTATTTAAAAATAATATTTAGAATGTAAAATTTTATTATTTTTTAATTTTGCAAAAATTTCCGGATAAAAATTCAAAATTTATATTGTAGTTGCCATCACTAAATTCATAAAAAATTTTAAAAAATAAAGTAAAAAAAGATATTTTTAGACTGTTTATCTTTTTTATTGTCTGTTTGTGCCTTTTTTCATTTGATATTCGTGTGTTTATTTTCTTTTTTCTAACAACTCAATTCTTAACCTCATATATAATATAAATTTTTCAATTTTTGATAAGCACCAGAAGTAATTGAACCTTTATTTATCTCATAGTCTCTAAACTTCTTCATTGTCTACACATTTGTACGTTACCAACGTTTTGATAAACATTATCGTCGTTTAAAATTTATTTTTATATAAGAATCGCCTCTTAACCTCATGTACAATATAACTTTTGCCATTTTGCATTAACCGGAACTAAACTTTTGATGTCAATCACCTCAAGCAAGGTTAATAGAAGTCAAAACCCTTATTATTGTTCCTTAAAAACATTATTTTAAAATAAAAACCGTCTCTTAACCTCATGTATTAAGTTGTAGAAAGATTAGTCTTGCCAGGGTTAGATCAAAGTGTAATAAAGGTATAACTCAAGACTTCAACTCAATATAACGTTACAAGTAATACGACAATCACAATACGATAGATTTATTCAAATCAAGATTAAATATATACCGAATATGTTACGTATGATACGATGCCCGAGCGGCGGTCCAAATATGAGACTTGATGACCGATCGGCGGTGGAACGAACGAGAAGACTCAATGTAAAATGAGAATCGGATTGAAATGATTTAATTTATGCAAATTGAATCCGATCCGACTACATAAGTGCCGACATAAAGAACCCGCCATTTTTTGCAGGAAATTAAGGAAAAGTATGGAGAGGTCTTTATGTCGGCACATAGTATAATACAAAACTGTATATCTTTTGCCATTTTTAATTGACCGGAAGTAAACTTTTCTGTCAATCAACTCAAGCAAGGTTGACAAAAGTTTAAATTCTTTAACATTGGATCAAGTTAACCCAAGATCTTATTGAAGCACATTGTCAAGGTTGGATTCCAATCGAAATGTTTTAAAATTACGAAGTGGCGCAGCCCATAAAAGGCAGTTATCAACCCCTTTAAAATGATTAACCAAAGCGTTTCACGACGACTTATGATAGGTCAATTGGCATTCTTGTTGACAAACGATGACCTTGAGGTTGGGTTTAATGCCCGCGGGGTCGTTGAAACGTTGGCGAAGCGCTTAATGGCTTGAATTCAGAGTTGATGAATTCAGCCCGTTAGGCTGTTTTTTCGTTAATTTTGAGGGGTTTTAACAAAATTTTTAAGGGGTTTAAGTGAGAGGAAAGTGGTGAATGGGGTTGTAAAAGAAGAACATTGTTTTGGTGGTGAGTAAGAACATTATAATGTTGTGTTAGGTAGTACAAATTTATTTGTGTTGACGTTATCACAAAGAGTTTAAAAAAATTGCTGTTAACAAAAAGAATTTTTAAAAAATTGATGTTATAAAAGAGTTCTAACTACATAGTAGTCTCCAGCTCAGTAGGAAAAACAGAGGGTTCTTATTTAAAGCTTTGTGGCTTACTTTGTTCAGTAAACAGTTGTAATGTTGATTTTACAACTGTTTACTTTTTACCACAACCATGACTTTTTGATCGCTATGAACCTGCCAACTTATACTGAAACTCTTACTATAGTAAACACAAAAAAGCCGACATCTTCCGTTGCAAGATCAAATTTAGCCCCTGAGTTTTGGCCCCGGGCCACATGTGACGGCCTGGCTTTTAAACTTGTTTTAAACTTGCATGGGGCCGTTTCAGGTGTACCCGCCCTTAAAATTAATTGTAAAAGTCTACTCGAATACGATTGAATTCCTCAGCTAAGCCTACGTAAACTTTCCCCTTTTTTAGGAAACATATAATTGAAACCTACTTTTCTCCTACCTTTACACTTATCAAGATAGATTTACTATACTTTAAATTACTATAGATTAAGATTAAAGACTTCGATAGAGTTTTTCTTCGAAAGTGAATCTACCCCCCCCCCCCTAGCCCTGCTTTAGATATATTCCCCAATTTACCGGTAAAACAAAGCAGTAAACAGATTTGGCAGCCTTAACTGTTTACCCTCTGCTCATATACGTTTTGTTGTTTTTATAACTTTTACGCTGTAAACGTGGAGTGATGTAAGTAAGCCGGGTCGAAGGTTGGAAGAGTAAAAATCGCTCATCCATTTTCAAATAAAACTTTATCCGGTTTTTCGAAAAACGCTCTGGCTTTTGATTTTAAAGATTGGGCTTTTATACTGGATCACATATATGGTGCCGACATAAAGAACCCGCCATTTTTTACATGAAATTACAGGTAAAATATGGCGGATTCTTTTATGTCGGCACCTAATATCACAAAAAGGTACGTATTTTGCCTTTTATCTTTATCTTTCTGGCACTACTAAACCTAAAAAGGGGATCAATAAGGGCCCGGCACCGGGGGTCGAGCCGAAGCAGGTTTAAAAAGGGCGCCTGAACCTAGACATGAGGAACGGGCCTGGCCTCAGCAAAATTTTGATCGGGCCAAGCCTAACATTCAGGCCCGGCCGGGCCCGTTCCTTATGTCTAGGTTTAGGCGCCCCTTTCAAAGTCTAAACCAAGCCCTCCGGGGCTACGAAGATTTAACTTGAAAAAAATTTTTTTTTGAAAATTAGCACTTATTAGTTTAGTCACATTACAATACCGTCCGTTCATATTACCTTCCCCCCCCTATCCCACGCTTCGTTTGTAAAAAAAGAATTTTATGACAGTCTTATTTGTACTTTCTCATTTCATTTGTAAACATACCTAAAAAACCGGCTTCCTTGAGTAGAATTTGTTTTACAAACGAGGAAAAATTCCAATTTGTAAAGTTTTTTCATTGCTGTAAATTTGGCGTGAACCCCGTTTTTGCTACCGAATTGGAGAACGCTTGTTATGAAGTGTCATAATAATGAGTTTGGGGTGTTTGTAATGAGTTTTTCCTTAAAATTTTTGAAATTTAATCATGTTTTTTCATTTTTTATTATTTTTTTTTAATTTGTCTTACAATTTTTTATTACTGTAGACCAATTTGACACGCAGTTCAGAAAAAAAATTTTATCAAATTGTCTACAGTAGAACTCCTGTACAACAAATCGCATGAGGACCTTAAACTTGTTTGTTATAAAGAAGCTTTAGTGTAGAGGAGTTCGTTATACACGGGTAGACATGAGAAACGGCCCGGGCCTGAATGTTAGGCCCGGCCCGAACAAAATTTTGCTCAGGCCAGGGGCGCCCCTCTATACACAGGTTAAGCTACAATATTCAGTGTTTTGTCTGGACCGTCCGGCGGCCATTTTTCCAGGTCCGGTCCGGCTATTTTTTAAGTCCGGCCCATAATTCTTTTCCGGACCGGACGGTCCAGGCAAAACACTGACCATATTTGCCTCAAATAACCTAATCACCTTTCATTTCTTGTAACATGACTAAGCTTAGACGCAGGGCAGGGCATAAAAAACGTACGTCTAACGCTCTGTACATGACATATGCATATCAGGGCACAGGACAGGACTTAAAAACGCAAGTCCAGTGCCCTGTACTAAGCATTGCAGTACCAAAGCACAGGGCAAGGGATGAAGTATTTCTAACGCCATAAGTCTAAACCTAAACCTCACCCCAAACCGCTAACTCTTATGACATGAAACCACTTAGCGCACAGCATCCTAAAACAGCCATAACGCTTAAAGAACATTGAACATTTGAGCTGCCGTGAGCGATCAAATAAAAGAAAATTAACCTTAACGAACCTAAAAGAAGCAGCGGTAACGTTCCGTGTATCATAGCAAGTTTGTTTTGTTACCTAAATTGCGACCTTTTTCCAAAAAACTTCTATTTTAAAAACAATTTTATAAAACTTGGCTTGTTTCCCAAATTTCAAAAAGTTTAAAAAAGTTTCGAAAAAAAAGAAAAATGAGATTCAACCACTTTACTCGTGTTTTCGACAACGACAAGTCGATTATATGTGACGGAAATTGCGCAAAAAAAAGAACAAATAAGGTAGTTAAAATGCACTTATTTTGTTTAAAATTACCTGTTTAACTGTTTTCAATTTCGAATCGTTACCTAATTCGGGTGGGTTAATTAGATAAAAGTTTGGGATTTTTTCGAAAGTTAGTTTTAAAATGGCAGTGTAAATGTAATGAATCATATATTGTACTGTTGTTTTAGTTGTTTTTTGATTTAAAATGACACGCCCTGACTTATTGTTGACATAACATAAAGTGCACTGCCCTACCTTGATGATTACTATGGAAATGAAGTCACATTTACTCTGCCCTTTTATACCCTACCCTACTCTATCCTACCCTAACTTACATTACTTTTTCTTACCTTACCCTACCCTACTTTACCTTACCCTACCCTACATTACCCTACCATACCAAACCCTACTCTACCCTACCTTACCTTACTTTTTCTTACCATAGCCCTACCCTATCTAGTATACGCTACTCTGTCCTATACAGTCACCCCCAACCTTACTCTACCCCACTACACCCAACCCTTTTCTATCCTCGCACACCCTACCTTACTCTGCCTTTCCCTACCCTGCTCCATCGTATCCTACCTCATATTACCTTATTCTGCCCTGACCTACCTTAATATACCCTACTCTATTCTATCCTACCTCTCCCTACCTTACTCTACCTTATTATACCCTATCCTATTCTATTCTAACAGACCCTACCTTACTCTACCTCACCCTCGCCTTCTATACCCTATCCTACACTCACTCATCTTACCTTATTCTACCCTGATCTACCCTATTCTTTTGCATTTCAAATTATATGTCTTAGCGCGTGCGATGCATTTCTACGGTACAATAATATAAAGTTCTTATAGCAATTTTTATATTTTAAAAAATTTAGCATTAAAATGTCGATAATTGTGAAAACGATCATTTTGGCCCTACTTGTTGGTGTTGTCGTCGCCGCTAAAGATACCTGCAAAGCCAACCAAATCTTGAATGGCGATGCTTGTGTTTGTGCTCCAGGGTAAGCTTTTTAAAATAACTTTTAAATTTTGGCAAAAAAAATTAAATTTAGCACCAAGTTATGCCGTATTTTACCCATGATTAACCTGTCAATAATTGGTTTAAACAGAGATAAATAAAAGAGGTCACTATAATAAACCAGAAAGAAAAAGTTAATAATGATTCCCATTTCAGATACTTTACCTCATCTGACGACGAATCTAAACAGAGATGTGAGGACGAATGTGCTGTTGTAAGTTTTTAACTTCAAAAAGTTTTAAATTTCAACTTCTTTCATGCACTTACGACACAATATAAGTAGTTCTCTATTATTTTGGCCTTATAATGAAGATATATTACCTTCAAATTACTAGGCTTTCAAAATTCACAGTTTATACCAGCTTTTCAAGCTTCATAATAACCTTAAAAGTTTCATTCCAGCATTTCAAACCTTACACAAAGCCTTACAAACCTTAAAACAACTTAACGAACTTTATGATACTAACTTAATAAGCTTTATACTAGCTTTAAATGCCTCATAATAATCTTTCAAACCTTATAATAAGCCTGATCAAGCTTATATTCGGCATATGAACTTTACCTTAGTCATATCAATCTTATACTAGCCATACCAACCTTATACCAGCGGTAACAACCTTATATTAGCCATATAAACCTTATATTAATCATACAACCTTATAATAAGCCTTATCAACCTTATATTATTAAAATAAACCTTATGTTAGCCAGCTCACGCTTATATTAGCCATATAAACCTATAACGACCATGTCAATCTTATACTAGCCATGCTAACTATATATTAACATCTAAACTTTCTGAAAGACATAGCGAAACTTATAATAGGCTTTACAGACCTTATATTAGCCGTATACGCCACATATTAGGTTTGTCAAATAATTCTGTGCCCTCTCTCAAAGTAAATTTTTGGAGCACAGAATTATTTGAAAAACCTCATAAAAGCTTTTTAAAAATCATGATAACTTCAATCCAAATTCTACACATTCCTATACTTTTAGGCCTACTTCACCTACTTCACATACGGCCGCTGTGCCGGTGGCTTGTTCGACCGTGTGAGCAAGGAAGACCGACCAGCCTGTGACATGCGTTGTTCCTTCGACTTCCGTCTCTGGACCATTATTGCCATCTTTGCGACATTCGCCGCCGCTGTCGCTACATTGATCTTCACCATCCCCATGTGTGTGGCTACTTGTGCTTCGTGTTTGCATTCACGTAAGGCCGTGAAACATACGAAACGCGCCAACGAGACCGCTGCGGCCAATGGTACTAGCAAAGACTTGCAGGCCGTATCTTACAATCCGTATGCTTACTACAACTACTATGGCAGAGTTCATAATGGATTGTAAGATAGACTTGGTGCTAATATGGGTTTTTCAGTCCAGCACATGCTTTGTTATAACAATATAATATTATTATAGAGTTTATAACAATATCATTTTATGACAGAGTATACGACAGACTGCAAAGCCCATATATGTTCACATGATCCATACATTAATACGATAATAGTTTGTTTTACCGAGTCTTATCATCTTTTATAGTTTTTTCTAGTTTTATATATCTTTATTATCTTTCCACCACATATCTTTGTAGTTATAGATTAATATTGTAACTGCCCGTCTATCAGTCAACATGTATCTTGATGACTACCCCGGTATACATGCAAAAAAAATATTAGGTTGTTCAAATAATTCTGTGCCCCTAACCCCAAAAATTTGTTTTGAAAACCCAAAAAAACTGCTTCGGCAGGGGGCAAATAATAATTTGAACAACCTATTTTTTGCATAAATCAATATTTAGCTCGATAGTATAGTAACCAACTCGCATATTACCTAGACTTGGCTTCAAAGAAGATTTTTTACCCAGCCCTGCTTCCTCAAACCAAGCGTTTTACCCTGCCTCCTCAAGACAAGTTTTGTACCCTGCCCTGTCCAATCAGGCTTTGTATTCCCTGCTCTCACAGGCCAGTGTAAAAAGCTCCAGAGCCAAACTTTTATCTAATTATCGCTTCATATTATAGTAATCAACCTAAACATCACATTTTTCTATGTCCCACTTGCCATTTTTGCCTATACTGTTTAAATTCATAAAATACCGTCAGCTTTTTGCCAAATCATCGCTCAATTTTGAATTCTCGAAATTTTATAGCTAAATAAACATTTACATCAAGCTTCATTGATCAAATGCATTCAAGAAGATTAACTTTAAAGAATTTAAGCCTGCCAAAGCTTTTTTAAATTTCTAAATTATCATGCCAAAATTAAGCTAATGAACGTTTAAAACAATATAAAACCAAAAAAATAAGAAAATAGCCAACCAAAAACAACAACAAAATAAAAAACAAAAAATTAGATATAAAACAAGGTCAGAACTTCAATAACCAATAATCCGTCCCAGAACCACCAAAACACTTCACTTTATTGTACAACAATACAATTTGGCATGGAATACTAAAACATTGGCTAATCAACAATATTTATAAAATGCAAAGCTGCTTCACCGTCCTTCATCTGGATGCTCAACTCGGAACTTGTACTCCTCCAATCGCTTCAGGTACTTGTCGTTCAAATTCAAAAGGCTCTGAACTCCTTGGATGATCTGTTTCCTCTTCTCACGGTTCCGAGTCTTTTGCTCTTCACTAGTATCAGCGTCGAAGATCTTGAGACCATCGATGGCTTCTACTTGTTTCTCAGCCAGTGCATTGAACATCTTCAACTCTTTTTCGGTTTTTAAAATCAACTCCTCGCGTTGTTTGCCTAAAATAACATTTTATAATACTTGGACTTTATTTTTAATCAAAAATTTAACCAAAAATATTAAAAATAAAACGTAAGGCAACTAAAAACATAAATTATTGAAGAAAAACGGACTTAAACAAACTATATTAATATAAACCAACATTATTCATACCTCTAAATGGCCAAAAATCATATAATCAATTCAAAAAGTTCTTCATTCCCATCTGCAACTTACCATCTAAAAAATTCTTTTCTAATGAGTCGAGATCAATTCCATTTTGCTCAAATTTCTGATTGAGTTTGATCAAAAAAGTGCGTTCAAAGCTGCACAAAGTAGACCATCCTTCATCCGTTTTCGGAGGCTTGCCCATAATCTTGCACACATCTTTATCTTTGAACCTTAACCCACTGAGCTTGACTTCTGCATCTGTTCCAATAAGTTTTCCTAAAACTGATATCGGTAAAGATAGCTTATGCCAAAGATAACGTAAAACTGTGAAGAAAAAGCAAAACAAATTGAATTATATATTAAAATGTTTAACATAAACTGTTTTTGCTCCTCAAAACATTCACAATTTATAATTCACAGTTCTGGAAAAAAAACAGGATATTGTAGTACATTAAAAGATGGTTGATGAAAAACTTGACTTAAACCCCCAAATTCAAATAAAAGTAGCTCAAGCATATCACCACAAGAATAAAATCTAATTGCTCATGCCCTTCAAAACGTTCTAGTTCCAAGTTCAACTGACCTAAACCCAAAAGACAATATTATAATACATACCTCTATGAATAATCTTCATTTTGTCCGCATCCAGCCCAAAGTGATCAGCAATCCTATTCCTGAGATCACCAACAGTTTTGAGGATTTGTTCTCCATCTTCGGGTACTAGTTCAGAACCAGAATTTTCTTCATTCTGAACCAGCACTTCAAGTTTTTCGCCCAAACAGTCAATAGTGACATTGGCTGCCATTTTATCCTGAAAATGAAACGTTTGATATTCAAAAGCTAACAAGTAATATCTTACACTACAAACAGCATAAAGAATGAGAGAACTAGACTACTCAACAAAAGAGAACTAGCAAACAACATCAAGTACAACATATAATAAGAAAATCACCTGTTTCTTCCCAAAAAGATCAAAAATCCCCATGAAAAGCTGCAAATTCTCAATAGAGAAGAACTAACAGAATTATTATTGATCAATAATACTATTTTGGCACTACTCTTTTTGCCATAAAAAGATCCTGAAGCCTAGCTTTCAAGGAAATTAGAGTAAAATGTCGGAAAAAGAAAAACACTTGACGCAAAAAGCACCCGTGTCAAGATTTACTTTTTTGGCGTGTTTCCGACTTTTAAACGTAAATTCAACACAGAATCCTTGAAAGCACGTAAGATAACAGTTCTTAAACTGAAAATTGAATTTTTCATTAAAATACAACTCCTGAACAATATGCAACATTTATACTAACGTTTTGACAACGCAATCTTGTTCTCCAACAAAAGAGTAGCCAATAGATGAATCAAAAGGAATAGTAGTGTTAGTGAAGCGGAAACAATCCAGCACGGTTCTTTGGTGGCAATACAATCCTTAGTGTTTCTTTTTAACTTAGTAATCATCCATAGACAACAAATGACAAGAATTTTAAAAGATACGATATTATTTATCAAGTTTAACACAAAATTACTACTAAAATCAAGTAAAATTGAATTAAAAAACCGTCCAAAAGCCCTTAATCAACAAGAAATCGTTTATAAAATGTTTCATCAACCGAATATACATTAAAACTCAATGTTTAAAAAGTCATCAAACCCATGCCTGAGGGATGGATACCTGGAAGGTTCCGCCAACAAATCAAAAAAAAATCAAAAATTTCGATCTTTTTTGGCCAAAACATAACTAAAACTATGTTTTCAAACAAAACAAAAGTTATTTCTAACTTCTTTGACTTACTAACCAACGTATTTAACTTTTTACTCGCATTTATACCTATATCTAACCTTGTAACTACTCTAACCACCGCTAACATCACTAAATATTACCCAGAATTATATAACTTGTTCAACCACATATGCATTATTGGGCCTGGTGTCGCCGGTCCTAAACCTATGTGTTGCACTAAAACGTAACAAATTTCACAATTTACAACTAACTTTAATCAGCCTTTGTCATGTTATTTATACATTTGTTATGCTAGTCAATTATGATAGCCTTATTGTCCATGTTGTTATGGTACTGTTGTACTCGTATGGAGTCGTAATTATGCGACGGGATAACGGACTTGATAAAATCTACGTATTTTTATCTTCTACAAAAGTTGCATTCCGACTAACATGTACTAACTATGTAATGTCTACATTCGGCAGCGTAACGGCGTCGATCAAGTCCGAAAAGTATTACTTCTTCACCATGACACAGGTACTCGGCTCCGTTCCTATTATCACGTCATTAATGTAAGTCTTATTATTAAATTGACATAACACCCGTCCTTTCCCTCCCCCCCCTCATCTATTGTTATTCCTTTTGAGAAGATCAACTTAAGTTCCAACGGAAATCCACAAATTGTGTAGAAAGTTTTGACAATAAACTTTCTCTAAATTAATCAAAAACTATAAATCAATCATAAATTTCAAGGTATATCGTCGCAACGGTGAGCTTGGCTGTCCAACATTATCGGATTTATCAATTCAAGTTCACCAGTGTCGCCTACATAACTCCTGAAAGCTCAATTGCCACCGTACCTCGAAACTCCAAGCCTCGGCATCAACATCGGCCACACAGAAACACTGGTCCACCAAAACCACAGCCTAGACGAAGGTCTATGTGGTAAACCGTTATCTAACCTTTAACAAAACATTATTTACAAAATTCCTCATGTTTAACTTTATGCTAAAAATAAACTCGAAACTTTTAAAATTCACTTTATACCAAATATTAGTCTCATCTTAACCATCGGAATGTTCAACTCGGAACGTGGACTCCTCTAATCGCTTCAGGTACTTGTCGTTCAAATTCAGAAGGCTCTGAACTCCTTGGATGATCTGTTTCCTCTTCTCACAGTTCCGAGTCTTCTGATCTTCACTAGTATCAGCGTCGAAGATCTTGAGACTATCAATGGCTTCTACTTGTTTCTCGGCCAGTGCATTGAACATCTTCAACTCTTTTTCGGTTTTTAAAATCAACTCCTCGCGTTGTTTGCCTAAAATAACATTTTATAATACTTGGGCTTTATTTTTAATCAAAAATTTAATCAAATATATTAAAAGTACAACTTAAGGCAACTAAAAAAGTCAATTATTTAAGAAAAACCGATTTAAACAGACTATATTAATATAAACCGACATTATTCTTATCTCTAATCGCCCCAAACCAACTTTACTAAATTCAAAAAGCCCCTCATTCCTGTAAGCAACTTACCATCCAAAAAATCCTTCTCCAATGAATCCAGATCAATTCCATTTTGCTCAAATTTCTGGTTGAGTTTGATCAAAAAAGAGCGCTCAAAGCTCCACAACGTAGACTATCCTTCACCTGTCTTCGGAGGCTTGCCCATAACCTTGCATACATCTTTATCTTTGAACCTTAACCCACTAAGCTTGAATTCTGTCTCTGTTCCAATAAGTCTCCCTAAAAATGACATTAGTTAACATAGCTTGTCAAAGGTAACGTAAAATAGCAAAAAAAAGCGAAAAAAATTGAATTATATTATAAAGCGCTAATAATAAACTTTACTAGCTTCTGAAAAAATTTAGAATCTATACTTCACAATTTTAGAACTAAAAAAAGATATTGTAGTACATTGAAGGTTAGCAGAAAAGTTCATTTTAAACGCAAAATTCTAGTAAAAATAACTCAAGACTAACACAAAAAGATTGCCAACTGTTAAATCTTGCTTTCAGTGCATTTTAACTCCAAATTTAAAACCCTAAACATAAAAAAATGCTAGAACACATACCTCTGAGAATGTCCCAAATGATCAGAAAAGTGCGTTCAAATCTGTACAAAGTGGACCATGCTTCATCTGTCTTCAGAGGCTTGCCCATAACCTTGCCCACATCTTCATCTTTGAATAAGCTTGACTTCTGTCTCTGTTCCAATAAGTTTTGTCCTGAAAACAAATAAAATAAAATCAAAAACTTCGAAACTGCTTTATCGTACCACGCATAACAAAAACATCAAAAATTTATATAAAATTACGTTTTAAAAAATATTCCGACAGAATAACAAGATGTTCTGTCTACAATAACAAGACGAAGCTTGCGAAGGAAAAAAATAAAAAAGAGAAAATGTCGACGCATAAACGAAAAATGAGTCAAGTTTTTCTCTATTGCTAATGGCGCGTTTTTTCAAATTATGAATATAACTTTTATTAATAAAACAATATTAAGCACAAAGTAAAATATAAAACCACCCGCATTTATGATTTTTATCATTAAATAAACATATTTTTATAGTTATCTGTAACAAAATGTAAGTTTTTTCATCTACGACGAAACAAATAGCTTCTTGGAGTAAAGTTTGCTCGATTTAGACACTACAATGTTAATATTTGTCCATAAAAAATACCGATTCTTAAACTCAATATGTTAAGCTATTTTCTTTTTATTACAATGTAAAAATTACAAGACAGATTGCTTTTATATTCTACCTGACAATCCTCCAGAAATATTGGCAGGTGGCTAACCTATATGGTTAAAACATAGAGAGGTCATGCGTCTCTTGAGTCTTTTACTTTCCTTTTTCTAAACCTTGGATCTTTTTCAGTATATATTATATATAAATATATATACAGTACCAAAAGCTAATCGTTTTTCTATTGGCATTTGTAAAGTTGATTATAGTTATGGTTAACTGGAAATATACAAAAGCCTTGTTTGATAAAGCGTTGGCATTGCAATCTAGATTAATATTAAACCTAATTTGTCTAAGATACCCTCGGCTTGAGCGGTACGATTTGAACAGCTATCCATTTACGCCAGATACATCGATAACATACAAAGACGTTACTTTATATTGTTTTGTAAGTATAACGAGATTGTTCTTTCTGTTAAAATCTCCATCTTTGTGTTTTATTGTAGCTTAATAACACTAATTTTTAGTTAAACGACAGTATTCAAGTTCAATATGCTACTAAATTTTCGCTTATCATCATGGTTTACCTATGTGTCTCTCTAGAAACAGAATATGAAAGACAAAAAGCGCTTTTGTATATAGTTGTAAGTACTTTTTTTATAATTACAGGGTGCGCAAAAAGTTCTGTTAGAAAACTTATTGGAGGATAGGGTGTGTTTAGAAGACACCAAACTTTGGAGTCTTTGAAACAAGCATTGATCGAAGAGTGGGGAAAACTGTCACCGGAATTGCTGCGGCCCATCGCTGAAAACTTTTTGAAGCGTTTGCGCTTGTACCAAGCTGCAAAGGGGGGACACTTCGAAACCGATTGACTATGTTATAACTAGTATATGCTACTATTGTTAGATGTTGTTTTAGTTATATTTGTTGTTAAAATAAATATTTGATTAAAAAACCGTGTAACAGAACTTTTTGCGCACCCTGTAAACTAAGGATGTATCGTTCTTGATATACGGCGCCAAGACACTTGCGGTTTTTTTAAAGAATTTTTTATATTTTTTGGTTAATTTAGTTGTAGTATGGTAATAAATGGTACTAAAAATTAAAATCGGTGCTGTTTTTATAATTTTTGGTACTAAATAGTACTAAAAGCCCGAAATGATACTGTTATGTTAAGACCGTACCAATTTATTTTCCACAAATGTCTAAAATCCGCAAGCGTCCAAAAATTGCATTTGTCTTGGCGCCGTATATCAAGAACAATACATCCTTAGTTTACAAGGTGCGCAAAAAGTCCTGTTACACGGTTTTTTAATCAAATATTTATTTTAACAACAAATATAACTAAAACAACATCTAACAATAGTAACATATAGTACTAGTTATAACATAGTCAATCTGTTTCGAAGTGTCCCCCCTTTGCAGCTTGGTACAAGCGCAAACGCTTCAAAAAGTTTTCAGCGATGGGCCGTAGCAATTCCGGTGACAGTTGCGTCTGATATTGATATGTAAATTTTTTAGATTTGTTGGTATTTCTTGTATAGTTTGCCATTCATTCTACATATGAAGTTCTTATGGCATACCGATAAATTTTACGTTGAAAATTGAATACGATTATTCTGATGACGAATCGAATTATGACTGGGATGAACTGCAGAATAATGTCAACGATTTAAACTCTCAAAATGTTGATAACATTGACTATAATAGGCTACAGAATCATGAAGATAACTCAGACCATTATGATCATGATCATGCTGACTACAATAGACAAGAAGACCATGACAATGAAATTGGCTATAATCAAGAATACAGTAATGATGATTATAACTTCTACCACGGAGAGTACGAATTAGGTGACTTTGAAATCAACGATGAAAAATTTAAAGAATTTAAAAAGGACTTCATCTTACTACTGGAAAGACTAGATGAAGTGGCTTATCACGAACTGGATTACATGAGTGAAGAAGAGTTTGAAGCCAAACTTTTTGTTAAATTCGACGCATTGTGTTACTGTTCCATTTTTGACACGTGTATCGTCCTATTACTTGCTTGCTGGGTGGTTACAAAAGTTATACGAGAAGAAGCAATAACAATGTTTTGAGTCAAATTCTTTGCCTAACCAAATATGTCAATATTATAATCAAAATAATCCCGTTCTTCCACTTTTGGGTATGCCCAATATACCCAAATTTAGAACCAATAACATTGTCTTGAGTCAGATTCGTTTTCTAACTTATTCCTAACCAATTATGTCACTATTCTAATCGAAATGGCCCCTTTCTTCTACTTTTGGGTATATTTAGTATAATCTACCATAAGTGTAGAATTCAGCACCTACAATCATCAGAATTTTTGGTCCGCGCTGATGGGTATAATCCCTCAAGTATCTATAATAAACTTATCGTCCATTTTCTATGCGCAGACGGCATATCTGCCATATTACACGCTAACTACATCTATCGACTTCTAAAAGAAATGATGACTATCTATAATTATATTTTTATTACTGTTTATCTATGATCATATTTTCATCACTGTGGTATATTGGTATAATTTATCTTGACTAGGTGGACTTCAAATTCCACAGAGCCCTACGTATTGTTAGATTCTACCTACAAAGGAGAAGTATTACAAATCTTGAACGACTACCTCAATTTTCTACAGAAAAATGGACAGGTGGGTTACCTATGTAACGGAGAACGGATAAAGCTGCTTTTATTGCTTACTCTTCAGCATATATCTTATTATTAGAGTTGCAGCTGGAGTCTAGTTTTGCATATATTTAATCAATATTTACTACACATATTAATTTAGTAGATCCTTGACATGATTAATATTGATATTTTTAAACGTTGTTTTGATAAACTTTTGGCACTACAATCTAAGTTAATATTACGATTATTATCGGGAAGATACCCTCGCTTAGAACGGTACAACTTTGGAAACTACCCTTATACTGCGGAAACTGAATTAACCTACAAAGAAGTTACTTTTTACTGTTTTGTAAGTTTTTGCTGTATCTTGTTTTTGTAATAGATATAAATACAGTACTCTCTCTATATAAGCAACTCGAAGGGACCGGCATTTTGTGTTTACTATATGTCAACACCTAATATTTAAAAAAATGTTGATATCATTTCATTTGCTTCATTGGATAAAATGTTTATACAGTTATACAGTTTATTAACCTTTTCTATCAAAGTAAAATACAACTTATGGTTGATCAGAATATATTGTATTCACTAGAGCTGATGTAGGTTCTCATACCGGATTGCCATGTGTTAGGATCTTGCGTCTCCATCCAATTATGTCCAATTGTCTTTCTAAATTCGTCTGTCCATCGTAGTCTCGGTCTACCAACGGGTCTCTTACCTGGGGGGATCCACATTATGATCTTCTTTATCCATCGTCCATCTTGTGCTGTCAACATCTTCCAAGCACAGTTCCACTTCTTCTCAGTCGCTACAAGACTGGCGCCCTTGAGTCCCGTCCTTCTTCTGATCTCAGCACTTCTTCTTTTATCTCTCCATGTTATTCCCAACATCATTCTTTCCATCTTTCTGACCGTTCTAATCAACTTCCATCTGGCTTTCACTGTGAGACTCCAGCACTCGGCTCCATAAGTTATTGTAGGTAACAGGCAAGTCATGTAGAACTTTTGCTTGAGTCGTAGTCTGGTCCTTGGACTGGTTAGTACTTCTCTCCAACTTTGGAAAGTTGACCATGCCATTCTTGCTCGTGCTCCCACTTCGGATTCTGGATTCCTTGGGAAACTGATCTCTGAACCGAGGTATATAAAGGCAGCCACTCTTTCGATAGACTCACCTCCAAGACCTAGAGATTGGTCTCGGTCTATTCCTGTACTGCCCATCCATTTCGTCTTCTTTTTATTCAGTTCTAGTCCCATTTCCCTCAGTTTCTTCTCCACTTTCTCCAGATTTGCTTCAGCCTCGGCTACATCATTTGCCATCAGTATCAGGTCGTCGGCGTATAATAGGTGAGTTAACCTCCTTCCTCCATCCTCCAGTTCGATACCTCCAGACCATACTATCTGGTTTAGAGCCATCTGCATCACTAAGTTGAAAATGGTGGGTGACATAACGTCTCCTTGACGTACTCCACGGTGAACTTCGTATTCAGCCTTCTCTTTTCCTATTTGTACATAGGACTTTGCGTTTTGGTACATTATCCTAATCATTTTTATTGTTTTGTGATCAGCTCCAGCCTCTTTAAGCGCTTTCCAGATAGCTTCGTGCTCTACAGTGTCGAAGGCTTTTCGACACCTAATATTTAAAAAAATGTTGATATCATTTCATTTGCTTCATTGGATAAAATGTTTAAACTATAATTTTAGATTGTATTACTGTATTTTTTAGATTGAAGACATCAGTAAGATCATGGCGTTTAATTGTGCGTCTTTTATTTTTATGATGCATTTGGGTGTCGCATTAGAAATAATAAAATCTCATGACGAATTTGGAAAGCTAGTTATTTATCGTACTGTGAGTAATTTTAACAAAATTACGTTATCAAGTGCCGACATAAAAAACCCGCCATGCTTTTTCTGTATTTACCTGTAAAAATGGCGGGTTGTTTATGTCGGCATCTAATAATGTACTTTGACTTTACAAATTTACTTTTTAAATGACATTTATACTGTTTTAATGTTTTTTTCAGTTTTTTGCTTATTTTCTGAATAGTTTGCCATTGTTGCTACACTTTAAATTTTTGTGGTATACTCGCGAGTTTTACGATCTTTACGAAGCCGATTCGGTTGACGAAAGAAGTGATGATGAAGATAACGAACTACACATCTATGACGAAGATTATGCCATCTATAACGGCGAAGATTATGAGGCTGCCTACAATACGCTACAAAATCAAGAAAGTCAACTAGAGTACAATGACACCGAAGCCTATTATGCTGTTGTATACGAACATAACGAATCGGCCGAAAGTGATGATGATGACGATTATTCGATGTTGACGGAAGACTTCAGAGTGCTACTGGAAAGGTTAGAAGAAGTTACACACCACCAAATTCGTGGTAAATTAACCGAAAAAGATTTTGACAGAAAAATCTTTGAACTTTTTTTTTTTTTTTATTTATAGATACGGCTTTTAACATTTGTGTACCACTCATTGTAAGCAAAGAAAGATTTAATAAATGATATTTCAAGATAAAAAAATAAACATAAAAAGTTACATTCATTATCAATAAAAAAACCAAATTTTTTAACAAAACTCTTTTAAACCAATATAAAACAACTTTTCCTACCCCCAACCCTAAAAATAGTACAAAAAGTACCATAAAATGCCAAAAATGCGTACGCCACTTGAGATTCCAAGGACGTCTCCGATCCAAGTACTAATCAAGCGCACCGTTGCTTAACTTGCCAGATCGGACGGGATGGCGTGCGTTCAACGGGCTATGGGCGTACACAACTCTCTCTCTTTCCTTTTCAAACCCTTTCCTTTTGGGGCTGATTAGTGGGTCGAAGGGGGTAAAATTGGGTTGAAAAGGGTGTTTTTGGTGATAAAATGTAAAGAAAAATAAAATTTTTGCAAATTTTTAACTTTTCAAATCAATTTATTATTTTTTTAGATAAGAGTTTGTTTTGTCCTCCCCCAGACTGAAATCGTTCGCCTATTTTTGAGTTTTAAATTTTTTAATATTTTTTTGCTTTTCAATCCTAAAAAATTCATTACTACGCGTTAAACCTAGACTTAATTTTAGCCCAAGCCTAGCCTTATTTATTACTATTTTTTCTGTAAGTCAATATTGACTGTAACGTACCTTTTACTATTTTTTTGTTTTTAAAAAAAATTTTAAACTATGTCAAATATGCATAAAATATCAGAAGAAAATCTCAAATTTCAAAAAAAAACGAGAAATTTCTTAATTTTTTTGAATTTTTCCCAAAATTTTGCATATTCTGAAATCGAACGATAAAATTGCCTTTCACTGACTTTTTTGGCCACTTTTACTTCTGCATTCCTCGTGGACGGTCGCTGGTTTCCAGATGCTGTTCGACGCCCAGCTACTTCAGAAGATCGTCGGATCCAACGTGCTGAAGGCAAGACCTGATCAGGTGATCTGCGCCACGTTCCTCAGCTTCAAGCGAGACGAAAAAAGCATTGTTCGAAGCTCGACCTCGGTTTGTCCACACTATGCAAGCGACACCACTGAAGAGTAAGTTGTTCGGTTTGGTCTCAATTTGAATTACCAATGACTTTACCAAGTTGGGACTGATCTGCTCAGAAAAAAATGTTGAATTTGCCTGATTTTTGACACAGAATGCCAATGTTTTGCGAGGGCGTTTTGTGGTTCTTTATTAGGCTGAACCAAAAGTAGCGGGACACTTTTTAGTTAAAAAAAAAGAAATCAAAAGGTTCTTGCTACTCTTGGTTCAACCTAATAATTACCGTAACGTATTTTATTTTTATTTTCATTTTCATTTTCATTTCCATTTTTATTTTTATTTTCATCTTCATTTTCATTTTCATTTTCATTTCCATTTCCATTTTCATTTTTATTTTCATTTTCATTTTCATTTCATTTTTAGCAATTTTACCCTTCGCGATAATGGCGTCATTAACCTGACTTACGTCTTCTCTCTGAAGAACATCAACAATCTCTATGTCTACGGAAATAAAAGCAATGGGTAAGTGTTTTATCATTAAGACACAAAAAAAATTGGCACAGGTAGCCCATCCCGGTTTTTGCGAAAAATTTTATTCAAAAACTTATATTTGGTAATTTTATTCAAAAATCCACAGGGGGGACCACGTTCAACTTTTTAAAATTTTTTTTCGAAATTAATTTCGAAAATTTTTAATTTTGAAAAATTTAAATTTTAGACATGTAGTGGTGGACTTGAATGGAAGTAAGCCACTTTACAGAAGTTATAGTCTTGAAACGAAGTTTTGGATGGTTGGAGATGCACTTTTGACTCAAACAAGGGGTATTGATGTCAAGTTCTATTATGGAGAAGTTGGGGATGTTATTGAAAAAATGAATTTTTTCAATGAAGAAGTCCTCGGAAGTGTTGACAATGGCGATCTTTGGTTTCCTAATGGCACGTGCCTGAAGTTCGAACGCGACGAAGGCAACAAGACAATAATTCCGTCGGATTGCTCAAGTCCAAATAAACTGATGTTGTCGTTTGTATGTTACTTTTAATGTTCTTTTTAAGTAATTTTTAACCTTATAACTAAAGTTTAGGCTTAAAGACCAAGGTTAGTGAATAGGCATTTTTTTGAAGTACTAGGCCAACTTTGTGAACAAATCTTGAAATTATTTTATTTTTTGGCGCTAGGACAAATGTTGTTTTTGGACACTTGCGAATTTAAAAAAAAATTTTTTTTAAATTTTTTAGTTAGTTTAGTTGGTAGTATGGTACTAAATGTACTAAAGTTAAAATTGGTACGGCTTTAACATAACAGTACCATTTTTGGCTTTTAGTAACATTTAGTACCAAAAAATATTAAAACGGTACCAATTTAAAATTTAATACTATTTAGTACCAAAAAATATTAAAACAGTACCAATTTGAACTTTAGTACCATTTAATACCAAAAAATATAAAAATAGTACAAATTTAAAATTTAGTACTATGTAGTACCAAAAAGTTTTAAATTAGTACCAATTTAAACTTTGGTACTATTTAGTACCAAAAAGTATTAAATTAGTACTAATTTAAACTTTGGTACTATTTAGTACCAAAAAGTATAAAAACAGTACCAATTTAAAATTTAGTACTATTTAGCACTATCAATTTAAAAATTTTAAAATTTGTCTTTCAGGCTGCATTGAAAGCACAAAACGCTACTTTGGATGACGATGAAGCCACTGTGAACAACTTTGCCATCGTGTTCTACGAGTAGGTGGTTTGTTATCAGTTTATGTGATTAAAAGGACAAAACTGTCATAATTTTTAAACTGATTTATTCAAGTTTTTTTTGAATTTGGCGGTAGATTTTTTAAATTTTGAATTTTTTAAAATTAGTACATATATATGTTTAGGCAAGCCCCCGCGACCACCACCACCACTACTACTCGTATGACTACTGAACCAACCACTACACTCATTGTCACTGATGTCGATGTCAGCCTACCAGAAGAGTCATCGTGAGTTCTTTTGTGAAAGTTTTGACATTATCCCTTTAGGGTCTGTAGCTAATTTTTGTTCAAAAACATTTGCTCTAGTGGTTGGTTACTGTAAAACATGTTTAACTTGTTTTAGTTTTACAGTAAAGGAGGGGCTTAATTGATGTTCGAAAACATGTATCCTAGTGGTTGGATACTAGAGTAAAACATGCTTAATTTGATATGACCTATTTATGTCACTTTTTTTAGGTTAGCACCAACCCCTATTGAAACTGAACAAGTAACCAATGACTCATCGGGAGCTTCGCTTTGGTTGAAGTAAGTTTTGGTTTTGTATTAGGTTTTTCACATAATTCAGCGCCCCCGTACCCCACAAATTAATTTTAAGCAGGGGCGCAGAATTAAGTGAACAACACAATATTATGTTTGAAACGGTACCATTTGTACTATTTTGAAAAGAATTTATTATGGTTAAGGTTTGAAGTTTATAAGATTTGTTATTACCTTTACTGTCTTAGGCTTAGAAGGGTATATTGTAGTAGGCTAATTACTGTTTTTTAACTGCTACGTATTTTAAATTCCTTTTGCATGGTTTTTACTGGTTGTGTAGTATAATACCGACGGTAATTTATGTGTTTCAGTGATGGTTTCGGACTCGGTGGTGCCTTGTTGCTTGCAATCGTGGTTGCCACAGTCGCTCCTGTCTTTTGTCCAAAGAAAGAGAAGGCTGATCCAGTGAACAGCTCTAAGTCTCGTAAAACCCCAAAGAAATCTCGTCTAGCTTCTTCAGCAGCGCGCAACAACAGTCGGCAACCCGGTTATAATCCTCTTCTTGGACAAGATTAATAAACTTGTGTTGAAGAAAGTTGTGATTTGTTAAAGGTTATGGTTATAATCGGTTTCAAAATTTTTTAATTGAAAGTTCATGCAAATGTAAGATCTTGGGTCAAAAAATCGCGTTTTGAATTTTCCGCCAAATTGGCATAGTGTTTCAAGCTTTTAACTTTGCCATTTTTTAACTTTTAACTATTTTTCTTTGATATAATGATAAAGGAGCTTTAAATGAACCTGCAATTTTAAATTTGCAAGCCTATCTTATCTGGAGCATCAAAAAAGTGCTTAAAACACAACGCCAATTTTTGTCAAAATTGGCGGAAAATTTAAATATATTAATTTAAAACCGCAAGCTAAGATTTTTTATATGAGCTAATGGTACTACGAAGAATCCGTATAAAAATTTTGAGCTAATTCTAAGAGTTGCAGTTTGGGTACTTTTCTTGTAAGCTTAAACTTACTCTAAGATAAAGGTTTTGCAAAGAGTAAGTTTAGTAGAAAACTGAAACTTCAGGCATAGTATGTTATATAAGTCAAAGCTCGTTCGCTTTTCAAAGCTTGATAAAACACAGTATTGACCTACTTTGGTTTATGTCTATGGTTGTAATTTTGTGTTAGGTTAGATGTTTTTTGTAAGTCAATATTGACTGTACGATACTTATTACATTTTTTTGTTTTTTAAAACAACTTTAAACTTTGTCAAATTTGCATAAAATATCACAAAAAAACCTCAAATTTATTTCTCAATTTAAAATTTTTTTTCAAATTTTTGCATATTATGAAATTGATATTTGGAATTGCCTTTCACTGACTTTTTTGGTCACTTTTGCTTGTGAATTCATCGTGGACGGTCGCTGGTTCAGAAATGCTGTTCGACGATCAAATCAAGTTACTTCATCGGAAGATCGTCGACCCGAACTTTATCATACCCCCTTTCAGTTCTGTTGATGCCAGTCTACAAGAAGAGTCATCGTAAGTTTATTTGTGAAAGATTTAATTTTATTTCCTTAGGGTCTGTAGATAATTTTTGTTCAAAAACATTTGCTCTAGTGGTTGAGTACTAGAGTGAAACCAGTGTAGTACCATGTTGAAAACAAAAATTATTTTGCTTAAGGTTTGGGATTGAGAAAAAAGGTATATTGTAGTAGGATAAACATTGTTTTTAAACGTTATGTATTTAAAATTCATTTTGCATAGTTTTTGCTAGTTGTGTTTATAAAATCGACACTAATTTGTGTGTTTCAGAGATGGTTTTCGGCTCGGTGGTGCTTGGTTGCTTGCAATTGTGTTTGCCACAGTCGCTACTTTCTTCTTTTTTCCAAAGAAAGTAATGGATGATCTAGTGGGCAGCTTCAAGACTCGTAAAACCACAAAGAGGACTAAAAAGACAACGCGCAACGACAATCAGCAACCCGGCTCTAATCCTCCTGGACCGGCACAAGACGTAGTACAGCCACCACAATCTGTTAGAAAGTCGTTTGAAAGCTTGGAACTTTGTATGGACCGTGTAGAATCTGTTCTGCGTCTGATCCGGCAACTGTTGACGGGAAAATATCCAAGTGATGCAAGAAGTCGGTTAATCGCAGCAAGAAGTCTGTTCTATGAGACAGAATATCAGTTAATTGTAGCGAAAAGTCAGTTAATTGCAGCAGGAAATATTGAAGCAGCAAATCAGTTGAATGCAGCACACGTTCCGTTAACGGTAGCAGGAACTATGTTAAAGGTAGCAGCAGATTATCCACTAGCAGTGCAGTTAATCAGGACAGAAAAATATGTAATTGCAACAAGAAATCATTTAATTGAAGCAAGAAATCAGTTAAACGCAGCAAAATATCAGCCAATTCCAGCAAGATCAGCCAATTGAAGCCGGAAATCAAAATCAATAAATCGATGGAAATAAATGCGCCCTATCAGTTTGCTTTGATGTTATGAAATGCATTGATTTTAAAAACTATTTTTGAGAATAAACATACTTCTCGGTGAAAAATGTTGTCGTTTATGTTTACTTTGAGAACAAATGATTGGTATTTTATGCAAATTTAGACTTGTTGGATTGTTTTTAGTTAGGCTTGAGTAAGCTAAAATGGATGGAGGTAAACCTGGATGAATGCTTAACATAATCTGTCGAGTTTATCAAAACAGGTCTAGTTTTACTGAAGTCGGTCGATTTATCAGCAAGGCCGGTCGATTTTTACCTAAAAAGAATCGATCAATAACAAAAACGGTCGATTAATAACAAAAACTGTTGAATTTAACAATTGTTTCTACCTCCAAACCCAAAAATAGTACCAGAAAGACTTATAAATTGGCAAAAACGAATACACCACTTGAGATTCCAAGGACGTCTCCGATCCAAGTACTAATCAAGCGCACCGTTGCTTAACTTGCCAGATCAGACGAGATGGCGTGCGTTCAACGGGCTATGGGCGTACACAGCTTTCTCACTTTCCTTTTCGAAACCTTTCCTTTGGGGCTTAGGGGGTTGGAAGGGGTAAAATGGTGTTAAAAAATGTCTTTGAGGGTAAAAATGACTAAAAATGTGTTGTTTTGGGAAAAATTATTTGTTCAAAAAAGTCAAATAAGACTTTTAGATTACTAATTTGTGTTTTTGTTACAATTCAATTCAAAAGAGCAAATTACTTTAGTGTTCACCTGTATATGAAAATAAATTTTAATTAAAATTTTATTAATGTATGTAAAAATTTAATCACAATTGACCAACAACCCTCCCTAAACAATCCCGAGTTTCGTACAGTCGATATGGCTCTCGGGATAAGGATCGGTAACGATCTGGCACTTTTTCTGGTGTATATGGCCTGAAAATGAATGTTTAAAAATTTTAAATTTTGAATATTAAAAAATTAAAATTTTTTTTCATTTTATTTCGTATTTTTTTACTTCTGGCACGCCACGAAAAGTATATAAGGAAAATGGAAATAGCAATGGCAAGCTGCGCCCAATTTGCGGCAAAAATAAATAAATAAAATATTTTTTTCGCAATATTGTTTTATATTGCGAAAAAGGATAAATTTCGTGTTAATTCGATATGTACAAGGCTTATTTTTACTTTTTAATTTTCTCTGGACATTTTTTTACCTTATAAAAATGAGTTATAGCTTTTTTACGTGGAATCCGCTAGTTTTGAAGAGGAAAATGGGAGTGATGCAGCTAATGTGGTATTACAAAAAGTAAGTTATCTCTCCAGTAAGAGTTGATTGAGACAAGACTGTGTTGGATTAGGTCAATTAGATAATTTCGAAACTTTTAGTGAAAAAATTGGAAAAAGTTACGGTCACACTTAAATTTTTTGTGTCAGGATACATCAATATGTTGGAGAATTAACGAGAACAGCGGCTTGCTGGATTGTAAAAAGCTGGAATTTTCTGCCAACGCTACGAAATGATGTATTTATGGAAATTGTAGGCCATATGGAGCAAAATCTTCACAGCAGTTTGCCAAATCGGCCCAACGTCACCTGATTTAGACTATCATAACATCAACTTCAAAAATTTTAAAGGTATGTCAATAGTTCCTGTTTGTTTTGTGTTTAGGAGTTGAAGACGAGTGTAGAGGCAGTAAAGAACAAAAAACAGTTTTGAAATGGATTCTGTAGGTCCTGATGAGTCTCATTTGAGTGATCCAGGTGAAGTGGTAATGAAAAGTCTGAAGTATCTTTCAAACAAAAGTTAGCCATGCGGTAACTGAGTTAAACTAGATAGATTAGACTATTTCACGACTGCTAATGCAAACTTTAGGGAAGATTGCAGTCAAATATTATTCCTTTCGGTCGACATACATCAAAGTGTTTCATGTATCGAAGGAAAGACATTTAACAAAAATAAAATGTCACTAAGTGTTTTTTAAGCAAAAAGATGTTGTAATAGAGAAGGAACAACATCAGACAAAACAAGTAATACAATTTACTGTGTTTAATGTAATAAACAAAAATTTTTGACGACCACATTTGGTCGTATAACACCCGTTTGCGCCCAAACTGCGCATGAAAAAAGTAATTTTTTTAGGCGCAGAATGCCAAACCTATTTCCACATTTTTCGTGGCGTGCTTCTGGTCTATTCAGACATGAGTTAAACTAGATAGATTAGACTATTTCACGACTGCTAATGCAAACTTTAGGGAAGATTGCAGTCAAATATTATTCCTTTCGGTCGACATACATCAAAGTGTTTCATGTATCGAAGGAAAGACATTTAACAAAAATAAAATGTCACTAAGTGTTTTTTAAGCAAAAAGATGTTGTAATAGAGAAGGAACAACATCAGACAAAACAAGTAATACAATTTACTGTGTTTAATGTAATAAACAAAAATTTTTGACGACCACATTTGGTCGTATAACACCCGTTTGCGCCCAAACTGCGCATGAAAAAAGTAATTTTTTTAGGCGCAGAATGCCAAACCTATTTCCACATTTTTCGTGGCGTGCTTCTGGTCTATTCAGACATAACAGGCAAAATTAACGTTATTTTGCTGGGCGCGGTCCGCGCGGTGACAAGTTATACGCGGTTTCGAGAATTGGAATAGATTTGGCTTAAAAATGGCTTTTCTTCGTTTTTTCTTTGTGGAAACAAAGTTACTTCGCTTGATTTTGACTTTTTTCACTTTTTAAAATATATTCTACATGTTTTAAAACTATTTGCAAACGTTTTTACCTCCAAGGACTTGGTGATCGACTCAATTCTCGTTCCCATTCTCTCAAAACTTCTTGCTTTTCGTTTCTCCTTCGTCTGCTTTGCCTTTCATGAGGTATTTCTTGTTGATTATCTACTCTTCTGTGTTGATTGCTTGGTATAATATAGTCTGGACTGGCGGAAAAGGCCCGTTTTGTTCGATGGAGCGAGCGAGGTTGATGTTGTGATGGTGTATATTGTTGTAGGTCGGGTCTTTGTGATATTCGTTGATCAAACTGTCGTGATGTTGTATGTTGTTGTTGATTAGGTCTTTGTGATGGTTTATATTGTTGTTGGTCAAGTTTTTGTGATGGTGTTGGTTGTAAAAGAGGTTGATTTAACGGTTGTAAATTGTGTTTTAGGTATGAAGGTGAATATTTTAGCTCGGACGGATGTTGGATTGGATTTGTCCCTCGGCTAACTAAATTCGAGTTGTTTGGTTGAGTTGTGTAACCACGCCAATCTCCTCCATCGTATGGTCTACTTGAGCCGTAATTTGTGTTGATGGTTTGGTCTGACGGTCTACCTTGATATTGAATTGGCACATTTCTGCTTGATGGTCGGTATTCACTTGACACTGGTCGATTTTGAGGATATTGTGATTGATTTTGTGCATTTTGTGATCGATTTTGAGGGTATCGTGGTCGACTAATTCTAGGCGTAACGTAAGGGTTTTCTGATTTGATTCTTGAAGAGTGAGCTGCTTGATCTTCTGGATCTGCATAGTGTAATATAGGAGCATAAAGGTCAGATAGATTGGTTTGGCTACCTCTGTTTAATGTGGCATATCCATCTTCGTCCAATTCGGTTTTTGGCTCGGTATGGCTGAAGAAAGAGGTAATAAGTTATGTTTTATGGGATCAATTTTTGATCTTTATCAGGGTAGTTTAAAAAAACTAAAATCTTTCCAATCTGAGGTTATATCACACTGAAATTTCAATGAATAAAAGCTGGATATTACACATAAAATTACCTTAAGCCAATTCCACTATTTTCGATTGGGTACAACGGCTGTACATTACTTGTAGAGACTTCGGTGTATACTTTTGGTGGGGTTATTGTGGCAGTCGAGTCGTATTTTGAGGATGTTCGATGGATTTCGACTTGAGTGGAGGTTGTTGGGGTTGGTGAAGTCACTGTGTATGGCCTGGAAAAGTAAAGTTTTAGTTTTTCTGGTATTGTTTTAGCTTAAAATGGCTTTTCATAGATGGTTTAAGGCTTTCATACATCTGATATAGACTTTCAATTTGCCCTTTTTTATTGTTGGAGTATAAATATACGTTTTTCATTACCTCAATATTATAAATGGTGTCTTTGTAATGTTCAAAGTATAAGAAAACCTTTTTAGGTAACAAATTCCATATAAAATCTTACACTGATGGAGATATTGTTCTAGTTATCTTCTCTTCTTCTCGTATCGTTTTCTCCGTTCGATCACTGTAATTTGAGTTCATTTCGAAGATTTCTGGATTCTCATTCCATTGAACGGTTTTTCCTGGACTAACACTTCGACCAGCTCGTGATGGGAACTTTGTTTCCGCTCTGAAACAAAATTTATATTTTTGGTTTCTAAGTGTTACTATGAGGCTTCTGTGTGTTACTACAAGGTTTGCCCTGATAATTTTGACCTTGTGATAGTATAGGGGAGGAATGATATGCTTGTTGTTAAACATTGGATGGATAAACTTTAAAAGAAGGATACTAGCCGTTATTATTATCTTCTTACTTACGTTTCAAACCTTTCATAAGGAGGCCCTCTAGCCGGAACATAAGTAAATCTTTGTTGTTCATCTTTAGGTTGAGGTGGTAGTTGATAAAAGTCTGTATTGTCTTCGTTTGTCGCTCTAAAAACTTCTACTGTAGTTGTGGTAGTGTTCGTATCCTTCAGTACGTATTCTTGTGGTTTTTCAAATGTATTCAATTTAAAATCTCGACTAGTGAGGTCATCAATAACATTTACAGAAGTTGATAATTGGGTTGGTGTTGTTGACTTGACATAACTTCTACTGTTGCTGCGTTCATTCTGTTCATAGCTAACATCACCGACTGATGAGGATTGGGGTCGGGCTGTTATTGCGTTCTGAAAATGGGTTTTTTATAGAAAATGATAAGGTTTAATAATAGCTTTTTAAATTCACAATTTCTTACAAAATCCATTAAATAATGGTCAAAAAGCCAGAGAACGTACCGGTAAAGACATGGTAGACCCAGCCAAACTCTGAATCTCTTCTATTCGTGGCGCTCCAGCAAAACCAAAGCTTTGAATTTTACTGGTCGTTCCATTTTGAATACCCGTCGTTATCAGGAGACCATTATGAGATCCATTTGTGGTTACGTCTACTTTAAAAGAAACTTTCATCATTGGTTGATTCTTCTGTTTCGACATTATTTGGCAGGTTTAGCTATAGCTATATGTTCAAGTTGAACAGGGTTGCTCGGTCAGTTGTTAGAAATATGAAAAGGGTTTTAGGTTAACTTTGAGATCAATTTGTTGTTGATAGGTGAAAATAGTTGTACTAAGTAAGGTTTTAGGTAACACAATGCATATGTTTGCAATAAAAGTTTAGTTTTCTGGACTAGGTAGAACAGTGAATTCGAGTGTAGGTAACGGGCAGTGAATCCAAGTCAGGGTAATGGGTAGTAAATCCAAGTCTAGGTAAGCAACTGCCAATTTTTTCAAGAGTTGGTGGTTTGAGCTTGGCTAGCTGAACAACAAAAACTTAATTTTTTAAGGCTTAAACACAAATTATAAAGAATAAGGTAAAATACGGCGAGAATACGATAAAATATGATGAGAGTAAGGTAAAATAATATGAGATTAAAGTAAACTTACGATGATGAAATGCTAAAGAAACTTTTAAAAAGCGGTTGACTTATTTTTGACTCATCTCCTAGAAATTTAAATACTTCAAGCATGAGTAATGTTTGACAAACGCATTGAAATGGTCATAAAAAATTGCAAAATTAATAACGTGATGCATATAATAAAGTTACAATATACTTACAGAGTAAAGACCAAAATTAAATTTTGCAAAACCCATATAATAATGGAAGTTTCAGAACCTTATGTTTTTAAAACCGAAATTTAAATAAAGATCAAAAACCAAAAGATAAGCGAAACAATATTATAACACTTGTCAAATCATTTTTGTAAAAAAATTTGTTCACAAAATCCGGAAATTCGAAGAAAACTATGGTGACGAAAGGTATGAAAAAATACGAAAAGTAGAGGGAAAAGTCGTCAAAATGCGAAAATAATTTCCATTTTCAGGATGAATAAGGTCCAGCAAAGGGGAAAGAGAAGGAAGAGACGGGGCGAGTAGTGATAACAAATAAAATAAAGGTATTTCTTTGTTTATTTTTGTAGCAAACAAATCGATGCACGCTGAGAAGAATGCTTTTACAAGTAAGGGCAAGATTTTTAAAATTATTAAAACTCGAAATAGTTTTTGAAAATTTGGAATAATTTTTGCTAATATTGTAGTAGTATTGACGACCTAATAAAATAAAATTTGGCGGAATTGCTCAAGGGATTCTAATGATGTTCATTGTAAAAGAGTTTTGTTATACATAAGTTTTAAATGAAATGCGTAACGATAGCCGGGCACCTAAACGTTGTTCGATATACGAAGTTTTTGTTACATAGGATTTCGTTATACAGGAGTTCCGTATACAGTGGAACTTTTGTATAACGAACTCCCCTATAACGAAAATCCCGTATAACGAACGGCTTTTGAATCCCCGTCTACCAGTGATTGAATATGGTTAACGCACGAGATTGCTGATACATTAGGCCTATAAGTATAAAACATTGCATAGGTGAGCTCTTTACGATAAAAAGTTTTCTTTTAAAGTTTCGGCCACAACTTTAGTCTATTACACTCAAACGTGACCCAAATCTGACCGAAAGCTTAAAGTGACCCAAACAAAGCTTAAAATTAAGTACAACCCAAGTACGTATCAAAACAACCCAAAAAGCATGAATAGTAAACAAAAACAATGGGAATATACATGAGAATGGAAGAGGTGGTCTCTCACTCTCGGCTTCGCTTCCTCCACAACTGAGTCACGTGTGGGTGAGGTAAGAGCGAGCGGGAGAGGGGGAGAACAAATATTCAAATACGCGCTCGGGATTAGCCGCAGGGTTCGGTCGAAACGAATAACCGCGGTAACCGCACACGCATAGGTATTGCGATTGTATTAGGCTAATATGTTGAGGTTGGTTGATTGGCGGTGGGGTTTAGGGAGTGGTGTGTATGGAGAAGACTTGTAGGTGTAAGTGAACGCTTAGTCTTACAATTATAATGTAGTATAGTACTATTTTAGTACTATCTAGCACTATTATAAAAATGTTTATTTAAAATTCAGTTATGGCCACTTTTTGAATAGTTGTCTCTACTAATGTCCCTCGAAGCTCGGTGCGACAATATTTATTCAAATAATGTCAATTTAAATATTTTAAAATGTCAAATTTTTCAAAATTTCTTTTCAGCACCTCGTAGAAATGAAAGATTTGATATTGATAATCGTTTTCATTGATTTTTCATTAAATAATGACATGTGAGCCAAGTTAAAGTAGAAATAAGACGGTTTTTGTACATTTAAAGTTGGTGAAGACCTTGTAGACTAAAATACTCTAGTAGGAGTGAAATAAGAGAGCTTGTAGACTAAAATACTCTAGTAGGAATGAAATAAAAGACCTTGTAGTTGCGTATATTAGGTTGTTCATGTAATCCTGCGCCCCCTGACACCAAAAATTTGCTTATTGAGGAGCACAGAATTAACTGAACAACCTAATAAATAAAGTTTAGATGGTATTGAAGAGTTTAAAAGATTGAAAAAAACTGGAATGCTAACATACCCAACACGTTAAGTATAATGTAATCAAAAGACTATATACAAAGAAAAGCATTATATTAAGCATGTTGATGTGAAACTTCAATGTTTAAAGCTTGGGTTGATTGTTGAGTTGGAATTGGAAGTTTTGAGAGAAGTTGAGGATGGGTGTACCATCTTCGGCGGCTACACGGCCCAAAACTAGGCCATCAGTGGTGGCGGCTTCGAGGTTTAGCTCCAAAATGAACCAACCGTTTGGCTGAAGATGAATTTATTAGTTTTTTCGTATTGAAATTGATAGTTTTTTTTTAATTTTTGTGTAGTATATAGGTATAGAATTTTAAAATTTAGCTATACTATCTAAAAATGCCTACAACAATATAATTTTTTAATAATTATCTTTACTTTCAATTATGCTTGCTTTACCTAGCTTAGAATCAAAAATCGCTTTTCCCACTAAAATTATCGAGTTTTATGGGGTTTTCAGCAACGATTTTCATCGACAAGAGTTGTGGTTTTCGGTCTTGAAACGCGCTAAGATCAATTATAATCGAATATTAGTTCGCCGTGGTTGTTATTCAACCCAATTTTACATTCGGATAATTTTAGATGTTACAGTAAGAGCTAGGGAAAAACATTGCTGTATTATTAGCTCAAACTATAAGATGGTTGTGGCGTGGGATGTTACAGTAAGACCTAGGTAAAACATTGCAGTATTGTTAGCTAGAACTAATAGGTGACTGTGGGTGTTTTACATACATTTATATTAAAAAATAAAATTTTGATCAAACTCAAGAAGTCATCATTAAAAACTTACATTACATTTTTCGGTATGAATCACGACTTTATGATTCAAAGATGTCATCGATTCGATTTGCACTCTAAGCTTTTCGTTCAACACACTAAGTGGCAAGCAAGCCAAGTAGTCGCTGATCATCAATGGTACAACCATGGGGTCATTGATCGGTGAATCGCGTAGTTCCTTTCTCAATCTCATGTAGTTGCGGATTCTTTTGCCATTTTGTTCGATTGGTCTTACTTCAAAAATTTGTCTGTCTTGGTGGCTAAATTCGTAGGTGAAAGGTTCGGATGATTTTTCGGACTTTGGAGCAGTTTCTAGTACAGGACATGAGGTTGGAGATGGTAGGTCGGTGAATTCTGCGAGTGGTGGGTTTTCTGGGAGGTTGCGACGAGTTGTTTGGGATAGCGGGGCTTTGTACTGAAAGGATATGGTTTTAAAGGTGAAATATAAGATTTTCATAGTGTGTTAGAAGCTGTTATAGTTTGGTATAGTTACTACTTTTATAAGTATTGTCAGGGCCGGGCGGGGACTTTTGGTCTGGGGGGCGGGGGTCCAAAAAAAATCGGCACAGGTATACCTGTGCCGATTTTTTGCGAATTTTTTTTTCCGTAAATCCACAGGGCGGACCACGTTCAACTTTTTTCAAAAAAATTTTTTTTCTGAGGGGGGGTACCCCCCCCGTCCCCCCCCTCGCGCCCGGCCCTGAGTATTGTAATATCTAGTAGAATTCTTACCTTGACCACACTCTTATCAATAAGCTTGTTTTCTTGTCTAGCATCCAACCACAACAAGTCTCCTCGTTGCTGAGTCTTTTCATAATTAATAGGCAAGTCAGTAGCGGCCATAGCCAAAAAGTTGACATCAATACGATGAATGGCGGCATCGTCGCGTAGTTGTTTGGCTACCAAATAAAATTGGGCCAGAAGATGGCCGCCAAAAACAAGTTGTTCGTCATAGCCTCCGGCGAAGTGGGGAGCCAACGCTTTCAGGCCATTGTGGAGTTGCTCCAATTGGCCTAGGTTTTCCATGATGTGGCGAAGGTGTTGAGTTTTGCGGCGGCGTTGCGCTTCAACTGACATTTTTTGGTTTTGAAAGTTTGAAGATGGGTTGGGAACGTCTGTAAAGATATGTTTATGATAGTGTAAATTAGATGTACGGTATAAAATTCTCGCTGAGGAGAAAGTCACCAAAATCGAAACAAAACACGAACATATACGTTATGAGAATAGGACATTAATGTTTTTATACTAAAAGTAACTTTTGCCTACTATAACTGAAACAAAACATCAATAGCTTAATTATACTAGCTTTACCCAGCTCGAAACCTCAGACATTTAAATACCCATGTAACCATAGGCAAAAGCTTTAAAAATGACGTGAATCACGTTCCGTTTCGAACTGATTAAAAAATTTAATATTACCAAAAAAGGGTTGCGAAACTCCTGCAAGGAACACCCCCATCATTCGTTTCTCACTCGGGTACACCCGATTAATTCGATTTGTGGTGGAACACCCCCTCCGTTTGTTGAGAAGAAGGGGGTGTTCCCTCGGTGTTGGCGGAATGGCAAGACAGAAAGTAACATCCCCGGAAAAATTTTTTTTCACTAAGACGATAGTAACATCCCACAGAAGTTCTTTTTCATCAAGGCATGAACGTAACACTCCCCCCTAAAAGAAGTTAACTTTCTGAAACTTTTTTTTAACCAGACTTCCCTTGCTGTTAAAAAACCCCTTAATTTATCTAAAGCCCCCTAATATTAACAGAAATGATTAGTTATAATCATTTCCGTTAACCAAGAAACACTCCTCGAATTCAACGCTAAACGGAAACCCCCTTGGGGTTGACGATGATTGAATTAAAGTGAACGTTTGTATTCATTTGTAGCGAATTCCTTTCTATTTTCATCGACAAAAAATTTCTTGCCGTGATTCCTGAACTAAAAAATCACATTCATTTAATTGGGGTACACTTTAAAAAGATAGTATTAAATTCAGTTATAATAATGTCATCTTCTACTTTAGTAAGATCTACAAGATCTATCATTTAAAATCTCAATGTGTAGATCAATATTATACCTGCCCTTCTACAAAAATTCCTTTAAACCTTAAAATCAACCCACAATTAGGCTTAAAAGCGGACTCACTAGACCCGGTCTAATCTGAGCCCACAATTGATATTGTCATTTACAATTCTCAATATATATAAACATATCAATACAATTCAAAACCCCAATCATCAAGAAAAATTTAGAATACCCCAACCATCGCGAGGAGTATAGAATTCCCCCCATTTTTGCGAAGGCGGCTTGGGGAAGCGGCGGTGATCGCCACAACGAAATAGGGGGTGTTCCGAACGACCAAAAAGACCCGTTTCCTTTTTAGGGAATACTGGAATACCAGACAATCCAGCTGTAAACATTGTCATGTCGAAATAAATTAACGAAGAGTACATTATCAACGTAAATATTATACGGCTCAAATCGAACCTTTATACAGTGTAGCTCATGTATAACGAATTCATGTATAACAAAAATATTTTACAACGAAAATCTCGTATAACGGACAACTTTTAATTCTCCGTATCTTATAAGTTACAAAAACACAATGGATTCACTACTTTCTTACATCTTGGTACTGTAATTTTTAAGCGCGTGATATTGTAATTAACAAGAAGCAATGAATGACTGTCTTAAAACAGTACTAATTTAAAAAAAGAAACTACTGCAGCCGGCTACCCCATTCAAGTCGATTTTTGGCCTTACACGTCACAGTGCCCTTAGGGTCGCCGCTTTATCACTGAGTTTATTTGAATTTTCCCGGGGTTATCGCAGTGTCATAAGGTTTTTGTGGCGGCCGATTAAAAAATTGTTATAAGTAAGTGTAAAAACTTATCTTATGTAAATACGTTTTGATAAAAAACAACTTGAGAAAATTGGGGACAGATATGACAATATTAAGTAGAGCCCCCATATACTAAAAACATTTCTATAAAAGATCCCCTAACTAATACCATGTTTGGCCATCCTCTACCTATAGCAACAAATTTAAACCCTAATACCGTATTTCAAAATCACCACCAACTTACAGTAACCCAAATGCCTACCGAATGAAATAACACTGAAAACCCAACACGATCCGTCTTAACCTTATCGATTCAGCAGTGTGACCAGAATTCGGAGTGGCGCCTTTTAATAACGACCGGGAAGAACGTTCCGACAAGAACGACCCGAGCCCACCCTGCCCGTTTCAACGACGTGCCCGGGCTTCCCCACACGCCCCATTCTCTTATGCAATCGCTTCGAAATTGCTTGACAATCCTTCATTGTAAAAATTTTTCGTTTTGCGTACAAAAAATTAATCGCTTTGAATTTGATTAAACTTCATTCCGAAATGGCCAAAGGCGGTTTTAAATTTAGAAAGTTGAAGAGCATAGGAGAGGGTTTCCTATGCAGGCTCTCAATTTAGCTGTGTGATCAGGTAGTGCCTTTTATTAGGTTCTTCAGGTAATTCTGCGCCTACTCAAAAAGTAAATTGTCGAGTTTAAGGAGCTCAAGATTATTTGAACAAGCTAATATAAAAAAGTAACAGCCCATCAATATTCTTTTCAACAACATTTGCTCGCTAATACAAGAGTAGCCAGAAGCCTAGTTTGAAAAAACCTAGTTAAAAAAGTAGCCAGAAAGCCTAGTTTAAGAAAGTCTAATTTAATAAATTAACCAATCAGCCTAATTCTAAAATTAAAATTTATGTTAAATTTGCATTTGGCGACAATCTTGACTTGAATAAAAAACATATGGTTCAAAAACCAAAAACGTTTGCAGCATGCAAATTCATTTTAAATTTCAAAAAACCTTATAGATTGTTTTGAAGAAACAAAGTTCAAAACATAGCTCATTTTAGCAAACCAAAATTACTGATCAATGATACAAAAACATTTTTTAAAACTTTTAAACATTTTTATGATGAATATTTTGAACATCTTTAATACAAAACTTGACGTAGTGTAGACTCGGTTAACATAGTCTGAGCTTATAACATAAAATTGGGCACAAAAATTAAAGTTACCTTTAAAATCTTCAAACATGTATAACACCCGCTATTAGGGCATCAAAAACTACTTGAAATACCAGACATTACGATTCTCAACAACATAAGTAAAACATAAAACTGTTTGTTATTGCAATGTTACTGTAGCTATGATTTCTATCAATATTTTAGTTCAACGTGATTACTTTTTTGTTAGGTTTAGTAAATTTGTTTATATACAGTAGAACTCCTATATAACGAACACTATAGCAAAAATTCTGTTTCACAAGCAACTCTTTTTCGTTATAGAGGAATTTTTTAAACAGGAGTTTCACTGTATTCAAAAAACACAGTTTCAAAAAAAAAACGTGATTTAATATTTTACAGTATCTGTCATTGTGTTTCGTATATCTTGTACTTTCGCCAACAAAAACAGACATCAACATCAAGCGGTCTTGAAACCAAACAATCACCGATCTTCGACGATTCCCAAGCTTACTATAATTAATAGCACCCACTCTCTTTCGATTGTTACTGCGCACGCTGACATCTGGCATTATATCTATTTTTACGACGTTGTGTGCTACCGTATCAGACGGCGTTCTTTTCCGATTCGCCGACGTCACAGTACGTCGAAACTAAAGTTCAATACGATTGTTGGAGTTGGTTTTTCTATGATCATTAACATGATTTATATGCTGATCTTAGATATTATTGAAATATGTTAAACTGACTGTTTGTGCCTTGTGGTTATGAATAAGATTTTTATCTCACAAGTCTTGTTTATAGTGTAAGTTGTGCTTTTTTGTAATACTGGAGTGATTTACTATTAAAATATATTAAAAATTTCCACGGCAATTCGTTATACAGAAGTTCTACTGTATTTATAAATAACGCATTTTTAATGGTTTACTATGCTATTTTAAAAAATTTTAAACATTACAACCAATATCATTATGATTCACTTTATTTTTTTACAAACTCAAGCAATTTTTGTAGTTTATTGTGTTGTAGTTTAAAATCGCACAAACCCAACGGTAGCCCTAGGGGTTGCTGATGTTTGTCAATAACGATGACGCTTTGGTACAAAGACTAACTTTTTCGCTCAAAATAGTGACTATATTTAATTCCTCAAAGCCTATACACATAGATGTCGGTGTGGAAGGAGGGGTAAATGGGGGTGGATTCAACTCTCTCTACCTACATCCCCATACAAAAACGAAAATACTCTCTCTATACAAGCAACCCAAGGGACACTGACATTTTGTGTTTACTATAAGGGGTGTTGTCTTTATAGTGGGACTTTTTAGTACAAATTGAATTGGCGAAGCCACATTTCTTGTTTAGTATAAGAAGAGTTGCTTATACAGATGGTTCACTATATAGAGAGACCAATGTATAGTGTAGTCTCTGCTTTACCAATGTATATTACACTGTATAAGTAACATTTTTATTCGTCTATAAATAATAAATATATAATAAGACCTTCTACACTGCGGTGCAAGGTTAATATTTTATAAAGTACATTGTTTTAAAAAATCGAACAGCCATAAGATAAATTTTTTATTTCTAATTCCGTTTTTTTAGAAAGTGGTAATCCCTGAACTCAAAATCACTGATCAAATTTTTCTCGCAACATTCAGAGACCCAAATATTTATGTTTACCTTCTAATAATCTCTAAACCTTACTTTTTTCACAATACAAGTTTAGCAAGAACCCTCTGCACTGACCCATTAAACAAAAATCAAACCAATCGCCTTGAGCAGTTTTGTGTGATGTAACTTTTCAACAATATGATGAAATACTACAATAGAAATTTTGCATATTTTTTTAACAAAGAAATGCTTTACAGTATATCCTGTATAACAAATTTCTTGGGGATTTTAAATTTGTTCATTATAAAAGAGTTTCAGTATAGTGAAGTTTTAAATGCACTCTGTTGTCTTAGCTACAGATTTAAAAGTTTTTTGTTATCCAGGATATTTTTATAGAGGAGTTCGTTATACAGGAGCTTCACCGTACTTAAATGTTTTTTAAAAAAATTTAAGGCCCGTCCTTTAGAAAAAATACAGAAGATAATAGTAGACTACCGTATTTTGTAAAGAAAACTTGTTTTTCAACTTTTTATACTGAATCTACTTTTTGTAGTCTTACATTAAAACAAATTAGTACACCTTTTTTATACTTATTATGTTTGAAAGATTTATCAAAAATGACAAGTCACAGATGTTGACAAAGTAAAAATAATTTTTTATAAAGGTCACAATTATACACGGCAACCAGGTCCGACGTGGCCCGTTTACATGCCTACTTTTCAAGTCTACTGACAAAGCTCCGTTGACAAGTCCAGTCACTAACATTAGTACCAAAAACCCTAGTTATTGCAAATTAAAACAAAGATCCAGTACTATCAGATGTTTATATCCATCCCTATATTTACACACTTTAACCTCTGCCCTTATTCTACGGTAACTTTTCGAAAACAAACCAATAACAACCTAAGTCGGGTGTTCCCTTCACGTGTTTCGGTCAGGCAACCCCTTTCCATCATCTCTTATCAACATCACAATACTGCACCGGCTTAAAAAAAGCAAAAAAAAGCCTTCCAACCGTTGGAATGTTACGATTTCTGCTTGGGGAAGACCAAAGGTTTGGATTTTACAAACAAACCTTTCGACAGGGTCTTCCCCCAAGGTTGATTGAACTGACAATTGTTCAATCAATGCAGCGCCAACAGCGTTGAAATGTTAGAAAGATGAATTTACTGTAAATTTACTACTGGATGATAGGTGAAAAACAATTTACAAAAACTATTGATAAAAATTTAGAAGAAGACAATAGTTTTTTTAATATAATATTAAGTAACAAAAAGACTTACTTAATTTATTGAAGTCATCAAACATGACCTTCTGTCAGTAGCCCTGAAAAGGGGCCCACTAGTCTCAGCCCGACCATTTACAAAACTACTTGTTGTTCGTTACAGTACAACCTAACGCTGCAAAACGTTTCTGACCAATTGAACTTAAACCAAATTAATTCGGGGATCACCGTTTGCAATTTCAACGAAATTTTGTAACTTATCGTCCAAATGCAGACAGAATCTTGCACTTTGACGTCTATTTCAACGAAACAAAGTACGCTTTGCGTGCAGTCTCCAACCTTCAGGGAACACCATATTTCAAGTGTAACACCAAAAACTTTGCAAAAAATCTTGCTTTTTACGCTAAAAATTTACAAAACAGACAATACAGCTTTCTGTCCGTGGTTTATCTCTGCGTAGCTTCTTTATTCTCGTGGTTTTAGCCTTCAGAAGCTATGAACCACCCGGAGCAGATCAGGAATTACGTTTCGTCTAGGTGAGAAAGCTCTTCAATCAGTAAATATACGACAATATAAGTCGTAATCAAATCAATAGATAGCGGTCACAAACAGTTTTAAAAATAGAGAAAATCCGTGGGCGCCACGAATTAAACCGGCCATTTCGGCGCGAACGTTTTCGCTATGGGAGCCACGGGCACCTTCTTTACCGAATAGAGTTGATTAAGACAGTGTTTTATTTTAATTTGAATAACTCAATGCTTTTAGTTTCTAATTTCCCATTTTTATAAATCTTTTATTCATATGACAATTTTTGACTGATTCGTATCTAATAACCGCAATGTCGTTCACTATCAGACCCATGTGATGTTTAAAAAACTTCAAAAGTTGGTAGATAACAAGCTTTTCAGTTCTTTAGTACCAACTTATATTTAATTTATAGTAGAGATCACACGTTATCATAAATTAATCACAAGTTCATATGACCGCAAGAAAATGTTTCAAGAACAATTAATTTACGCTTCTTTTTACTTTTTCTTTAAAAACTAAGGCAAACCGTCCGACTATTCAATGATGAAGTGATTTACAATCGTCTGAAATCACTGTTGGTTACTTCTTTATACAATTGTGTTTATTTGACAAAAAATATTTATAAAACATTTTATTACGTTTGTCATTGGGTCCTTAGTTCTCAAATATAACAACTCCATGTCTATGTCGCTTGCCTCTTTAATGCAGTTTTGAATATGTTTGGTCAAAGTCAATAATCCATCCCAAACAATATTTATATCAAACAATATATAACCCTTGATGTATATACTTTTCATTCGTAGTTCAGACGAAAACCTTGAATTCTTGTCCACGAAAAAAGCACTCATAATTTTGTATGTTCCCTCTTTTTGTCTGATTGCCGTCGGCATTAGAGAAAAACTAGAGAACGCGCAAAATTATGAGAGATTTTTCGTGGACAAAAATTCAAGGTTTTCGTCTGAACTACGAATGAAAAGTATATACATCAAGGGTTATATCAAGTACTATTAATGTTATTCATAGTAATAACAGTCTTGTGGTACGTTTGTCCGCTATATGTCGACGTGCTTGGTGCATACCGATGTCGTGGCGTATACAAACTATGCCTCCCGCTGGGTGTTGGTATTGAATCAATATTAGGATTGTAAGTAGTAGTGTTTACAAACTGCTTGTAAGAAGAATATGGTAAGAAGTACACAGGTGTAGGTTTTGGCAGCTTCGTATCTTCAGGAGGTTCTGTCGATGGTATCGCCGGTGGTTGTTCTACATTGACATTATGAGACTCAGACGCCGGTCGTACCGACTTGATAGTCGACTTAAAATAAAAGTAATCAAACAACACAATATACAGTACAAATAAGGCAAATATAAAGTATAAAACGTAAAACGAAAAGAAGATGTAAAAGTTGACCGTACTGCCAGCCAAGTAAGAAGGTACAGAATAGATAAAGTTATGAACATAACTGAAATTAAAGCATAATTCGACAAATGACACAATAGCAAATATACAAATACCTAGATGAACACCAATGTAGGCAATATGAAAGTAATAAAACATTTTATAAAAACCAAAAATTAGTAGACATATTGAGATTAATGAGAGGATATATATTGCCAGTAAGTTGTAAAATCTTTCAAGTATTACGAAAAGTATTAGGACCAGATCAAATATTGCTTGAACGTATAGGAGTATCTTGGTCAAACGCTGAAATTATTTGAAATAATTAACAATAAATAGTCAACGTGAATGTCACCATTTAAAATTAAAACTAACTCTTAGTATAGAGTAAGTCTCAACTTTAAATAATGAACCCTTGTAGCATATCCCAATTATATATAGTTAGAGATATAATTGATCCAAAACCAACTTGTGTAAATCTCTAAACTGTAAATAATAATAAAACTAACTTACATGCACATGAATTTTTCCACAACAGGTATACTGGTTGCTTTTTGATGGAGAACACAAATCAATAACTTTAGCACAACCCTTCTTTTCTTCTGTCGTACTCATACTTACATAACATTAGCAGATTACATGGGTTATAAACTCCAACGCTACAGAAAAATTTTAAACTATTCGAATGATGTCCTAATCAAAGAAATTTCAAGTAGCAAGTAGGCACTCTTTAGATATCACTAAACAATCAAGAACACCTCGCATAACAAGCAAAGTGCAAAACAACAACACAGTAGTGCAGTAACACAAACAACAATGCTAATATTATAATAAGTTTTAAAACCGATAATATAATAAGTTTTAAATTTATTTAGTACACCAGCTTATAAAGAAGAATAAGCGATTGTTCAGCGCCTTCGGGTCTACGTTATCAGTTTTTTGGGCTGCCTTAAACAATCGAAGTGCAGCTTTTTACAAACTGCATGGAATGTTGATAAAAACGTTTTGTGTATAACATCGTAAATTAGTCGTGCCGGGAGGTAATCAAGTCCCAACTGGTCGTAAGATTTATTTTGTTATCGGTCATTCAAATTTGTACTTTTACTAAAATTGTTAAATGGGTTATTGGTTATGTTTCAGGATGTACATCCTTTCAGTTTACTACATCTTAAAACTTTTGTGACGGAAAAGGACACAGCTATCTAAAAAAATATAATACAATGAACTCCTGTATAACATACTACTTTATAAAGAAAATCCAGTATTGCTAGGGCACGGTATTTAGACCTGCAAAAGGCCGGCACAATTCTTTGGTCCGGTGCAACCCCTTTCAAATTTGCGCCCCCTTTCAGGTCTAATGCCATTCCCCGTAGTCAATTTTTAAAACACGCCTTAGCTTATAACACGGCACTATCCCATAATTCAAATCATATCCCGATCGACCGGGAAAATATCTTTTCCTTTTGCACGTTTGAAAAAGCCACCAATTATATAAATTTAGGTAAAATTTAGCTATTCAACAAGTATTTCATTCAACTCAAACGATTTTTAGCAAAAATTTATTAAGATTATTCTATAACATTACATTAAGTTAACAATAAAACTACAATAGTATACTATAACAATTAATTAATCTATTGTAAAACGATTCATCCCCCTAATTAAAACAATAATATACTGGCTTTAAGTCGGTTAATTTCGATAATAATACAAACTCCTTCAAAAAAAGTCACATTTTACCCCTTTTATAAAAAGGAAAACAATGTAGAGTAGAACTACTGCATAACGAACAACTTGTAAATCCCCGACAATCATTTCCCAGCCAATTTAAAACCTGGATATCTTATAACGAACAATTTTAAAATCCTCGTGCGATTTGTTATACAGTAGTTCTACCGTAAATGTAAATTGTACTGACAAAAGTTAATTTTTTTCTCCAACAAATCTCAATCAAGTTTGGTTTGTATTCCCGATTCTAAAACAACATACCACAAAATATAAAAAAAACTATGTAACACATAAATAAGAGAAATGAAGGTGAAGTTTGAGGAATCAATAACGTTCTTGTTGTGGCTCGAATTCGAATGGGGCTTGCCATATCGCGCCCTTTTGTCCTGATGGATGATAAACATTGCCGTTGATGAAGCGGTTTGGTGGTCGTTTTTCATTGAAGCATAATTCGTCAAACTTGGTACGCATTTGGATGATTTGCGAAGTTTTGGTCATCTGTTTGACTTCGTATGGATCATAAAAGGCGCTTGATTTGGTCGTGGATTCGGTTACGGGACTTCGGTTTGTGTTATATTCGTTAATAAAGTTGTCTGATCTGCCGAAAAAGTCAAATACTGGCGGATGTAGGCTGTCGAAGGCTTCCTGAAATAAAATTTGCTAAAGGTATAAACTTAAACAACAAAACATGTTTAAAAATTTAAATTTCATGCAAAATTTTGTAAATAGATCATCCAAACTGTGAATTAAAGACAAAGTTAATAATAATAAATCAAAGACTCACATGAATTTCTTGTCTAATATAATTATAATCCACATCATCTTCATAGACCAATCCGTCCAGATATTGTGCTATAATCAAAAGTTCCTTTGGCGTGTGTCTAAAATTAAAAATTAATTTTCAATAACAAAACAAAAAACTAGTCAAAAACGCAAAAACTAAAGTAAAGTTCCTTTACTACGACAAACAAACGTAAAATTAAAAAAATTAAACCCCAGCAACATATTACAATTGTAAAAACTTACTTTATAAAGCGGGTAAGGCCCGACCTAGGCATTCCTTTAATGTTAATCAGCCCTTTTTCGGGTTCATCACCTCTCCATGGCAGGTCACCTTCGCATAACTCGACCATGCCGTACAGCAATGAATACATATCGTCGCCGGGACCTTGTTCAAGGCCTTTGTGTGCTCTGGCAGTGCTGTAGCGTGTCGTGCCTAAAATAATATTTCATAAAAATGAAAAAGATTTCTTTAGACCTTAATAAATATTTAAACTGTTCTAAACCCACCTCTAAATTGACACGGATACCTCACGGCTCTTCTTTGCCCATTTGGGTGTAGATATTCTCTGGCCATACCAAAATCGATCAAATATACAGTATCTCGATCCCCTGGTCGTTTTCCCATAACAAAGTTGGATGGTTTCAAATCACGATGAAGGAAGCCCTTTTTGTGTAACGTTTCTAATGCGTCAACCAACTGACTGAAAAATTCTAGCATGGCTTCTGGTTTGAACTTTCGACCTTGTTCTAGACGTCGCAATTCGAATAGGTTTTCACCGAGAACCGGCATGGAGATGTAGGTGAGAGCAGCATTTTTCAGGCCGTGATCGTACTGAAATTAGGTAAATATTAGCTATGCTAAGATAAAAACGCTCGGTAATGTTATACAATAATGCTTAATCAACAAAAAGCAGTTAAGAACCGCCAAGTGTAAAAAAATACCAAAAAAGCAAAATTTAGCTAATATTATCCATACCTATATAATTTGCAAGTTAATCCATATCTTTACATAAAAACATGTATAAAACAACATTTAACCTCACGAATTTGTAGTTAAAAGCTTTTTACAAAACATACCATAATATTAAAGTGTTTGCATCCAATTACTTGGGCAAGGACTTTGACTTCCATGATCATACGATTATGGCGGTCATCCGGCTCAACTTTCAGCGCAATAATGTTTGAAGTTCGCTAAAATTATTAAAGATTTACCCATCAGACTACATACTTTTCTTACTTTATTAAAATGTATTCCGAATTTTAACTATAACTTTAAAAAACCATAAGGATGGTCCGGATTCAAAGCACAAAATTTTACTTTTAAAACAAAATATATTGTAGTAAAGAAACATCGCATTATATTTCAAAAATACATAAAGACATACCAAATCCTTGGCCTGATAAACCTGTCCAAAACCTCCTTTTCCCAATTCCTTCTCAATATAATATCGGTTGGCGAAAACATGATTTAGTTTGACAAAGTCTTCGGTGCCACGCTCCCTTTTAACTGTATTGACACGGTGTATTATCTAAAAATTTTTAAAATTAATAAAAAACAAACTCCAACACAAGGTACTCAAATAAATCAATATATTACACAAAACACAACAAAAGTAATTAATACCTAAAACAATATCTAAAAACGCAAATTTTTAACTCTACAACAATATAAAAATCAACTTTTTTCCCTCAAAAAACCTAGAATAACATCAAAAAATGGCCTAAAACCTTTCAAAGCCTCAAACCCACCTGCAGCGACAATAAACGAACAGCACGAAGAAAACATAATATCCTCCTTACCTTATTCATCGCGAATATCCGATTGATTTGAGTCCTCAAAACCCGAAAGACGTTTCGAAGAGGTAGCAAAGTGTAGTTGTGATGAAAACACGACCCGATTATTCCATTTTATTCGTTGTTTGATCCACGCAATATGTAAATTGTTCAAGAATTGTGAAAAATTAACCGTTTTTTGTTCTTCATCGAATCGCCACAACATTTATCGGCTTTGGCCGAAATGTCATAAATCTTTGATTTTTGGCTTCGGTTTTGTTTTTCTCGGCCTACTTTTTGGGGAAGTTTTAATTGAATTTGTAGAAGATTATGAGATAAATAAAGGGAATTTTTGTGTTTTATATTATTGTAGATAATAGTTTAGATACAATTTTAATATTTTTTCGCACATTTATTGTTTTTGAAAGATTTTGAGGGACAATATAAATAAGTTTAGGTAGGTTGGTGATTTTTGTTTTATGCCGTGTATCTTGTGTCGTGTATCGTTGACATGTTGGTGTTTATGCAATCTTTTGCGTGGATTTTCCTCTGAAAAAATATATTTGTTACCTAAACTTGTATCTTTTGAAAAATTAAGCTTCAACGAAGCTGGAAAGTCAACTTATAATAGATAAGATTAATTTAAGTTATAATAGGTAATATAATGATTGTATTGTTCACGACTTTTGACTTTTTTGAGATTTAAACATGATCAGTGTCATGGATAATATAAATTTTTTGTTTTTACCTTTGCCACTTCTTCAAGGCTTTGATAAGTTCGATGGGTATTGGCAGTACGATTGTTTGATTCTTCTCCGCTGAGATGCCGTTTAGGGTTTGTAGGAAGGCTAAGTGAATAGCTGAAGGTGATTGAGAAATGACCGAAGCAGCTTCACTCAATGCTTTTGAAGCCAGTTGTTCTCCTTCCGCGGCAATCACCTGAAATTTTGATTTTTACATTTTATTTTAGGTTATTCAGTTATTTTGATGCTTAGAAAGGATAGGGATACTAATATTGCTTAGACCTTGCTGTACTTTATTTTACGCCTTAATCTTAATTTTATTCAAATAGGATTTGACCTTATTGTTATCTAACTGTCTATGTCATGTTATCAGTCATACCTTGGCTCTGGCTTCTCGAGTAGCTTCGGCCTCCGCGGCCATAGCTCTTTGTAGTTGAACAGGCAGTCTAACATCTTTGATTTCAACTCTTTCTACCTTAACTCCCCATGGATAAGTGGCTTCGTCTAGGGTTTCTTGGATTTGTAATGAGATGATTTCTCTATCGGATAACATTTGAGCTAATGTTTTGGTACCCAAGATATTTCTCATTGTTGTTTGTGCTAGTAGTTTCGTTGATCGACTCGAGTCTTCGACATTTGTTACTGAGATTGTGGCATTTGATATTCGAAAGTATACAACAACTTCAACGGCTACTGTCACAGAGTCTTTTGATAGGATCTGAAAGGAGCGAATATTGGTTTTGGGTTAGTTTTATCCTTTAAACTTTCTATTTTTTGTATTAGTTTTATGTGAATAACTTACTTCTTGAGGCGGTACGTCAAACGAAAGGGTTCTGAGGTCCACTTTTCTATACGAATCAATACAAGGGTTAACCAAAAACAAACCTAAAATAATATTATTTAGCAATAAAACAATGAAAACATCAAAACATAATATTGTGAAGAAAATTGGGACTTACCAGGACCTCGAGCTCCGCCGGGGAGCAGTCGTCCTAATCGAAATATCACGGCACGTTCATATTCTTGGACAATTTTAATGCAAAAAAAGGCGCTGATCGGCAGGGTTACAAAAATTACAACATAAGATAATAATGTCAAAACGAAACCACAAAATTGAAGGTTGCCGGTTACTGGCTCTGAAATTTTAAAAAATTATGGTAAAATATGGAAGATTATTTTTTTATTTGTGATGGTTCTCATTTTCTTAATTTTTAAGTGCAAGAATTTAAAATTTTTTATTGTAATTTGCTTTTTCCATATTTTGTGGTTTTGACAATTTTTATTTATGTTGACATAAAATAAAATTTTTGATGAACGACGTTTTTTTGTATATTATACCAAAAAGATTATCATAATTATGGATTTTAAACTTTTTTCGCTGAAAATAATAAACAAAATAACATTTGCACCGTGCAAAGCCATTAAAAACCCTTTGCACGGTGCGAAACAATCAACAACAACCCGCACAGTGCAGAAAACGAGAGACCATAGAAAAGCGAGAGAGCGGGAAAAGAAAGGAAAACAAGGGACCGATTTTTGCCAAAAAATCAGCCTCCGAAATCGAAGGATTTTTTGCAAGAAAGGGGATTGCCAGTTGTCGCACGGTGCAATTCTCGCGACAACCGGCTGCACGTCGCAAAAAAGGAGTGAGAGGAGAAAACAAGAGAGCGGGAAAAGAAAAGAAAAACGAGAGGGACTTTCGCTAAAAATTCGGGGCTTTTGATCGGCGAATTTTGGGCCCGAAAAGGAGATTGAAACGAACTGTCGCACAGTGCAAAACCTGCGACAATTGACTGCACGGTGCAGAAAAAAGAGAGGGGGGGGGAACTGAGAGAGCGGAAAAGAATGGAAAGGCGAGAGGGATTTTCGGAAGAAATTGCGGGTTTTTGATCGGCGAATTTTGTGTCCAAAAAGAAGGTTGACACAAACTTTTGCACAGTGCAAAATATGCGGCAAAAAAGGAGATTGAAATGAACTGTCGCACACAGGGCCGGGCGTTGAAGGGATTCGAAAAAAGTTGAACGTGGTCTCCCCCTGTGGATTTTTGGAAAAAATTTTTCGACCCCCGGCCCCAGACCAAAATTCCCCGCCCGGCACTGGTCGCACAGTGCAAAATATACGACAACTGACTGCACGGTGCAGGAAAAAAGGAGAGGGGGGAAATGAGAGAGCGGGAAAAGAAGAGGTGTGAGAAACTGTAGGGAAGGGAATCGGCGGATGAAAATTTTGAGTTATAAAAATTTTTGTTAATTTAACTTACGATCAGCGAAAAAAGTGACATCTTGGACGGTTTTCCAGCCATGACGTGAGGTCTGACTTTTCCAACGTGGGCCTTTTTCAGACTGTGGTCCTTGCTTCATAGAGTCGACGCGTAGCATAGGGAAATCATGTATAGTTTGTGATTGGGATATATCTGAAATAACCAAAAGTTGATACGAATAATTAAGTTCAGATAAACGTTGAAATATTTTCACTCGCTAATGACGTAACTTGTAATATTTTTTACTTACAAAGTAAAAAAACAGACCAGGTCAAAGATTCTCACTTTTGGCGAAAAGCATCGGTCTTTAATTTTACCCCGCCTGCGAAAAACGGTTGAATCAAATCCAACGGATTTTTATCCAATTTCCGGAGGGCTTTCTTTTATTTCCCCAAAACGACCTTAAGGACTTCCGCGATTGTTTCCGCGCTTAATTTGCTGTTTTGACAACTTGAAACGATATTAAGCAGAAGATAATTTGATATACGTTCCCGTGACGAGTTTAAAGGATAAAATGAAGATTTTAAATTTGTTATAAAAATTGATATTAAACGAGTGGAAAACTAAAAATGTCAAACGCGCTCAAAATACTGTAAATTTTTATAGCTGTTGAATTAGAAACGTTTTGGCTGTTACTTTTAACGCCGAAACTTATGATAGGCCACTCATTTAGCGGAAATTAAATTATGAAAAAAAACTGGGATGCAATGTCATAATATTAGGCATAAATATTATGCGGGCTATCTTATTTCAATTCCCGTTTCGGTGGAATTAGGTCTATTTACAATAAAAGCTCAAAAGCTAACAGCAAAAAATTTAATGCCAGTTTTATTAGACCAAATTTTTAGTTTTTTACTATAACTTTACATTTTTTACATCTAGTTAATGTATTATTTTTAATCATTTCTAACATTTGTAAAAAGGCGAAGGAATGTCAGTTAAAAGTTAAGCTTTTGGGCATCATCAAAATAAAAATTTTTGAAAACGAGCACTTTCAAAAATATTAAAGGTCAAAGTAAAACTTGCTAACGTTGGGTAAAGGACATAAAATTGAAGCCGCTTTTATATCATAAAACTGCGATTGAATTATTATAACGAGTGCCATTTGTGAGTTTTTACTTGAGGGCATGTGGTTATTTATAACAATATGAACTTTTTGCAATCTTGAAAGAACATAACTTCTTTTAATGCTGTATCAAAAGTACGTAAAATTGTGGGCAGTTTTGAGTTATTGAGAGAGATTTGGAAGTTGTTTGAAAGCAGTTGAAGCTGTTTAGTACAAAATTTTAATAAAGTTTCATCCTATGATGTTTTTTAATAAAAATGATAATAAAACAGATTTAACAGTATGAGTTATATAAATATTAAGAATAAGTATATAAAAGAAAACCGAAAAGAAATAAGAATTTAAACAATAAAATAACAAAGGCACAACGAAAGTAATAAGAAACAACAATTTGGTTCTGGAAAAATGTAAATGAAGGTGACATTTCATTACATAAATGAAGGATCCGACATGCACTTTAAAAAATTTTTGTTTGTTACTTTGTCAATATGCTAATTTCCCCACGTTAAATTAAAAATTCGACAAACCAAACCTCCGCAGGGAATTCGAGGGGTTTCCAAACAAGATATATTATAAGAAAAACAAAGGAAGTGACAGTATGTAGTAATATAGTATAGTCAAAAACGACAATAATAAAATAACGTATTGTAATAGACTGTTAAATAATGGCAAAAATTTTATTTAAGTTTTTTTATAAGGATTTATTTTGATTGTCAATTTACATAAAACAAAACGTAAAAATGATTACGAAAAAAATTTTTAATGTCTGTAATGTTTCAAAACAATAAATAACCTTGTTAACATAAAACAACTTGAACACGTTTATCAACAAAAAATGTCACTTTTCCGAAACGACACGGAAATTCGACACGCGTTTCACAATTTGTCGCAGTAACTTGCTGAGAGAACATTTTTATGTACATATAGCGAGAATTTGCAAATAATAGAAACCAATGTTAATTCAATATGATGCGTTCGATTTTTGGAATCGATAATTGAATTTTGATAAACCGCATGGTCATATGGGATTTACCAAATAAAAATAAGGAAGTATTTGTGACAGTATGAATTAGTTTTAGAATAAGCAACGCTATGAGATGGGTAATTAATTTAAAAATAACAGCTACACCAATATAATTTTAAAAAATAACAGTTACAATAACATAAGTAAAGAAATAAACAAAAACCAAAAACATAAAAAAAATAAATAAAAGTTATAACTTTATTGTAAGACAATGATTAACCCAAGTAATGCCGAAAAACCGAGGCCAAAAACCGACATTAGCATACGCGAGCGCAAGTCAAATGTAAATCGAAACCGTTTGAATGTATTTAAAAAACGGAATATCCCAACGAAAACCGGAGAAATTTTTATTTCCCAAAGGTTTTGACAATTTAACGAAGCCGGGTCTGAAAAAATAAGCGCGAAAACCATAAAACTGTTTTTTCATTTGGCAGTAAATACTTAGCTGGGATTTAACTACAGGTTGTTTTTGCTGACTACCGTAATGTTTAATTATGAGAAAAGAGTTATTGGTTTTCAAGAGATGAGATAAGTAAGTGGAGATTAAAATTGAGAGAAAATTACTGTATGTGTGGCTAAAAGTACATAAATAAACATTTTATTAAATTACACATTAAATTTAACACCTTAATTAAGATATTTTAAATACAGATTTTTATAAATATTAATTTTGATCAAAAATTTCGAGGTTGTGTTGTTGACATGACTCGCATCCAACAATGTAAAAAATATTTTGCTACAAAAAATAATATAATAAACTTAAGCGCGAACTTAATTTAATATTCTTTTCAAACCTCTTTTTTGGAACTGAAGATGAGCGAGGGAGGGGTGAAATTATTCAAAATAAATATCGAAAATCAAAAACATGGAATAATTAATAAGATTTTATGGGTTACTTTGTTGTTTTGTGAGGAGTTTGTTCGAAACAACTATACAGTAGTTTAAGAGATTTTTTAGCCTAGAATCAAACGGTGACCTGGGAGAAATGTTACATAGGAACATAAAATAAATCTACCGGCAGATTACTGTATATATTCAAAATTAAATATATATACTGACAACGAAACAATATTTATTGAGTTACTATAAAAAGATATTTACAGTGTATGTACAATTGTGTGTATGTGTAAATGTGAGGTCTTCTGGCTTTGGTCCGTCATATTATGGTTTATCATATTATGATAATGTTTACCGTAAACCGTAGTGACTGATAGCCCAGCTTTCTTGAAAATGGCCACAGTTTGATGGTTTGGGCTTCTCGAACTTGGCCCCGTGTTCGTCTATTTGGCAATAGCCGTTGTTGCTTTCATAAGACGATGATAGGCAGTTTGATACTGGAATCGTGAAGTCAGTTTCAAAAAAAAAAGTTATTGTAGAATAATAATAAAAAAATAAAAGCGCTTTAAACAGTATCAGAAAAATCACTAAAAACTACTTACAGTATTCTTTTCCCTTTCCAAAAACCATTTTTTCGGTCGCAAAAACGTTAATCCGTTTGTAAAACTTGGCTCGAAATTTGTTTGGCTCGCAATGTGGTCGTCTTTAAAGATCGCTGGAAATCTTTTTGATTTTTAAAGAGTTATGGATGCTGTTGTGCTCCTAAAGCAAACAATATTATTCAACAAACACCGGGATTTAACTCGGAAAGTTTGAAAATTGTGTCGGGCATCACGTGGTGCGTTAGCACAACTGTAAACAAGTTCGAAATTTCGTACTGTTGTTTGAAGGAAAAGTTCAAATGACCATGAAACACATTTTTTAAGCTTCGGATTGTAGTTAGTGGGAAATGGTAGTGGAACTTGATTAATAAATGGAACAATAAAAAATTAGTAAACGAAAGATTACATTTATATTTACAATTTATTTTTACTAGTAAAATTTTTAAAAAAACTACGGTAAAAAATATATTTTTAGGTCAATATGGGGGTTTCGAACTGCAGTAAAAAATATTAGTCAACTTTGATAAAAATAAAATATAACGAAACTTAACAAAAATCACATAACAGCTTTTGCTCGCCTATCGTTTAGAAAACTGTAGGCTTTTTATAGTAACACACAACTTTACAATGCGGTAAATGAGCGCAGATTTCTCTGCTCTATTAGCCAAACACCGTTTGGAAATCACATGGAAAGCAACTCTTGTTTTTCGAAAAAACAGTTCAGAGATTTTATAAAAATAATCAAAATGATGGATTGTTTTGAAAATGTCACGGAAACAAAACAATTAATAGATGAGGAGCAAAAAATTTATAGTTATTATGTTTTGTTGCAATACGTTTTTTACAAAAAATGATGATAAAATTGGTGGGCTAGAATACGAAAATCTTTGAAATAAAAATTAATAATGTCAAGATAAAGGTAAAATAGGCTATGGTACGAGATGGCAGAGAAACAATGTGGCATGATATGGTAGGGTAATGTAAGGTAGATTGCAGTACAGTAGGGTATTTTCAGCTAGACTACAGAAAGATATTTTTAATAATAAGATACAATTACAAAAATTGAATTTATACCATCACCACCAATAAATGAAGATATGAATCCACCTGAAAATCAAAACGCTATTTATATAGTCGAAGGTATGGCACATGACCCATATGAAAATATAGTTAGTTATTTGGCGAAGCAAGTACTTCATGTTTTCATAACAACCTAACTGATAAGCTTAAATTTGAAAAAAAATTGAACTAACGGAATTGTAACGCCTTCAGGCTGTACAAAACTAATTTTAAAAAGCCTCGACTGGTTACTGTATTATATATGGGTTGTAAAAATTTTTGCGATAAATTTAGGTAGTTATCAAGCAGTTAATGTACGTTTTCGGATGGCAATGACGTACATAGGGAACTTTTGTTGATGATAAAGTTTTTGTCTTGGAAAAATTGTTTATTAAAAAACTGGTGACGATAATCTGTGTAGGTGGCGTTGAATTGAAGGCTTATCAGCGCGAACTCTGCCTTGTGAAGTTTGCATTTATTAAACTTACATGGCTTTTGAGTGTCGTTAAAACGTATTTTTAGAAAGTAAG